CCTAACCCTAACCCTAACCCTAACCCTAACCCTAACCCTAACCCTAACCCTAACCCTAACCCTAACCCTAACCCTAACCCTAACCCTAACCCTAAGTGGGTTAGTCGAGGGTTACAGCCCCTTTAATAACTCTAAGGCGTGCTCCGTAACAACCTGCCACACCTCTTATGTCGTCTCTCTTGTCGTCTCCTTTATCGTTTTTAGCTAGTAGCTATCTCGCTGTTTTGGAGAATCTCCGTAGCCTCGTAAATACAGCCTCTTTAACAAACAGTCTGTACAGATGGGCCATAGGCGTTACTCTGTTAAGAATTAATCCGTATTAAATGTCGTATACGAAGTAAATATCAGAGAATGCCAGTATGTAGTATATTAGTAACATCTAATAACCCCTAGCCTTTAACCTTTTGCGAGGGAGCTGGCTACCCTTTATATAGGCGATAAATACCCTGTAGTATCCACCTATCCACACACCCCTGGCAATTATCATCTTCTCTTACCTCTACTGCAATATGGTCCAACAGCTTCTCACATACTTGGCCGAATCGCCGCCTACTAACACCTTCATCGAAAAGTTCCGGCACCGAGAAGGTAAACTTAAGTAATACCCAAAGAATGGAAACCACCAATAACGAGATCCAAGCATGTTCTCCACTCAGCCCATGGATGTTGGAAAATCTGGATTAATTCGGAAACCTTTCTTTGCCTCCAGACTAGCTACATCACCGCTTAATACCTTCCGCAGCACCTCCTCCTCGCTTGCAACGAATTTAAGAAGGACAACCCTTCTAACTTTTAGCTTTCCAATAGCATTTAATCGCACCCTAGCTCTCGAACTGGTTACAGACGGTATCATGGTTCAGATAATTCGGTCAAACCAAGGTAAATTCCATGGGTTCCAAATTTACGCGATAGCAGTCAAATAATTCATTTTACTAGCTTAGTTGTACCTGTCTTCACTAATTACCGCCATAAAATTTAGACTGTCAAAATCTCCTTCAGGCGTTCCCTCGTAATCTCGTGCTGCAAAGACCAAGCTTCTTCGAGAACCCGCCTTGGACTAATTTAGCAATCCATCTTCAACTAAGATCTGGCATTCCTTTCGGCGCTGGTCGAGCTCTTCCATCGAGACAACCTTCGCCTCCACCCTTATGTCACAGAGAGATTCTATTTCAAGTAATAGATCTCTTAGTTCTTGATAATATCCCTTCCAACATCGATCAATGATAAAGTCCAAACAACTTTTATTTAATTCGGGAAATTTCATTTCCTGAAACCAGTCGACAATGATCGGACCTTGATCGTCCGTATCCTCATATGGCTCAAAACCATAAACCATGCAGTAAAGGTTAGATCCGATTGCAAATTGTTCAGTTCTTGGCCCAGTAATGCCGAACGAGCCCCTTTGGAGCCCTAGCTTTTCCGCATCATCGCCTAAAATACGAGCCCACGGAGGCCTATTTCCTTCAAAGTGTTCTCCGACTTTCTGAACGCAATCGAAATCCCCTAATTTCAAATGATCATCATCATCTAGGAGCAAATTGCTGGGGCGTAAATCGCCGTGAACATAACCAAGGGATTCTAGCCAAACTACCGCCCGGCAAAGCTCCATAAGCCATTGCTTCACTAGGGTAATCGGTTCTGTCTTAGATACTTCCAAAACTTTGCCAAAAGGATCTTTGCGGATTTGATATGACCGTAGGCGTGCGTCGAGGGATCCACCACTCATCAAGGCCAAAAAATTAGCGTTGGGAAGACGTAGAAAACTTTGAATGACGTGTGGACAAGGTGTATGTTTCTCAAAGAGATCAAACATCTCGTTCTCGAATGTGGTAGAGCCTGACGTGCATGCATATTTAAGCGCGATATGGCTAGTAATTTGGTATACCAATCCGGTCGATCCTAAAGAAAGGAACCGGCTAGCAGAGACCTTTTTAGGCAAAGTAGTAAAGGCCATTACGGCATTAGCGCATGAAATGAAGTTAGAAAGTTACCGCTTTTTCCGGCGCGTCTGGAGTGATTCAAGGTCAGCAGTGTGGCTGGTTGTGGCGTGTGGCTTTCCTAACTCGGTTACATTCTCGACGCGGACAACATTGAAGCTCGGCCTGTTCACGCACGCATTCGGGGCGGGGAAATGGCGTCTGGAACAGTTTTTCCTTGGATTTTGGAAGATATCACCACATATAAGACAACGTCCGCGCTAATTCCCTAGGCTAGCGTTCATATCTTCCCATACGCCCTTATTGTGATGGTGATGTGCGGAATGCAAACTTCCTTTGGCTAACCTAATATTATAAACTGGCGCAAAATGACTTATAGCTACAGCCTCTTTGACAAACAGTATATACAGATAAGTAATAGGTGTCACTTCGCCAGTTAGTACCCACGATAGATGTTATATGTAGAATAAGTGTTAGAGAGTTGGTATATAGTGTATTACATGATATTCAGTAACGCCTGGCTTTCTAGCCTCCCTCGAGGGAGTTAGCTAGGTACCTTTCATAGACGATAAACCCCCTATAATATCTAGGTACCTATCCACATATCCCTAATAACATGGGACTGATTAATCCCAAGTCGGTTAATGTAGACTACGATATAAGCCTTTATATTCCCAAGCGTGCGTTTGTGGCATTCCGGTAGTATATAAAAGTAGTTGAATCCGGGTGGCATTGAAGCTTGAGGAACCAAAAGTTTTCGATGCCTGTCTGGTATCAAATAGCAAGCATATGAGACAAAGGATAATTAGAGTTCCTTGTAGCACAACGAAGTTATTTACCTACCTCCTCATCTACCTTATGAATTTTCCCTCTTATCTAATTACCTATTGTCCATCAAGCTAGGAGTAAAAAATAGTCCTGCTCGAACGATTTTGTCAGGAGTCTCACTCGGGACTTCTTGGAACAAAGAAAATGTTTTGTATAGGTAGCTTCGGCTTCAAAACTACTGTACTTAGAGTTTCTCACGGAACAATGGAGTTGTTTTCCTACCTCATGCTCTGCAACGTGACAGATTTAGACGGCCCCGGCTTTACTTAGGCACATAATTGTTGCTATAAGTGTCAAGAAGATTCACATAGGTATACGTTAGTAGATTATATATGCACATACACTTAGGATTTAGAATATTAGATGGATGATGGATAATAGATTAGGTACTTGAATCTTGAATACGTAAAAAGGTTCTAGAAGACATAATCCTCATCCAAGATCCAAGAAGGTAAGAATCATGGGGCATTGGAATGAAGTCGGTATGGCACTAAGAATCCTAAGTATATTGGTCATGATAGGTGTACTTTGGCTTCTACAAGGCATCTCCATACTGGGGGTGTATACGTCAGGAGACCTGCTCTGGTTACTATGGTAGAGGTGCGATATCTATCTGGTATCTAAGGCAGAGGTAGACAGGTACTTAGGTATTAGATTTGGTATGAATGCCTAATAAGTAAGAGGCACCTAATTGTGGAAGGTGCGGGGCCTCTAGAAGTTTTCCTACAGCAACGGTAAGGCATCCCGCATTGCGTCGTCGCTAAATATTTTACGCGCACATCTTTTTATTTTTTACTTTATTCTTTCCTTCAATCCACAACACATTTTCTTTTCCTTCCTTCAACAACTTGAGCAATTCCACAACAGGCTCACATCACGTAACCATCCATCCCCTTTACGTTGATATCTCTTTAACCATCAAATAATCTTCTTCTCTACACATCAAAATGTCAAACAACAATCTCAACCAGCCCAGCGGCAATCAGCCCATCTTCGGCTTCAATCAACCACCCCAACCGACCTAACCAGTTGAGCTTTGCCTTTGGGGCAATGAACCAAGCCGGCGGCGACGAGGGCGCTGTTTTCAACTTCGCCGCCAACCAAGGAGGACCTGACCAGAGGATTCCCCCAAACGCCCGTTGGACTCTGGAAGAAAGACGTAACCACTTCCAGAACAAGCACTCCAGATACTATACCACAGCCACAGCCAATGCCGAACCCGCAGGGGACGGTACGCTGTGCATAACTAACAAGAGAACCAAGAGGGTTGAGGAAAATTCTGTCATGATCGAGCCAGCTGATCCTAGCAGAAATAAGATAGAGAAATGGGTCGGAACTTTCACCGGCACCCAAGGACCCGTATCGATGGCTGAGCATTTTGCGGCCACTCACGCGCCTAATACCAAAACATTGGCGCTGATCGTGACTCGGCCCGTGGACGAAAGTTACAGCCAGCAGCCGAGAAAACCCAAGCTCAACCTCCTCCCGGACATCCGAACGACCAAGCGTAACGCGGACGAAGGCAACCTCTGCGCCAACTGCCACAAGAACACACATGTCCTGGCCGATTGTGTCTGGCCGTATCGTGCCCCGTTCGGCGATATTTTTGGCTGCCCTATCTGCAACACGAAGGATCACCGATTCGACGATTGCCATAACCAGGCCAGACTAACCGACTGGAACCGATTTGAGTTCCTAATCCTCAGGCGAGCGGGCAAGTGCATGATCCGCTCGGAGTGGAAAGTCTACCAGATGATTCTCCAGTACATCCAGGAGGGCATAGTCAACCCCGCTGAGCTTGTCATGCCGTGGACACGCGACGGCGCCCGCCATCTAGTCAACGACCAAGCTATCGCGACTTTCCAAAACTTGGACTATAGTAACCCGCAACGAGTGGTGACCATCGATCCCAACTGCACCCCGGAGAGGCTGCAGGCGCTCTCGGACGCTACCAACGGGGGCGACTTTTCTACTTATGCGGCACAACAAAGGGAACAGAGGAACGCAAACAGACGTCTGCCCCAACCTCCCGTACCCGAACACCATCCCGTACCCCAGCAACCTATACTCCAACAACCCGCACCACAGCAACTTGTGCTCCGTCCTGATGCACAACGGCCTCAACCACAAAATCCTCAGCCCCGATCAGTACACGCGGTTCGAGATGAATATACGATAGACATCACGATTCATGGTAGTGGTAACGGTGGCCAGCCCTACCGTCCGTTGTCACCTGGTCGCGCGTGGTCGTACGCCTAGGGCTTAACTATTTGAATCCCTTGCAGATTCCCTACCGCTCTTAGATTTACCTTTTGCTTTTCAATTCAATTATCGTCAAAACTTCATAGATTGAGACCACACGGTCAGGCAACCAGCTATTGTAAGACCAGCCGTAGCTAGCAGTAGTACAGATAGTAAATATCAATAATTTTAAAGTCTTTCCATTTGATTTGCTAGTAATATCTCAGGTCATGTACTCAACGCAGAACAGCCTGGTCAATTATTGGATAGGGGCATTAACCTGTAAATGCGTTAACCCAGCCATGTTAAGGGCGGGAATAACTGGCCCAGGTGGAGGTAGAGGTTAAAGTTGGGGTTCGTAATCGTCAAGATCATATTCCTCGCCCGCGTTGTGGTAATCATAATCACAACCATAATCACCCATTTCTTCAGATTCCTCTCTGCGAACAGCAGGGGGGGGCGAATTTACGGCCGGCTAGCGAGGTATGATTAGGAGGTGCATGGCCAAAATTATCGTCAAGTTCCGGTTGTTCCCTTTGTGTTGGCCAAGGCTCCGTAGCCTGATTTCCTATGTGCGACATGGCGTTATTGCCTGCTGCTGCAGGAATGGCAGGATTGTCCTGGTCCAGTTGCGGCTGTGGAGGTGGCTGCGGAGCGGCGATCTGGGCAGCTTTTGCCTCGTATCTTCTGACTCCTAAGAGCGCCTTCTCTCTCGCCTATCGTAAGTCTTTATCACGAGGGATATCGTAACTCTCCTTGGCCGTTTTGAAAATTGAGATGACATATGTCCCGACGGCTGATCCCGCGTTACCTAGCTCGCGAAGGGGTCCAGCTTCGGGGTTGGAGGCCTTGTCTTCGGTCGTTCGAAATAGACGCGAGTACGCTGAGGGGGTGCCGTTCGTCCGTCGATCTACCTTGCTGTGGAGCTCTATTACGTCCATAGCGCCGTTCTGAAAAGCGCCGCTCACCGTCTGGAATATGTCTACGAACTTGTGGTCCGTGTAGCTCTCCTTGGGCCAGCTCATCTGGCGCTGGGAAGTAGATCCTGGATCTGTTGATCCGTTAGGGGGGGTATGTGCTGGCGGATGAAGTCGTGTACCGATCTTAAGATGATAGACAGGGCTGGCTGATCTTCTATAACCTTTCGCATATCGCCCGGGATGTGAAAAAGGTCTGCCCCTTGTGGTTGGTGGCGCGGAGGCATCTTGAAAGGAACTACTTAAGATTACTGTTAGGTATAATTTAAAACATGTAAAATATTGTTTAGGATATCTCTGCTAAGTCCCTAGACGGTTTCTAACTCGTATACCTTGGCCTAATCGTTTTATATGAGGTAGTTAAGGAAGACGATGTTTTACATTTGGTAACTATGCGTGAAGAAACTTGAATGCCATCTATCGAAAGGACAACGATTAGTATTTTCCTGGCCGGTCTGTAATCCGACCCGCACCGCTCATATCGAGATCCTTACAAATCACTTGCTTCATCCGGGCCATTAGACCAACAGCCTTAATACCGAACAAGCCCCTAAGCTACGGCTTTCCGCGTAGCTTGTGGCTGACATAGGCCTTGTGGCTTAAGTGATCAATTTTGTAGTTCATCTATAAGCACAAGTCACATTTAACAGAGAAGCTATTCAACACTACCCTTTAATACGTCGTATTATTCTGGAAGTCGGTCCGTGAAGCGTTATTTACCCTATTTGGGCCCTAGGACAACTTACGATAGTAGAAGTACCTACCTAATCTATAGAATGCTACATTATTGCCAAGCAGTACACGTAATTGGCCGACTTGAGTCGGTGTTGCATCGCATCAATCTAGCTAGTAGGGACGGGGTAAGTCGTCGAAACGAGCGACAAGAGGTATTGCGCGCCGAGACGTTCTACCATCCATGCTGATACCTCTTTTGGGAGCATGGTGAGGTAGAGGGGTTCGAGTATGCCTTCGTGGGCGGCGCTATCTTGGTAGATGGCAAAGAATCCGCCGTCCTCAGGTCGGCCGCTCTGGAGCCGAACGTTAAAGTTTGCGAACGACGGCAGCACACCCAAGTGTACGAGCCGCATCAAAGCCAAGTCTCGCGGCGGTAATCCCTGCTCGTACACGAATGAGACCATCTGGAACAGGCATATCCACGCGAGCGCCTCGAAAACCTGGCGTTGTTCCCGCGGCTCGAGCTTCGTCTCGGCGATTAAATTGTCGCACCGGTCCAACCCGAGGTGGTCTTCTAGCGCGGTGACATACTCGTCCATAAGTTGGCAGCTGTCCACCATGACTCGCATGAGCCCTGCTGCTCTTTCGATGAAAGGTGCGCCGTCGACAAGGGCGTGCTGGATGCTGCGCTCCGCGCTCAGCTTGGACCAGATGCCCAGCTCGCACCACAGCTGGCCGTAGTGCGCATTCTGCTTGCCGACGCCGACGCAGTCTTCGCCCAGCTTCTCTAGTACATATGCGTCCCCTTCTCGGAGACTCTCCGTAGCTTCGTCTGTCAAGGTGTACCACGGCCTGTAGGTCGTCAGAGCCGCCATGCGGATGAGTACTCGCTTCGAACGGAGCGAGAGCTCCCGGCCCGTCTCGATCTGAGCGAGGAGATGGGCGACGTGAATGTTACGGAACCTGTTGAATTCCTTGTTGCGGACGTAGTGCAGCACCCTAGCACCAAAGGCGGTGATTCGGGATATAGGAGCGGCCTTGTCTATGCATCCCATGATAACAAGTCGACGGCGCATCTCCGCGATAAGGGACGAACTCCCTCCGAGCGCCGGAACGGGCACCGAGGGATAAGCGAGGCTGCCAAACGTCGCGCTCGCCTCTAGCAGGAGGCGCATGGTATCAGCTTTTACGACGACGTTGTCTTTAGACTTGTTGGCCTGAAACCACTCGGAATCCCACATGGTATAGAGGGTGGGACGATGTCCGCCCTTCTTCGCGCTCTTGCTGACTCAGGCCCGCTGGCGAAAGAGGTCGCCTTCCGATATGGGAATAGCGGTGACGGGAAACTGACTGGTAGAAGCATCAAAGACCCTCTCGCATTTATGCGGGAGGGAAATTGCGCATCTGAGATTCTGCAGCGATAGACAGTTGCTCAGGCCGTCTTCGACAAAGAGGACGGTAGGCTTATCGACGCCCGTAATTTCCCGTATGCGAAGCTTCGGGATCTCCTTGTCGATGCTCACGTATCTTATGCCTTCGTTGCTGAATTTGTGGAGCGGCTCCATGATTCTGCTAGTCATTTCTACCAAGGGGGCGAAGATCGCAACATAAGGTGCCGCGCCGCCGTGCGTAGGTTCGTTCAATATCGGCAAGAGGATATCTACAATCTCCTCGTATGATTCAATCTCTTGTTCGTCGTATTGCGCATCCTCTTCCCAGCGGAGACAGGTAGCGCGGATGTCGTAACTATAGAATACATTATCCACGTCCTCCCTGTCGTTGCAGGCGAGAAGGACGATGGTGACCTTGACGTCTTCTAAGGATCTCAAGCGCTGGATCCAATTTACGAGGATGCCTATGCTTATCTCCCCGCTCACGGTCGGGATATGGTCGACGTCTGCAAACAGGATCGCGTCTTGGTGGCGAAGCACGGGCGACGCCTCCTCCGAGCCCGTCATCAGCTCGTTGAAATGGTCGAAAGAGACCAGCCCTAGCTTGTGCCGGCTGTCCGCGTCAGGCACCTCGTTGATCACCTCAGCAGCCTCACGTTCGGCGATATCATCCACCACTAGCTCGGCCTCTTCCTGGTTGGATAGGATATATAGACCTTGGGCGTCTGGTCGGGTGGCCTTGACATGCTTCCAAAGATCGGGGACGAGCACGGTACTCTTACCCACCGAATTCGCGACGACGTAGGCGACGCTGATGGGCTCGGACGCGGGCGACGAGAGCTGCTGGAGAGCAGGTAGGATGTGGCTTTCGTAGTTAGACATCGCGAAGATTGTCGGCTGTGGAAGAATTGCGTTGGTAAAATGGCAGGAAGGGTTGGTGAATTGCTGATCGTAAGAGGAATTAGAAGTTAGAATGGCTGTCGCGGTTTCGGTTTGGATTGCGCTTATGAACTGGCGAAAGATGTTTGGCGGGGGTGAAAGATAATTTCGCTGCTAGGCAACGATGCTATGTCTCGTACTTTGGCGCCTGGAATCACGTACGGAACAGCGCAAGATGCGCTGGAAACTAATCGTGAGCACTACCTAGGTACCTATCTATTCTGTTCAAAAGTTTTTGCTCATATGATAAATGAGGATAACTTGCCTACCTATTCCCGTAGCTTCTTGTCGTTTTCTTTCCCCTGGGATTGGGTAAGTTGGAGGTATAGACAATATTCGAGAATTAACTGTTTTTGAAACTAAAGTTACGAACAAGTCTATAGATTCTACAGAATTGTAATAACGTAATTAAATCACATATAAATCTGAACATTTTTAAACTATAATCATATAAGAGATATTAAATGCCCTATTAACATACCTTATCGACAAAGCTAAATAATGGCTTATTGCTATAACAATTGCTTCTAAAATCTTTGTTTCAAAGAGTACGACAGGCTTAAGAGGGTAGATTTCTCTCAATTACCTATTAATTTTAATTAAATATCAGTTAATAAGTCCAGAAGGTCCATCAATTTCATCCTCCTTTAACGCCGTTAACTAAGAAAATATAATAAGCATCGCTTTAATCAACACATAACTTATTCCTTTTCCTTAAGAACTAATTACGCTAGAAAATACATATTTTAACAATGCTGAAATAACTTTATCTTACGTTAAAAGTTCACTAGGCATTAGCTGAAGAAAATATGAGCAATCATAGAGGCGTTCTCGGATGAAAGGAGGCAATCTAACAAGTGTGTATATTATCTATATAAAGAAAGGATTTTTTTTTTTCTTTTTTTACAAACAATCACTCAACACTGAAGAAGAGCAGGAGAGCCACGTCCGTGGCTCATGAGTGGCACACTCACACAATCTGTTGATATGTTGTAATCCAGTATAAGCAGGTAAGTACACAGATAGGTAGTTCAATGTCAGTGCCTTGGATTGCATATGTAGGTACTCTCAAGTTTCTATAAACCCGCACTACGACCACAGGACAACTTGCGGCGGACCGACGGTTAAATCAAGCCAAGAGGCGCCCCCTGACACAAGACATGACTTCCCTTTGCAGCTTGTGGTCCTCGGCCTTTTAGATTGCCAACAAGGTCTCGTATGCCACGGCGATCGCCGCTCTTCTACACAAGATAAGATAACTTCGCCTCAAATCCGTATCGTTGCATTTCCAGGTGCATATTTGGTACAGAGGCCACTATACTAATCAGCTTATAACGCTGGATATGGGCTTTCACGGGTTCCAGCATCGTCGTTCGCACAGGTAAGCTTTCTGCATGATGTAGAATTCAGGGGCGTTCGGGACTAGGTAGTCCGTGCACTCTATCACTTTCAGAGATTACCATAAAGACATCATCTCAGAACGTATTCCTGTTGTGACAGAACTTCGAAAACCTATCCATTAAGCTTATCCAGTCAGTTAAGATTGGAGGCTAGAAAATTCAACGTTATACATACGTCCGTCAGCCCGTGTCGTTTTGATCTCTCAGCGTGTTCCGTCCGCGAATCTTTTCAGGTATATCAACCTACTCATACCCTGAGTTGTACCATACAATGCCTCATCGCGTGTGGGCTTTGTATATTGAATGCACAACGTTGTTTTCTGAGGTTGTTTGCCCAGGGGACGTTGTAGGTTTGAATCCCATGAAGCGAAGGTCTGACCAAACTTGCAACCTAGGTAAAATAATATAAACAGTAGCATATGGCATGGACAGGGATTGACAAGTTAGAAATATGCTGTAGGTAGATCAGGAGTATCAGATGGTTCTTATATATAGATTGTTTTCCTACATCATTCTCGCGTTGCCCCTCGTTGGCTACCCAACTACCTAACCTAAGTTACCTAAAAGATCCAACCTGCCCATGCGTTAAACCCCGCGTGTTTGATGTTCAGAGACCTTGGCCGCTCTTAGTGAGGCTTAAATACTACATATTTATCGAAAGCTACCGGGATTTTCATAAAGTTTTCGATCTTCGCTGGGTGTTTGCTGGCGCAGATTATATATCGCTCCTCGGTATCAAGACACATAACTGTGCTAGGGTGCATATACCGGTAGATTCACCAACTACATCCTGGCCGACCAGTCGGGTACTGATATAAGAGCGTATGAATTATGTCAAAGCTCCAAGAAGAAACACCCTTGACACCGACTCGGAACGCTTTCGGGAACAACTTGAATTCGGAAATACGTAGGAGAGCCCCGTACAAGCCCACCATTATTACTCTCCCCATTTTAATCACACCGCCGCTCATCAGTTGTCATTTGTCATAAATGATGATATTCTCTAATTCTAAAGATCCAGGTCTTAAAATACCATTTCACCCGTTATTTCCATCTCATATCGAACTGATAAATCTGATCACTCATCCTCTATCTCGGCGTTATCGGGAGGTACGAATGGGGTTTCCTGAGATTTCCAAGCTTGGGTGACGTATCTAGTAGGTAGTGTTAGTCTGATAAATCACAAAAGGAGCTCGTCATAATGACAGCTTACTTCGTGTGGCTTCCCCTAGCGGCGAGCTCGCCTTTCGCATTTATAAAAACGACGGACGTATAAGCTAATGTCTTGCCCACTGTAGAGCACATAAGTAACAGTCCCGGTCGAGATGGGGTAAATTTCTCACTCTTGTCGCAAATGGCTGTACCGGTAATCTTGTCGCCGACCTTGCCGCCGCTACTCAGGTACGTGACTTGGCAAGTTAGCATTCCTTCATCATGGCAATACGATATTACGACTTATAATGGTGAAGCAGAGGGGTTGAGGGAGCTTACCGTTGAGGTCTGTCGACACGCCGGTAGCGTAAAGCCCCATGGATGCGACGGCAAGCGAGCCCCCCAGATCAACCATGCTAGCAATTGTGCCGCCGTGTAACATCTTCAGTCGGTTCTACGCGTGTGAGCATCTGATGAGCGAACTCGGACCTGGACTTACAGTATGGTCTTTCGTGATATCCAACTCAAAATCAACCTTGCCGACGGCGGCATGGGTAATCCTAAGCTACCTGGATCGTCAACGAAATCCTATCTGCTTGATACATGGTCGAACTTGACTTACGTGAGGCCCTAAAAGTCTTATAAAACTAATTAGCGGCCGTAGAGGGATAAGATCGCATTGATTTACCTCGGCTCCAAACCGGACTCGGCCATAAAGGATTTCAAGACCTAATTAATTAATTAATTAGTAACAATTCGCCTATCGAGTTCTAGTTCTAGATACTAACCGATCGTACGAATCTCAACGGAGGTAACTTTTGCGCCATGGTCGCAATCGCGCGGTATCGGACGGTAATCGGACGGTATGGATTGTTTAAAAGATAAAAAGTCAAGCTCCGGATTGATAGCCGAATCTTGACGACTACCGGACCGCGGCTGACCGAGGCACACCGAAGTTTAAGTGGGCTGATGGGTCAGTCTAGATGAATAAAGTGGAGATGGAGCTACTCCGATACGCGCGCGATACGCTGATAAGATTAGGTACTTCACCTTTTATATCGCATATTTTCTTTTAGCCGCTCGACCTTCATAAAGCAATACCGTTGAGGTCTTTGTCACGGCATTTCGATAGCGCAATTATGGCTGCGATTGTCGAACTGTCCCAACCCACGATTATACTCTCAGGAAACCCCGTTCCCTATACCCGATTGCATATCACTCCGTTAGACGAATCGCTGCTCAGCGTTGTCGTCCCCTCTTCTGTCCTGCCTCGAGCGCGTAACATCTCGTATCACACTCTCGAAACATTCCCGGAGAAGCGATACGGCTTCGTAGACCTACCCACGGCCGAGGCGGACAAGCTAAAGCGAAAACTTAACGGAGCCGTCCTAAAAGGAACAAAGATGCGCATCGAAAGGGCTAGACCCGAATCTATCCCTGAGCCGACAGGCGCGGCGGGCGAGAACGAAGTGAAGAATGACGGGAATGATAGGAAGAAACTTAAGAAGAGGAAGCGCGAGATTGATGTTACACCGGGAGTTGAGCTTGAGGATCGAAAAATTAAGCGCGGATGGACCACCACGGAGCGAGAGATGATTGACGAGAAACGAAAGAAGGGCAAGGAAAAAAACCACAAGGACAAGGACGGGAAGAAAAAGAAGAAGAGGGAAACCAAGTCGAAATACACGGACGGACCGGAATGTTTATTCAAGACGAAACTTCCGGGCGATGGGTCGTCGAAGGGAAACCAGGATCTCGACCAGACCAAAAAGAAGCGGAAAAGCGGCCGTGAGGTGGTCATGCACGAGTTCGAAAAAACGATCAAGCACCCCTCGTTTCTCAAGAGTAATGTGGAGAAGTCGAGTTCGGTAGCCGTCACATTTGAAGACGGCGTTGGTTGGGTGGACGAGCACGGGACTGTTGTTGAACCCGCCGTAAGCAAGAGACCAATCGCCAACGCCTCAAGCTCTGCGGCGCAATCCAAGCCGTCCGAACCCCCAAACCCTGCTGAAGATGATGACACAACAAGCAGCAGCGGCTCTTCGTCTGATGATTCTGAGGATGATGAAGATCGGGGTCAGGTCGTAGACAGTTCGGATGATGACGACAAGGACGACAGCGAAAACGAAGACAACAGCGTGCAAGCCACTCCTGATAAGCAACCTGCAGAGATCAAGTTGGATACCCAAACTTCGACTAGCCCCGTATCAATTTTGAAGACGGGATCCGCGAGACACAAATCGTCAGGGTCTACCTCGAGCCTTACAATCAAGATTCCCCCTGCGACGCCTGCTGCTACAGAAGTACACCCGTTGGAGGCATTATATAAGCGTCCTCAAGGTGACGGTGCTGGGGACAAGTCCGGCGATGCTCAGCCTTTTAGCTTCTTTGACGGAGATGACAATGATATCGAAGAGGAAGATGCCGTGGGCCCTCCGATTCAGCAGCCACCCATGACCCCTTTTACGAAGCAAGATTTCGACTATAGAAATGTGAGGAGCGCTGCGCCGACTCCCGACACGGCACATCCCAGCCGATCGTTTAATCTATGGCCTAGACAAGGTTCTGTGGATGATATAGCCGAAGATGATGAGGACGAAGGCGATGGCGAGCGGGGAGGAGCCGCTATTAAAGCTACATCTGATGGGATTAACGGTAATACGGCCACGAGTGATTTCCAGAGGCAGTTCTGGGAGAGCCGGGGAGATTTAAATCGGTCCTGGAGAAGAAGGCGAAAGACTGTGTCGAAGGAGAAACGTTACAGGGAAAATCGTGTTCGTGCGGAGAGAGCTATCTAGGGTGTAAATTAAGACGAGTGAGTTTCTGAATTCCTGGGTTTATGAAACCTTGACCGCATGGGAATATGCCGATATCTTGTGGTTTGCGTATTACGTCGGCTATCTCTAGAACTGGACAGCGTGTCATGTCAAACTGATGGGCTATATGCCTTATAATTACATCTGCTCGCGTGCTAAGCAAATATCCATAGTACAAGAAACTAGTAGTACGGGCCAAGTCACGGAGCAAAGCGAGAAATAATTAACAGAATCTTGGCACTTGAGCCAGTTCTTGAAATTATTGATACCGTGGATTGTCCAGGTGGGTGGAATGTCACACGAGCATTTCAACGAATCGTAATCTCAAACTTCTCTACATACAAATACACTTCATCTCATGGCAATACTGATGGAAAACATTACGTCCATCGTATTCAACTTCAAGACTTCACGAAAGGGTAGGCCGAGTTACCCTTGCAAGTATGATTCTATGAAAAATCGTCAGCATGGGAGTAGCAAAATGCCAAGAATGTACGGACCTCAACGGCGGAGTTCAAAGTGAAAATTCATTAAAATCGATGGTCTTGCAAAGGTCCATCCAAGTCAAGCTGGCGTTGCAAAGCTCAAAAAATCACTGGGAATTGGAAAATCCTTAGATGACGGGCCGCCACTCCATAAACAATCCAAATGTCACGTTCATTCGGAGGTGCTAATATCAAAAACTAGCCAACTCTAAGCTACTTCTTGAGGTGCGGGGTGGTCCTCGTTAGAATGCTCGAGAATGGGACTGAGTTCTGTGAAAGTGGTGCTGTACGGATAGGAGAAGTTGGTTTCAACTCCATACTTGCGTTCGGCGCTGGCGAAGGCTCCCTGGGATGAAGCCAGGGTGAACGAACTGCTGCGGGGCGGGAAGGTGCTGGCGTTGGCTGTGCCGCTCTTGACGTCCAAGAGATTGCTTGAGCTGAAAGAAGGCTGAAGACACCAGCTTTCTCGAGGAGCGAGCCCGGAACGACGAGGTGGCGAGCCAGATTCCGAAGAGCTAAGATAGCCCGTGTCGGCATCCGTAAAGCTAGATTCAGCTGACGGGGATGATGACAATTCCTCGCTGGCAACGACTGCCTCTTCACCGGTGGAGCCAGCGGATTCGGCCAACTTACCAGCTTCCTCTTCAAGCAAGGAGCTGCTGCGAGCGATGCCGATACCGCTGTCCACAGAAGATGCGGCGCTAGGATCACGAACTTGCGGCTGAGTTGCTTGGTGCTGTCCGTCTGAGGGGCCTCCCGAGTTGCTGTTCTGATGGAAAGGTAATCGTTGAACAGCATAGCGGTCGAAACGATCGTCTCGGGCGTTCAAGTTGAAGCGATTTCGTCCCGATTCTTGCTCGACAGAAGTTCCCGAGTGACGGTAGACGCTGCTCTCGTTCTGGTGAGGGGCCGTAATGGCAGGCTGAGGGTGGAGAGGGTATCGTGCCTGCTGAGGGCGACCTCCGTTGCGATTATTGCGGTTGCCCATCTCGATCCACGGCGAGTCAGTATATAGTCCGCGACTAGGTCCCCATTCTTCAATGCCGGCAGCACGATGCTGGTTGAAAATGAGGATCAGTACCAGAATGATGACACTGCCAAATACCCACATAAGAATGGCATCCTTTGTAGTCTCGGTCTGGTAATCCGATAAGGATTTGAGCATGGTGGCGCTCGCAATTACGTTAATTGTGGCCACGCCCATCAGGCAATAGAGCACGATCTGGAGGACATCGGTTCCAGGGCCAGGACGGAAGAAGGTAAAGATTCCCAGGACCGCTTTGCAACCGTTTCGAAAAAAGACGCAGATGCGCGCTGTGACGGAGGGGCCACGGTTCTGATTATCGGGAGCGATGGATGAAGGCGGCGATGGAGACAGCTGAAGTCCTTGTACGGCAGTTCCGCGAGGTCCCTAAGACGCGGCCTGACCGTCGTAGACAGCAGCCTGGTGACCCGAAGACATGTTGTCCAAGTCAGAAGTCAGGAAACCAAACTGTCTGTGTACAATGCCAATTCTGCCCTGTTCCCTGTAGTCACCTATATTGTTGTTAATCGAGAAGTTTTTATTTGTATTTGCGAAGGTTCCTTTGTGTTTCTTACCAAGAATGAGGTAATCTGCAGAATGCAAGGGTGTGAAATGCAGGACTTGGGGTGAAATTGTGTTGTTGTTTTGGCTCTCAGCAATGCGACCTGCAACAGTTCTAGTAACCTCTGGAGTCTGGTTCTGGACGCGTGCCTGTCGTGAATCAACAGTGAGGGGCAAATCCAACAGTATGAAAGGGACCCGTCCCTGCCCTATTTTTTTTTAAAAAAAATGGTTAGATGAAGTCGAAATGTCGCCATCACAATTTGTTGCCAACTTTCATACACCACACTTCTATGCACCAGAGTAATCTCTATGCTAAACCCCAAAACTTCAGTTCGTCAAACTCAACCAAGCAACATATAGCCGACCACAAAACACAGAACATATATCACGAAGACTAAATAGGAGAAGGAAATTACCTCTGCCAGTATCCTGACGGTTATCTGAAGCTTGAGACATATTTGTGTTGAACGTAACGATACCTAAAAAGATGAAATATGCTGAAAAGGGGTGTGACTGCTGAAGGTATCTGAGATAACTAGTTAAACGGCACAGGTCTTTGGCTCCCTGGCTCTTCAAAATCCTAAATAGTAGAGGCTGTTTTTTGTAAGAAGAGAGTACCTATCAAGAACCCTAGATGTTATATCGAAATAGTTTCTAGAGACTGCTGAGGCCTAGCACGATCACTACTTGGGTACCTAGGTAGCTAATGTCGGAAGTGTTAAGAGCGGGAGCCGAAGCAGAGAGAATGTCTAACGCACCTTGAGTAGGTGGACCGCAGTCTGAAAAGTCTTGAAGTAATTATGTGAGGGTTGTTGGACGATGAATGTTGAGTCGATGTCCGTCACAAGAACGTTTCGTTCAAAGGTCCTATAATAACGATTATCAGTCAAGCCCTAACACACAACTTCGTAGGAGGGCGGCAAAAAAAAAAAAAAAAAGAAAGTCACTAACGTTGCAAAAATATGCTAGGTACGATTACAGACGCATTGGCTGAAGAACTTTAGGTGAGGAGTGAAAGACCGTCAAAAAACAACAGGCGTAAATGCGGAAAGTAGAAACCGTGCAGTTAAGAATTGGACGGCGAAATAACAGGATTACCTTGCGGAAAAGTGGTTGACGAGGGAAGGGAAAACGAGGAAAGTAGGGTTTGAGAACGAAGTTTTTTACGAAAGAGAATGGTGCCTAAAAATTGGGAATCGTTAGGTGGTAAGGCACACCGTTTTAAGGCAGGAACATGGTTCGAATTCGTGCCTTTATGGCCACAACGCGTCCTAGTTGCCGTGTAATTTCCAAGCCGTAGAAATGCCTAATGTACTAGTCCGTATTAATACAACGATTATGAAATAGACAGAATGGTAGCCAATAAATTTGCACAGAACGAAATTCAACCACGTCGATACTGAGAGGAAACAGGTAGGTGGTTGGATCTTGGGTTAAACGACAGCACAGTTCAAATTTCAGGGGAAAATAAAATCTAATTCTCCGGTTCAATACATCATGAATCAAGATGTTGATAGTATGCGTCCTGCTAGTAATAATAAGCCTGTCATCTACCTATGTCCTGCTTGATGGGAAGTTTCGTTGCCAAAGTCTCTATCACCCTGATTTCAATAAAAGCCCTGGTGGCCAGGTATTCACTCATCATCAAATATTCCTAGTTTTTATATGGAAATAATTAAAAGGTAAAATTGTATTCGTATGGTAAGAATAGTCAATTAATTCCGAGCTGAATGTTCAAGTTGGCATGTTTTCGTGATATATATATATATATTTTCTCAAATTAGCAACCTCATATTCTCAAGGGTAAACTTACTACGGTGTATTTCCACATTCAACTTTCATCCGTAGGACGCTTGCAACTATTCTTACAGTGTTATGCTTCGCAGCTTTTCAGATTTTTGGTTTGTCGATACGGATGGAAAGAATATTGTAGCAAGTTTGCACTTGAGAAACGATTATTCGTCTTTTTAGTAGATGATATTTCGCCTTATCTACATAAACATATTTAGATAAACATGGACGAGCATAGATGCCTGAGTGACTTCCTATCACTATTTGCTGCCGATGACATTACGCCAATACGAGCTATTTCCTAAGGTCTTGATATAGTTTCCCTTGGTAAGCAGCAGGTTGCCTTCGCCCCGATGCTTAACAGTGGTCAACATTCGATGTTATGTTTTGGTACAGTACACTACGGGCCATCATGGCGGAATAAACTCTTTACTGTCGAATTAAAATGTTTAAGGCTGCTATGACGACGTACGATCCCTCCGGGTAGTTTAAATATTACGTCTCTAGAGAATTATTGCCATGCGAAGACCCATCTCGAAATGTTTTCCTACATTTTACACACTACGGCTTCCCAAGTCCAAGGTAAGAAGCACACTTACAGATTCCTATTTCCCAACTAGTTCGTCGAGTGATTGAATCGCGAAGAGGCATGTCGTTGGAAATATGGAGATATAATTTGTGGGGAACTAACGAACGGCCACCAAGGAACCACTACTTTGATCCTCTCGAAGAGCTACCTTAGGTACCTACCTTACGCAAGATGGCCAAGCTTAACGTTCTGACAAGCTAGCTTAGTACGATGTGCTCATCGGGACTAAAGCTATCCGGAGACATGAATATTTTTCTTCACTTGGGAAATACGATGGGAGAAACATGTGCCACAGAAAAGATAGTAGGTATTTCGACTAAAGGATGGGCTAGCTATTGAATACAACACGCCTTTCCCTCGCCATCATTCTTCCATTAACTCATAGGTGTCCGAGAATCCCCCGATAGGTATAGCTCATCATGATGAATGATTCCCCACGCTTCGAGAGACTCAAGGTATTGTAGGAAATTCGCAGTGGGTTGATGTCATTGAAGAGTGCAGCGAAAACCGGGCGCGAAGCAAGTGACCCGGCTCAAACTGTGGGCTAAGCATACCTAGGTAAGGTAGCCAGCTTATTTGCCGCAAGAGCAGGTGTCGCCGCATTGGCCTATCGAACAATAAGTCAGAATGTCTATTCTAGATAGCTAGAGAAAGATGGTAGCAAGGGATATTAACTTACAGTTGTCAGCGCAGCCGCATTCTCCCTTCATTTTGAATGTTTGATTTTTTCTTTTTTTTGGAATGATACCAAATAAATCTTTTGTGTAGTATTGTTGGTTAAAGTTGATCTGATCGTATGAGTATGCGTTTGTGTAGTGGGAAAATAAGGCAATGATTGAGGAAGAGGGACTTATGTCGACCTTTTATAAGCTGATAAGCGCTCGGGATGTGGGCCTGTGGACAACTCGAATCGGGGCTTGCACAGCAGCAGTGGGCCAATCACTAAGCATAAACTAAGGATCTGTATGGGTGCGCTGTTTGTGCGGGGTTTGCGCTTTTTCAGGGCGATGTCGCCCTGTCTCACCACACCATCACTAAAACTCACTAAAAACTCACTAAACTAAGCGGTTCCAAGCAACACCTAAGCCAACACCCAATACGGAAGCTAACTTTTAGCTGGTTAAATCATAACCCTTTGACTTTGAATTTCCAATCAGCTGATGCACCCGTACGGACAATTGTACCAGGCACAAGTCGCGCAAAAGAAGTTGGATGCTTTGGTACCGGTTTATGCGGTTTATGCGATAAGCTTCAAAGAAGTCCGGGCTGACCCATGGTCCACGGATTGTTATTCAGTGGCAAACTTTTACGACTTGCGATATTTGTGCGTTAGTTAATTCGAGACGTTTCTTTGCTTACCAAAAGGATGGTAAGATTTCTAATCTAGAATCTTTAAGGTATCTTTCTTCTCACAAAGCCATAACTGTGTAGGACTAAAGTTACAATATTTTTGTCACAGAAATTACCTTGTAAGTTACTTGAAAGACACAGTGGAGCTGTTACCTTTTACCATCCATTCGAAGGCGTATGTATGTCAAGCCATGTCAAGCCTGTTTCCCCTCCTTTCCCTTCAGTTTCCCTTTCCGTAGCACATGACGTTAACCTAAGACAACTCCATTGTTTTGTTTTATTCTTGTTGACGAAAATCACACACAAAGTGTATCTTTATCCCCAAACAGGTAGGAAAAAATAGCCTGGTGATGGTTGAAGCTTAGCCTAACCAGGAAAATTAGAGCCGCTGACGAGAGAAGCTTCTTACTACTGGCCAGCATAATGATACCTAATGCTATACCCGCAGCAATATCTTATAACAATCCTTCCTGCTCTGTTGGTATCCTGCCTGCCTGCCTGCCTGCCGGTATCCCACCTGTCCTATGCCTGTATCTTATCACGTTGTAGCTCGATTCACAACTGCTTCGCTATTCCGGCGAGCCAATTGTGCGGTTCCTATGACATATAGCGGGGGCACCGTACCTCCCACCATCTGAGTCAATTTTCGTTTGAGCTTCCATCTTCGGGGACTAGTCTAGGACTTGAGCTAGGAGTGTCTCGGCTTAGTGTGCGCATTCCTTGCCACTGACGAACTACCTGACTACTTGGTTTCCAGTTCTGCGAGTTCCAAAATCCGCATAGATATCCCCGGAAACTCATTCCGCACCCTTTCGTGCGATGTGGCATTCGTAAGACGGATTTTATCGGGTTACAGCGTCACACTCCAAGATAGTGTTGTAGTTCTCCCACGTTGTCGGTATCGGTCGTATCACTTACTTGAATGCGTATCATCCCGGCTTATCGCAACTCGGCGGGGGAAATCTAGGCGTAGCTAGTAACACAGTTTAACCCAGTCTTGGAGTTTGTTACTTGCCGGTTCAAGATGCGTGGAATTTTACGATGGTATACAAGGAATGCTAGTAATATTGTCTTATGGGTGCGTAGAACTATGATGGCCGCTATCCTGATCCTGATCTATCCTCGGTAGGCGAGATAATTAGAAAACTGGTGTCTCGCTTGACGAAAAATGTCAGCAAGATCTCAAAGCACATGGAAAGCCCCCATCGACATTATTTGATTAGCGAAGCTTTTCGTAATATACACCTTGAATATTTGATAACGTTTACGTGCGTCATTGAACTAGGGCCGTGGGATAATGCATGTAGGTATACGAAAAGAGAAGCCAGCTCGTTCATGGCAGTGCCCGTATGGGATACAATCGCTGGTGCATCCATCTTATAGTACAGCGATATATGCCGGTGTTGACTATTACTATGTAGACCTTGCCTTGCTTCCCCTCGCCAAGATCTGTTGGCCAAGGAATGTTAGCCATGGCTCCAAATCGTCTCTTCCAGCGCCGCGGGTACGGTACTCTCTTGCCGGCCGTAGGATACCTACATCTCTCCAACTTTCGTCGCGACAAGGTATACTACGCATACCACGCCCTAAACCTCCGAGCTAATGGATAATATCAACCTACCAATGGGCCATTCGGCATTTGCGCATGTATAGGCATTGACTGTATTAGCAGGAATCTCAGCGTCGGGTGAAAATGAAACAACTTGATCATAGACAACTGTAGTGTTAGACACGGCGACAGAGTGGTTTCTAGCCTTCCTTTCAACAGCATGGGTATCAGCCACCAGCTTCGTAAGGCCGCCTGGTCCTTCTTATTCCACTCCTTAAGTCTTCTTACCAAGTCAACTAGCACACTCCTCGCAACGGGTCAGATTAAAGGTTCGAGTGCGCTCAATTTCTGTTTCTTTCTTTCGTTCTTTTTTGATTCCATTTCATTCCGGTTTACATTTCCTACCGTCCAGCTTACCAGTAACCCTATCGGTGTAGTGACGTGAATACGGTATATCGCTTTAATATTTCGTAAAGATATTTCGTAAAGTAGAAGATGTGTTCAAGTGTTGGCTCTCCGATGCATAACGTCTGGGTCGGATTGGCACCTAGGTGTCCGCTTCGTATCTACTCTGCTCTCCCTTTTAGGGGTACTTTGAGAATACGAGTATAGGGGCTAAATTCTTCGGGCGCTGGATCATCATAAGTATCGAAACGCCGTAGCGTATCCTCCAGAAATATTTTTGCACTCATACTGTTGATGCAAGAGTGTCCCCATTTCTACCACTATCTATGCTTACTATAAGGATCCGCCATGCTCCTGATGTCTCAAGCCTTCCTGTCCTGATATTGACATCAGACAGCTCCTAATAAGAGCGGGAAGTTCCGCGTCGCAGTCCCTACCCCCGTTGGCAAGGCGCGACATAATATGTAAGGGAAGATCAGCTTTCTACAGCGCAGACCGACATGTGGCAAAAGATACGAGAGATGACGGCTTCAATATCTCCTGCATTTCACATATAACTACTTAAAAGAAGCTCTCGGGGACCTCGATCTATATGTAAGTACAGAGCTCCGGTAAAGGCCCTATAATACCATGGCGGCCTCAAAACAGTTAGGAAATTTCCATTAGAACCGGCTGTGAGTTGAAATGGGAGTGGTGAAGTGGCGCGTAGTTGACTTCAATAGGGAGTTTCAGAATCATACGGCCAGCGGAATACGAACATCTAACATGGTGATTTATATCGACTAACCATAGGGAGTTGAGGGATATTATGTTAGGTACCCAAGACTTACAGGTAGTTTATCTCATATCTTTACCGGGCATTCGTTCATATCGTGCCTTGACGAATTCAGCCTAGTTTCCTCGGGAGGCCGACTATCATGATGAAAAAAGGGGTCAAATATATCATCCAGAGTAGTGCAACAGAGAACACTCTCACAGGACGGCCCAAGTACTGTCATGATCAATGGCGTTCAGAACTGTCGGAATATCACTTGAATGCATGGCAAATTATGTGAGCTGGCTTGGTATGCAATCTCATAGTAGTAGACGACCAGGTCTCGATGAATTAGTTAATAATATAAACCGCTAAATTAGATGGCCAGGAGACCTCCTGGTTTATCCTGCTACCAGGTAAATGTCCTGACTTCCCAAGATGAATTGCATCAAGTATACGCATGCGTATGGGGATTACCTGGGGATCCAATACAACATGGTAACAGGCTCGATGAGAAGAATATCCGAGCATTATTTTCTCCAAGTACCCAGATGTTTGTCCTTACCCTAAAATTCGATAACATATCACATCACGATCCGTCCCCAACGCCGTGTGATGCAGTACCGAGCATGATGAATGCTCGAGACGAAATGAACAAAAAGAGTACCTAGGTATGTATAGAAAATATCATCCAATAAGCTAGCTCTGTCGGGAGAGCTGCGGCTAGTCGGTCCGTTGCTTCTTGCCTCGGCCGCGCCTGGCAAGAAATCGATCGCGACCGCCGACATCTCTCCAATACTGCTCCAAAACTTCCGGAGCGATCTTTTTTAGTTTGGCTTCGGCTTCGAAAGATGTCTCCCCACGAGTTGGCGGGTGGCCTACCCATTGAACTTCGAATTCGAATCCACCTCTAATTTTCCTTTCATGACCGAGAAGCTTGTAGACGTGGTAAGTCTCGACGGGCGCGTTCTTGGGTTTTATAAACAAGGCATTGATACGACCCCCTTGAGCTTTCCAGTATGCGTATAACGTCTCTTCGGCGCCTCGTTGAATTTCCTCTTCGACCTCCCAAGTAGCGTCATCCTCACTCTCTCCGGCCCAATGGACAAGGAGCTCAACTCTGCCGTCTTGAGCCATTCGGTGTTGTAAGAGACCCTGGATTTCTTTTTCTTCGCGTTCGTCGGTTTCGGGTTGTGTCTGTTTGGTTCTGCTTGGTTCCGTCGCTTTCTCTTTACCTTTCGCATTTTTTCTTGTCTGGTTCGGACGGCCGGGCTGGGGCTTCTTGTTGGCAGATTCGCTAGGGGTTGCGTTGGCATTGATGGATGGCTCTACAAAATGCAACAATGGTTAGACTACAATTGGGTCCGTGCTGCACGGAGAAAAAGGAAACATTAGGTTAGGTACACATACCAGGAACACCCATATTGGCCACGGGTACTTGTGAATTTTGGCTGGATTCTTCTTTGGGCTGGAGATGTAATCGTGCCGCTTCGGGCTCTTGTGCGCGGGCTAGATTTGCGACCGCGTCGACGCGCGCAGTATCTGTTATCTCGCTCTTCCGCGTGCCCCGTAAACGGCTTTGAGACTCTGCGAGTATACCTACATTAGCTTTGACTAGAGGATAAAAGGTAGATTAGGTAATTTTATAGACGTACTATTGGTCTTTGATGTAGATGACGGTCGTCCCTTTCTGCTTGAGTTTGGTGTTTCTGAAGAAATGCGCGTCCGCGTATGCTGGGTCGAAGGGGTCTTTTGAGCTGGCTCGTCTGTTTGCTGTGATTAGCATTGTTTTGTTTTCCCACGATCGATTTGAGTGATTGCCATCTCCTTACCATCGTCTATCTCATCGTAAGGGTCACTCTTAGCTTTACGCTTGGTACCACGCGGTTGCTTGTCGCCATTTACCGATCTAGGCGCAGGTGACGACTTGGCGAATATATTGAGAACACTAGACATCATAGGGGATGCAGTAGGTGTAAAGATGCGAGGAGAAGGGTAGACTCGGATGGGGTTGATGGGGTTGATGGTCCGGTAACTTTGGAGATGGGAAAAGCTTTACGTTTGGGAGGAGTTGATGACTTGACAAGTTGTATTTCAGAAGCTATCTGGAAGCTTTTCGACGCTTGAGGTGGCGCGGCAACGGTGGAACCGCGATTTTTCCTATGACTGGAATGACGAAGAAGTTACTGGCCCTTGAAGAACTGACGTTTACCTAAGGCCGAGGTTGTACCTAGGTACGTAATTGTTATTGGGTACTTTTGATATGGGACCTGGACCGTGCATGACTTTTAACACGTTAATTACCCAAAGCTACTAGCGAGATTAGTCAGGTAAAACACATAGGGGCAAAGCCAATGAAAAAGCGCGACGCGTTTAGTGGGGGGAGGGGTAGAGGGGTAGAAGGAAAATTCCAATGGGTAGTTAGGGGTTTTAAAAACTATTGCATTGTACAATATAATAATACAATAATACAATTTCTTACATGAGTCAGAAGGCGCCGACAAGCATTTAGGGTTTTTAAAATCTCCAATCCCTTAACTTTCAAACCCCAAACCTCCAAACCCCAAAAACCGACATCTTCATGACAGTCGGTCGTTTCCTTCATTCTAGATCGATCATTATTCGTACCGTCCATCCCTTTCGACTTCGACAATCGAAGATATTCCAATCTTCTAACCGTCCTATTCGCTACCACGATACCGAACCCCATTACCAGCGTTCATTCGTGTTCCAGAGGCGCGCTGCTAGCACCATGGCGTTAGAAAATAAAATAGACGAGATTCTCCTGAAGCTGGATAACCTGACGGTCGAGTCCATCGCCGAGAAATATCCCACCACTCATCCCAATGTCAACCCTCTCGATTACTACCGGATACACATCAGCGAACTCCTTGCCCCCATCACAGGTGTCGCTCCCGATAAGATTCTCCCCGCCATTTATTGGACAAATGCCCTCGACAAGGGCGACTTCAGCTTACCTATTCCCGCTCTCCGGATAAAGGGCGCAAAACCAGACGCTCTAGGAGCCGAATGGGCGGCCAAGGTAAGAATTGCTTGTGGACTATAACCGCGCGCACTACTAATTACACTAATTACTTTGTTTCCTTAGTTCCCCGAAGATGATCCTCTTATCGAGAAACCCGTCGCTGCTGGCACGTTCCTATCCTTCTTCATCAGGGGTGGACCCTTAACTCAATCTCTCATTCCTATGATCCGCAGCTTAGGTGTGGAATACGGACGCAATCGATTTCTCGGTCTCAAAGACCCCAAGGACCCGAGCAAGGGCAGGAAGCGAATCGTGGTCGAGTTCAGTTCTCCCAACATTGCCAAGCCATTCCATGCAGGACATCTTCGCTCCACCATCATCGGAAGTTTCCTTGCGAACTTATACGAGGGTGCCGGTTGGGATGTTGTTAGAATCAACTATCTTGGCGACTGGGGAAAGCAATATGGCCTCTTAGCTCTAGCCTACGAGAGGTACGGAGACGAGGAAGCGCTGAAGAAGGACCCTATAGACCACCTGTTCCGACTCTACGTCCGTATAAACGCCGAGAAGGAGGAAGATTTAGCCGCTATCGAGGCCAAGAAGAAGGAAGGTCAGGATGTTACCGAACTCTTGGCCAACAGCTTAGACGAGCAAGCTCGACGATACTTCCGAAAGATGACGGATCGAGATGAGAAGGCTCTCGCGTTGTGGAAGCGCTTCAGAGATTTGAGTATCGTCCGATACAAGGCTACGTACGCGAGGCTGAACATCAAGTTCGACGAATACAGCGGTGAGAGTCAAGTCAGCGAGGAGGCGATGGAAAAGGTCGCTAAGCAGATGGCCGGGAAGAAAATTACGAAAGAAGACCAAGGTGCCGTGCTCGTCGACTTCACAGAGCTTATACCTGGTAAGGAAGGTAAGCGCCTCGGCAAAACCGTCATCCGAAAGAGAGACGGCACTGCTTTATATCTTACCCGAGATATCGCGGAGCTTCTTGGCCGGTACGAGAAATACAATTTCGACCATATGATCTACGTCGTTGCTAGTCAGCAGGACCTTCATCTTCAGCAGCTCTTTAAGATCATCGAACTCCTCGGATACAAGGACATCGCAGCTCGCTGCCAGCACATCAACTTTGGATTGGTCCTGGGAATGAGTACTCGAAAGGGTACCGTCAAATTGTAGGTAATTCCATTCCACTTCTGGGCCCTAAGCTAACAATATCGCGCGCAGCTTGGATGACATTTTGCGGGACTGTGCCGATCATATGCACGAAGTTATGCGGAAAAACGAAGCCAAATATGCTCAAGTCGAGGACCCCGAAGGTACTGCCGATACTCTCGGAATCAGCAGTGTTATGACGCAGGATATGAGCGGGAAGAGGTATGTTGTTGTTGTTAACGCATAATCAAGAGATTGGTCTAACAAACTATTGACTAGGGGTAACAATTACACCTTCGATTTGGCGGTGATGACGTCTTTCGAAGGAGACACGGGCCCTTACTTGCAATACGCGCATACTCGACTGTCGTCCATCAAGCGACGAGCGAACGTCTCCGACGAGGAGTTAGCCAACGCGGATCTATCGCTCCTCACGGAACCTCACGCCGTCAATGTGGTCCGACTACTTGCCCAGTGGCCGGACGTCGCCCAGAACACGCTACGAACCCTCGAGCCGACTACGGTAGTAACATACCTCTTCAGGCTCACTCACGTTATCAGCAGCAGCTACGACCATTTGCAAGTAGTAGGCAGCGATCCCGCGCTGAAGGCTGCTCGTATGGCATTATACGACGCCGCTCGGATAGTTGTAGGAAACTGCATGCGGTTACTCGGATTAACCCCTCTAGAAAGGTAAGCTTATCGCGACACGTTTGCGAGATATGACTTTCTGACGTTTTACAGGATGTAAGAGATGAACCTAGGCGCGCTATCGAGTGTCGTCCCGATCGCTATCAGTGCACGCGTTCTGCTGGGCATTTACGATCAGAATGGTTTGCACGCATTTCACCTAGAATGTTACCTAGAAATGATATTCTATGGTCATAGTTGCATTCGCTGCATTTACAGCAATTCAAGTCGCTAACGGCTATTTTTGCTTGTGCGAATAACAGGCCTGGGATTCCAGGTTTTAGCCCAGCCCTCCCCGACTGCTGCGATATTTTGATGAGCATCGTAGTTCCAACTATGATAAGGAAACGTTTCTGTTCCTTAGGATTTCTAAAAATGCCATAGTCATGATACTATGTGATGTCGTATTTAGATTAATAAACTCTGGCGTTAGTACACGATCAATCTGTTCTCGCCGCGAAATCGCTGTGTTATGGTTTAGACTTGAATGCCCCAGTTTCTGTAGGCTTAAGCCGAAGCTCAAACTCCAAGTTACTAGGTAGCTTTAGGTACACAATATTAGGTTAGGTATAAAATCTACCTGATACCTGTTATGGTCTCACCGGCAATGTTCTGTGTTCCTAGCCAGTGTCGTAACATCAATATCATGATACCAAAATATACAAGTGTATAGCACGCATTGCAACGCGGTCATATCCGTCAAAGTTCGAAATCATCTCGCTAACCCATGCAACCGCTGAATCCACCAGGTAATACGTTTCTCCCGCCAAATCAACATTGCAATAGCAACGGTAATCGTTGATAGATGATCCAAATTTACACGGGAAACTCGAGCGTGTGACTTCTATCCCTAAACTTCATTATCCAACGTCAATGACCCCGATTGCTCCGAATTTGGCGGCTCTCCTCGGTGGCTTGATATCCACGAGTTCGTTTGCTTCAGTAATATGCGCAACGCATAAGTCGTTACAGACGTTGCCGCGGACGAGGTGAGCATTCCACCGAGTAAATATATGTCTAACAAGTTACTAGTTTAGGTACTTGTTATCACTTACGCAGACTAGGGTAACCACCGCGCCTCTCGGGGAACCGGCAAAGATGGTAGGTACCTACTTGGGTGTTTTCGTCGGCAGGGTCCAAGTAGAACGGATTTTTAAAATATGATGTCGTCACCGAGATGGAATGGCACATTGAGCCCTTGAGAGGTAAATACGGTTAGACAAACGAACCCCTATAAGTATCGAATTGTCAAAACTACTAAGAACCAGGTCTTCGTATCCCCAAAGGCTCAATTTACACTATACAAGACATATTTGGAATCGGGGTCGTTTTCGTATTCTGCTAGTCGAGACCATCCGGACGCCTCTGCTAGACGGGATATATAATTCCGGCTTTCGGTATTCGACAGCTAGGCGGTTAACCGAGGAAGATTAGACACCCTGTAGTAGCAAAGACGTCCGGCGAGGATGGCGAGGAGTCCCGATGCGAAATGATACATGTTGTACACCACCCGGATTCTCGCGGGCTGAGTGCCATTTTTTAAGCTAAAAAGACCCATTCCGGCGAAGAACAAGGATAGAGGCCGTATCGCAACCATAAGGGAAACCCTTCTACCCGCACTTTTTTTCGTGTACTAACATGAAAGTAAATAGAGAAAGTCGGGAAATATGGTTGATTCCAGCGCGTTGAGCATTACGTGGAAGATGTTAACATCGGTGACACTGCCCGCGAAACAAAATAAACATTTCACAAGACTCCAAGGGAATATCATGTGGCCTAGGTAGGTCTCGGGGTTTTTAAGTGTACTCGTATATAAGGTATGCTTGACGGAACTTCGAGAAAATTAGTGGGATACTTTCGAATAGGGCATATTGCCCTGGTATCTTCAGTCTTGCTTTGGAATATAATATGAGAAATTTGTCTCGATAATACGACAGTCTAGACGTACTTGATTAAGATGTTAAAAATACCTAAGGCCCTTCTATAAACAGGTTTTGGTTTCATAGAACGGACCTCGAATTAGTTCGAGTGCTTCCATTTCTAATCGCGAAAGCTGTGGCAAGAAAAGAAAAGGTTTACCTACTAAAGTCGATGCTAATATGATGAATAAGATTTAGGGGATCGAAAGTAGGATTCCAAACACATAGACGCTGATGGAGCAGATATCCAGCTATTTCGAGGTTGCAAAGGTGTTGCAAAGGCGTTGTACTTTGGGTACCAGGTGGCTGGCTATTAGGTTGTCCTCTAATTGGCCGCCAAGCCCCTGTACCTTCCCCTTTCGGGCATGAAATACAAAGGTACACCTCAGAGCTGAAGTAGCTCTCCCTTATGCCCAACTGCCATACAATATGGTTTTCCATACATTTATGAGAGCCATATTCTTCAATTGAGGCTCTAACAGACTTCGCCTCGCAGTAAAATAGTTTATTTAAGCTCATAGTTAAGTACCTATATGCTACAGCAAGATTAAAACGGGATAAGCGAAACCAGACTTCGTATACTCCATAAAGCTCGACCGAGAGATGCGATAACTACATGTACCTAGGACTCTCTTTCGGAAGACTTACATAAATTATAAACCCCCACGTTCTAGCATTGCGGAGCTCGCTCCTCTCACCGAACTCTCGTTCCCCGCTTGCAAATCCCAAGTATCGGGCTGTCAGGTTATCAGGTGATGAGAAGGGAATCGGTCCAGAAGCACAACTCCACATCTCCACATAGGTAAGCTAAGGGAACTACACCGCGCTAATACAGGGACCACGCGGCGTATGGAAGGGCTGGAACTTGAGCGGCGGCGGAATACGTCCAGTAGAACCCCACAAGAGAAGCTAGCCTCCATACTACATCCTGTCTGGTGTAAGATACTCCCCCACGACGAAACACGGAATGGTTTTTCTTGGGAGCACGTGTTTTCGAATTTGGCAGGCGAGTGGCTTCCATCCTGACAAGGGGGACGTATCCAACAGACCGAGGTCGGTTGACGAAGGTCCAAGAGCTACCTAATATTTACATAGTCGAAACTAAAGGCTCCATCAACTAAACCACGCTGCGGATAACTGCGATGTGTAATTAGTACATAAAAAATACGATGTCGTGCTCTTCCATAGATCCAGTTTTCACCTCCCATGCTGTTAATAATCGCAATTGTCCTAATGTCTTTCATCGTCTTACTCTATTTTTTACAGGACATCAAAAATGGGTTATGAGGGTTATATTTCTCGTATGACACCTAGCGATCTCGACAACGACGATACTTTTCCGGAGAGGCACACTCTTAATCCTACCGCCGAATTCAAGTCGCAGTCAGACGCTCGGGAAGAGCATAAACGGGAAAACACCCCTACAAGACAGATCCGGCGACGGCCCAGACGGCGATCGGAGAGCGCAGATGGCTACGAGATGAGGGATAGATACTGGGAAGCAATGGATATTATCGAGCAAGATCTTACGGAAGCGACAAAAGCACCTGCTGTTTGGGATTACGTCTATGATCCGGTATGCCTACCTCCGTCAGGTGTTTCTAAGACTCCTGCTATCCGCCGACTCGGAAGCCTCCCAATTCGAAGAGCGTGGAGGCGTCTTAACAGTCGAGAACATCCCGACCTAGGATCGACGGGGATAGTTGAAGCTGTCATGCTATATGAGAGGGGCATAATCCTATCTCGTCAGCTCCAATGTACACACTGTCGGAAAAGTCAAGGCGTATCTCCTGGATGTGTTGTTCTAGATACCGAAGAAGAGTTCCGGGGATCACCAGATAGCCTCAGCAGACTTAGGCTAATGTGCAGCAATTGTCTATACGACGGTCGACAGTGCGATGTGCAGATACAATCTGCACGGAACCAGCCTTCTAGAACACCAACGCCTAGCCAGATTAAGGGATGCTCTATCTCGAATCCAATACACCTAGATGTACTCGACCTAATCGAAAAGATGCTGAAGTCTGAAGGAGCCGAAAAAGAAGATGCGGCCACTCGAGCAAAGGAGATTGAGATGGCAGCTTTAGAGATCGCGCAAGCAGCACACGAATGGGGTCTTGGTATTAAGGACAAACGCCGAAGGAATATATACCCGACGCATTCTACGAATTAAATCTTCATTGGCATCTGCGCGCATCATTAGGAAGATTCAAAATGGTCCAGAATGCGGTGCTAAGCGAGCGAAACCTCGAAATTTCCGTAGGAAAGGAAACGTGCGGTTAGTCATGCTTAATCTCATAGAATTCCTTTGGTAATGTATGTCCAACACGTATTATCTGCTACAGAAGTTGTGCTGATGACAATATATCGTAGGCTTATTTCGATCACAGCATTAATTGTAAAATATTCCAGTCTTCAGTACCGAAGCGGCGGGGAGAAAAGGCCCTATGCTGGCCAAGTGAAACTCATGATCTGAGCTCTTGAAGTTCCCATCTCATATTATACTATGTATCATCGATATCAACGGGCTAGACCGTTGATATACCATAAAGTCTATCTCGGAAAATCCATCCGGCCTGTGTATCACATCTCTAGCATGCGCATCTTAAAAACTCCTTGGGAATGTTAATCAACGTGTTGAAATTCTGATGATGGAATGTCGCATCCGGCAATCAAAGACTCCAAGTTCTAAATTTAGGAGCTCTCAAATACCGGAGATATTGGATTCGCCGATATCAAAATCTCTTATCTATATATGACCTGTCAAATCTTTGTTGGAGAAGGCTTTCGAGTTACCCAAGTGCGTTCTGCCTAAGTGAGGCCGGCGTCCGGATACGACTTGGAGGTTCCAGTCGTTCGGAAGATGGCGTGATCCATAAAGGCCTAAGACTCCGACAGTATCCGGGAGAATATTAATCAAATGCGATGAGCCGCACCGGTCGTGGCCGCGGGGACTTACCGTTCGTTCTAGGTCGTCCAGTTGGTTGCACTCCAAGGTAGCCATAATTAAGGGGAGTTCGGCTAAAGTCATACAACACGCCCTCAGGCTTCTATTAAGGAAATCGACCCTGAAGATCTGCAACGCAGCTTAGAATGCCGAGACGAAAGATAATCTTGGAAACTATTGCCCATCCACTTGGATCTTTATCTGAGGAGATGCGTACGTGCGTTTAGTCTATCGTATACGAAGATCATGCCAAGAATAGGCGATGTTGAATATGGTATAAGACTAGGACGTGGTTCGTCGCATTTTTCTATTACGATCCAGCCGTCAGAGCAAAGACAGAATATTATCGAGACGCCTTGCTTGTTCAACTCATCAATCTGTTAAGATGTTCGGCGCCAAAGCAGCTCTTTTCATCCTCTTTGCCGCCACGGCTGTATGGTCGGAAGTATCACCGGACCTGACGTGCGGCGTCGACAAGGCTGGCAATAAAAAGGGCTATACTTGTCCCGGAGATAAGAAATGCTGCTCGGTCAACGGCTACTGCGGCTCTACAGATGAATACTGCCTAAAGACTATAGGATGTCAGAGCAAGTACTCTAACGCGACGGCCGCTTGCGCTGACCCCGTAGACGGCAAGACGGTCTCGCCTGACGGTACCTGCGGATCTAAGGGAGCTGGCAAGTACGGATACCGATGCCCAACGGAGGGAGGAACATGCTGCTCAGTCGCGTACGTTCTTGTGCATTTCCTACAAGCTAATATCGTCTTACTAACAAGCGCGTCTCAGGGGCTACTGCGGAAATACTACTGCCCATTGCGTTGCCACGGAAGGTTGCCAAACAACGTATGGAACGTGCCAGTGAACAAGGCGTACGAAGAATATGCACGTCGAGTTTACGGTCGTCGGCATGTCTTTGTAATGTTCTTTGAATAAGAGGGTACTTTGTGAGGGACTGCTTCAAACAAGGTAGCGCTGTAGCTTCGGATAGGAGGGAGACTCAAAAGATACCTATTACATAGTAGGCATTAATAAAAGACCTGGTCTAAGCGCCAGGAGTTGTTAGATGATAGAAAGTTGTACAGGCGCAGTACAGATTGTCCAGATAAATTTCAACGCTGCTGCTGTTCACCTTGAGGAATCCTATTAATAACCTAGTATTGAAACGTAAACACCCCTTCGATAAAGATATGTATGATAACAATTATTCGGACGCATTAAGGTCATGCTAGATGGTTTATTCTAGAACAAATATAGAAGCTCTGAGCTTCTCCACAGACAGCCGATTGCGGCCTTGAGCTGATGTGGGGATTTCCGCGAGATATAACTTTGGCTAAGACAAGAAACATTTACACGATCAGTTGTGTAGATATCTTTTGAAAAGCCATTGCTTCATCTTAGAGATTCAACATACCATGGCCACGCTATTTCATAATGGCCGTTTTTTTCAATCCGAGCCCAAGGGCGAAAGTTATTCCTTCGCAAACACCATGCTCATTGACGAGTCGGGCAAAATCACTCATGTCGGCGATATACATGACGAGGATATTCTGGCAGCAGAGAGAGCTGGCGTGACCAAACACGATATCAGCGGTCGTATAGTCTTACCGGGATTTATTGATGGTCATATGCACTTTCTGATGCTCGGGCAATCTCTACAAAAGGCCGGGCTAGAAGCGTGTAAAAACCTACAAGATATCCGCCAGACGATTAAAGAGTTCGCTGCCGCGCACCCTTCTGCGGCCCGTATAATGTGCAAAGGGTGGATGCACTCCATGACCAACGGAGAGGCGTTGGCTAGCATGATAGACGATCTGGATCCAAGGCCAATGTACGTGATCAAGAGCCCCTTACCTATGCTCTCCCTTCTACACGCAAGATACCTTCGTTGACTCCGTTACTAAATAGCTTCATCGACTCCAAAGACTTGCATTCAACCTGGTGTAATAGTGCAGCCTTAAAAGAACTGGGTGTGCAAGATATGGCCGACCCAGAAGGCGGGAAAATTCATCGCGACGAGAACGGCAAAGCATCAGGGCTCCTCTCGGAGGCGGCGGCGGTTACGATCGTCTGGCCGCATATCGCAAAAGTCGCGCCGATGGAAGAAAAGCTAGCAGCGCTGAAAGCGGCTGTCGAGGCGTATAATGCCTCCGGTTATACCGGACTCGTCGAGATGGCGATGGATGAAAACGCATGGGAAGCTTTGCAGATACTACGAAAGAGAGAAAAGCTTTCGATTAGGATCGCTATCCACTGGCTCATCACGCCTCGGAAGATGGAGGCCGAGAACCTTGCTCAAGTCGACCGCGCGATCGAACTTAACCGCCAGTTTAACATGGAAAATAGTCCCGATTGCCGCGTTGTAGGTATCAAGGTCATCGGGGACGGTATCATAGACGGTTGCACCGCCGGACTCTCAGAACCTTATACTTCCAACGGGGTATCGTGCGATCCTATCTGGTCACTTGCAGAGCTTGGGCCCGTGGTTAGAAAAGCGGATAGAGCTGGCTTGCAGTGCGCCTTACACGCGATCGGTGACCAGACCATAAGAGTTGCTATCGATGCTCTCGAACAAAATGCCACACCCGGTCGAAGACATCGAATAGAACACCTGGAGCTCGCATCGCCCGAAGACGCTAAGAGGCTAGGAAAGTTGGGCATTACGGCTTCTATCCAGCCGGTACATGCCGACCCAGCGATCCTTCGAGCGTGGCCGTCACTACTTGGGCCCTCCCGATGCGAGCGCGCATTCGCATATAAAGATTTTGCCGACGGGGGCGCCGTATTAGCATTAGGGTCCGACTCCCCTACGGCACCTCACGCGCCGCTAAGAAATGCATATACGGCGACAACCCGACGCTCAGCCAGAGAGCCGGACTTGACGGACCGGGTAAACCCACATTTCGCGTTAGACTTGGCCGCGGCCATCGCTGCGGGTACGGAGGGCTCGGCGTATAGCTGCTTCGCTGACCGGTTCACCGGCAAACTGGAAGCCGGACGAATGGCGGACTTTGTAGTGGTGGATATGGAATGGGATGCGAGCAAGCTACTCGAAGCGAGAGTCCTAGAAACCTGGTTTAACGGGAAGAAGGTATTTGATGCGAAAGCGTAAGAATACATCCAATGATAACAAGCCTATTGTTATGTTGGCGTACGTCCTCACCGCCATTATAATGCGGACCAGTAAGAATAATCTTGAAATTGTTGAAGGGCTTGGCTTAAGAAACACCGAATCGGCATCGATCACGAGATACGTGTTGCTATACTACACCATCACAAGGGTTAACGAGATCCAAGGTACGAAGAAAGAAGCCAAGAAGAACGTGCTCGACCAAATTAGTGGCAAGGATATTTAAGTATCATGCCAAGTGTAATCATACTGAAATGAAAATGGAATAGTTCTCGAAACGAAACGTGTACGTTCTCCCACTGAGAGATAGAACGGACATGTACATAACACGGTGCTATACGAGCGTTCCTTTGCCTCGCTCGCGTATCGTACGGAAGCGATACGAAGATCGAAAAATTGGCGGGGATGAGCACCGAATTTATCAGGCGGTCTTGGGGCGGCCGCGCCGGTTTAATCGAGAAAGGAGGCCGAATATCTTACCAGGCTGCCAGGGGATATGTCCATTCGGAGAAATTCACATTTGCATACCTGCTCACACGCACACAAGAGGTATCTAGACGTTTATATATATTCTATTTTCTCTAGTTACTGTAACTTATCTAAGTTATATTCCTGAACAAAGTGAGTACACCCGATTCTATTCGAATTCCATCGTAGGTACAGTATTACTTAGTTTAGGTAGGTATCTACGTAACGCATGGCATCTTGTTCCCTTGGCCTTCCGTAACTAGTAAAGTGTCGCCTCACTCCAACTTTGTGCCGAGAAATAGACGTCAAGGTCACGCAAGGTCATGCAGAGGCGTTCCAGACAAAGAGCGGAGAGACGCGAAGGCTTCCAAGCTTCCAAGACGCTTCCAAGAACGCTACCCACGCCTCTAACATCCACTATCATTCGTCTGGTCTCCCAACTACCAAGCCTTAGCGTTCACCAACGCACTAATTTCCCATTCATTACCATCAATGATACCATTCTAGTAGTATACCGTTAACATACTTCCATCGTCCCGTCACCTGCCACTCCACATCCCTCTCTTGGCATCCAATCGCCACTATTCCTTTTCCCCCTTCCCTGTCCTCTCAAGTGGCCGTTCCCATGACGAGGTCTAGAGCACGATCCAATCGGTGTCTCATATGCGCATGCTCTCCGTGCTTCGCCTCACTCGCGTTGAGGTGAGCCCTTGGCATAAGTCTAGGCGTTGGATTAACATACATAGCGATAGCTGACGAGCTTGGAGGGGGTTTGACGATGGTAACCAATACGTACTATATCTATCCTTCGTCCTACCCGAGATCCAGGTAACCTTAGGTAGTTTTCGGCTGCTGCAGTTTCTCAGATTCCCTTTGCGGACTTTTCCTTGTTTTTTTAATATTTTTTCTAAAAAAAAAAAAAGAACCAGGCAATACTTAGCTATTAACCCGAACACACGTGAATGGGTATAGAAGACCAACCTGCTGTCGAGGAGTCGACTGAACCCCCTATAGGTGGTGATATCAATGTAACTCAGAAAACTCCGCTCGGCCACGGGAACCAAGACGCTGCTGCTGCTGCGCTCTCTAACCAGACGACGTCCCGGGAAAAGCCGGCCGTGTCTTCTTCCGTAACCGAGAACAACAATCAAGAGCCTCATAACTTAGCCGTCGGGGACGTAGAAAGGCTTCTCGAAACCGACGTTGAGAATGGCCTCGACGCCGGTGAAGCAGCTCGTCGCCTGGAGCGCGATGGGCCTAACAAGATGGAGGGCGCTCAGGGGTTATCCGTGTGGAAGATTCTCCTGAGGCAGGTCTCCAACAGTTTGACTGTGGTCCTCATCCTTGTTATGGCTCTGTCCTTTATCATCGGCGATTTCATCGAAGGCGGCGTTATCGCTGCCGTCATCTCGCTCAATATCGTTGTGGGGTATGTTGCAAGCCCCTGAATTGGCAGAATCTTCTGTTGGAAGCGGGATACATGTATTCCACCCTTCCATGCTAATTCTCAATAGATTCGTCCAGGATTATCGCGCAGAGCAGACGATCCAGTCGCTCTACGCGTTGTCCGCGCCAACGTGCAAGGTCGTTCGCTCAGGGCAAATCACGACCATCAAAGCCGAATTGCTTGTCAGAGGCGATATCGTGCTGCTCCATGTCGGCGATATTGTCCCCGCCGATCTTCGATTGGCTGATGGATTGAACTTGTCCACTGACGAGGCGTTGCTGACAGGGGAATCTCTACCGATCAGCAAACATCCGGAAGCAGTCCTCCGCGAGTCTGATGTTCCCCTTGGCGACCGGATTAACATGTTGTATTGCGCCAGCACGATCACGCGCGGTCGGGGAAAAGGCGTCGTTACCGCTACCGGGATGGATACCGAAGTGGGAAATATTGCCCAGCTGCTCCGAAGAAATCCAAGTTCGAATTATGATATAACCAGATTCGAGGCTCTTTGGAAGCGCATAAAGGCTAGCGTGCGCAGCATCCTAGGACTCGACGGAACGCCTCTTCAGGTTAAGCTAAGCAAGTTCGCTTTACTGCTTTTCGGGCTAGCAATCTTGCTCGCTGTCATCGTATTCTCCGCCAGCGTTTGGAATGTCGACGATGAGGTTCTCATCTACGGCATCTGCGTCGGCGTCGCTGTTATCCCGGAATCTCTCATCGCCGTCTTGACGATTAGTATGGCGGTCGGTACCAAGGCGATGGCTAAGGGCAACGTGATCGTAAGAAAGCTTAGCGCTCTAGAGGCTGTTGGGGGGGTGACCAACATCTGCTCCGACAAGACGGGTACTTTAACTCAGGGGAAAATGATTACTAGAAAAGTCTGGCTCTGCGACGGTTCTACCGCAACTGTTGAGGGCTGCACTCATCCGTTTGATCCGTCAAGCGGAAAGATCATCTGGAATGACAAGGAGTTCGAGCCGCAAGATGAGCTCAAACCGAAATCTCGCCTTTCCGCTTCGGCGAAAAAGTTTATAGAATGCGTCTCGTTGTGCAATAACGCCACCGTTACGGATGGCAAGTCGTCACCTAACGACGACACGGCTGAAACTCTAACAACTTCGACTCTTACGGTACCAAATTGGGTTGCCGTTGGCGAGCCGACTGAAATCGCTCTCCAGGTTTTTGCTATGAGATTTGGTATGGGTAAATCCGCCATTTCTCAAGCATACAACTTGGATATCCTCTCGGAACACCCTTTCGATTCTTCTTGCAAACGCATGACGGTCGTATACTCGTCAAACGGATCTGGTGGTCCGGCCGATGTATATACCAAGGGTGCATTGGAAGTCATGTTGCCGTTGCTAAACGCATCCGATGATGTAAAGGCTGAACTGACTTCCAAAGCCGAATCTCTCGCCGCCGAAGGTCTCAGGGTCCTCTGTATCGCTCACAAGACCGTTCCAAAAGTTCCCGACCTAGGGGATTCGCGTGAAGCCGTCGAAGATAAATTGACACCTTTGGGTCTTGCGGGTCTCTATGATCCCCCGCGTATAGAAACGGCCGACGCGGTTAAGAAATGTAAGGTTGCTGGTATATCCGTCCACATGCTCACGGGAGATCATATCAAGACGGCGACGGCTATCGCGCACGAAGTCGGAATCCTCGGTAGCGACATTCCCGTTTCCCAGCTAGAAAATGCAGTTATGCCTGCAACAGCGTTTGATGGCTTAACCGACGAGCAGATCGACCAGATGGAGAAGCTTCCCTTGGTATTAGCCCGATGTACCCCGTCTACGAAGGTGCGCATGGTCGAGGCGATCCACCGTCGTGGCGCCTTTTGTGCCATGACCGGCGACGGAGTCAACGACTCACCCGCCTTGAAAAAGGCTGATGTTGGTATTGCCATGGGTCTAAACGGTAGCGATGTGGCCAAGGAGGCTGCAGATATGGTACTTACCGACGATAATTTTGCTTCGATCGTGACAGCTATCGAAGAAGGAAGACGTCTATTCGACAACATTCAAAAGGTAAAAAAAAAAAAAGATTATTAAAGAGAAAATGACATGCCAAATAAAAGCACCTAAACTTAAGCTAACGAATATTGACTACATAGTTTCTTCTACACCTGTTGATCTCTAATATTGCTCAGGTTATCCTTCTTCTCGTTGGCCTCGCATTCAAAGACGAGAATAACAAATCGATTTTCCCGCTCTCCCCTATTGAAATCCTATGGGCCAACTTGATCACATCGTCTTTCCTGGCCCTCGGCTTGGGTCTCGAAGAAGCCCAGCCGGACATTATGTTAAGACCGCCGCATGACCACCGCGTCGGTATTTTCACGAAGGAGATCATTGTGGACAAGATAGTATATGGGTTCTTTATGGGCGCGTTGTGCATTACGGCGTTTAGCACCGTCATCTACTCGCCTCTCGAAACCGTCTACACGAAGTCGCCGCTCTCCGGAACGCTGGGAGTCGACTGCAACGCGGAGCACAACCTGTCGTGCGATTACGTCTACAGAGCCCGCGCCACGACGTTCGCAACCCTTAGTTTTCTGCTGCTAGTTACGGCTTGGGAGGTCAAGCATCTCACCCGATCGCTATTCAACATGTATCCCGAGTCGTTTTCTGGGCCCTTTTCGGTCTTTAGGACGGTCTGGAGAAACAAGTTTCTTTTCGGAGCTGTTCTCGCGGGCTTTATTATCACCTTTCCGGTTATATACTTGCCAGTTATCAACACCAAGGTTTTCAAGCACCAAGGCATCGGTATCGAGTGGGCCATTGTTGCGGCGTGCGTTGTGGTGTACGTTGTTCTAGTAGAAGCATGGAAGGCGGCAAAACGGCGCTTTTTCAGGGGCGGTGTCCATGTTGGATCTACTGGAGCGACGGTTTAGATTCGTACGCGCCGACCACTGCCGACTACTAGAGGCGTTTGCAGGAGTTTGCACCGTGTAACTCTGTAAAGCCGTGTCAAATTCGATCCATCTAATGGTGGAAACACTCTGAGGGACTAGAGTGCAAAGTTCCGTCCAATCGTTACCTGGACTTCATCATATGGGAAGCCTATGAAGTAACTTTAAGCGTGATTTATTACGCAGTTTTCGTTCATTTACTGAGGGTGTCGAGTCTTGGCGGATTCCTGAATAGCAACAGCCGAAGAAGCAAGCCACCGACCTATCACTTATTTATATAGGGATGAGCTGTACCCAGTTGTCGTCACGACAGTCTTGGCCAAATTCACATGTTATTATTAACCAATCCATCGAGTATTTAAGAGGCTGAATAACAAATCGGACATCTTCATTAGCAGTGCTACTAAGGCGTAAGTACAAGTAATCAACACAGGTTCGTTCATAGTCGGAACATGAAATATCACTATTACACCTAAGAGACAGGACACTGAGTTGTTTACTACCCCTATTGTGGGACCAACCTCAATGACTAGTTCACTGTTATTGAAAGAAAACGCGATGGATCACGTTACAAACACTTCCCGGCGAAAAGAAGAAAATAATGATCAAATCCAGTGTCCATCCCTTCGCGTAATCCATGATCGACACCTCACTCCCTGGAATGATTTTCGAGGGTTTTAGGAATCGGTGATAAAGTCATAAAACCCCCCAACTGCGTCGTATCTATTTGAAAATCTCGGTTTGGTCCGCAGCGGTACCATAACACACTCCGTCATAACCTGATTCAGATCCTAAGCTCTACATGATACCGGAGACGCGGGCTCTGGATCCAAATTCATCTATGAAGTTACGACTGAGCGGAACTCTCATATTTCCCAGGCTTAATTGCACTGCCTCGACATACCCAAGGCTACAACTAATATGTGATAGGTGAGGCATCCAATCGCGACCTTCGTAAGGGGTGTACTTGAAGTCGTTGATTTTAGATCTCAACGTGTCAATGCTGTCCTGGAATTCGCTCGGTTCGGGTACCGGGAATAGTCCAGCAGCAATGAGCTGGGGGATCATAGAGCCTAACATCATAGCCTCGCACACCTTCTGTTGTGAACCTAGCTTGCAGAAGGGAGGCTTAAGAGATTTGTCATCGGAGGAGGGTTGTCTGAATGGTTCGTTCAGGACATGTAGAATCTGACTGAGTATCTCCAATCTCGTAGTACTGATCCATACTAAACGTAAAAGTTAGCCATCCATCAAGAACGGGACCAACTTCGATGTGTATTTACCAAGTAGGGATTCGTTAATATTTCCTAGATCGCGCAACGAGTTGCCATCTAAATCCACGAGCTGGCCGTCAATCAACTTGGAGCTGAGAATGACTTGTTCGACAGATCGGAGAAACAGGGAGATGTCACCCAATACCCAAGCGACGAATGCAGCTTTAGGCGAGCTTCGATAATGTTCTTCGGGGTTATCGTACATGGGGATGCTATTGATCCAAGTCTTCGCCCATGGATAAATTAGATGGGCACACTGGTATCGACTAATGACATCTGCAACGGAATGGAGCTCGTCTAGGGATAGTTTTACTGGTACCCTGTCGAACTCGTAATGGATGATGTGGAAGAGCATAATTAAGGCCCTTACGTCGCCGTCGATGTTTAGAACCAAATGTTCTTTCTCTGATCTCTTCATCGACTTGTCGCCGTAAAGCATGGTTCGCCAGACGGTGGAGGCGAGGGCCAGCTGAGCTGACGAGACCTTACAGATGATTACACCGGATTCAGCTTTGAAGGGTACATCGAGGTCGCTATCAATATCGAAATAGATTATGGATGTCGCCTCAGTAGTGGTTCCTGAAGGAATAGTGCACTGTTCCTCGGGGACATCCTGTTCCTGGGCGGATGCAGGAGACACAGGGGTATTCTCAGCAGCTTCAGACTGATCGTAAGAACTTTCGGCGGAAAGGACATTGGGTTTCTCAGTCTTGGCTGTAGTCATATAGGCGGCGATAATCTCATCAACTTTGTTAGGGGAAGATGTCAATTTCTGGCCTGAGGCCTCGGATGTAGTGTCGGTAACATCATCGCCGGGGTTTGGTGGTGTGCCAGGGCTCACTACGTTGGACAGGGTACCCTGGGCAGACATTGTGATGCGAATCTGATGTGTTTAGCTGGTATATAACCGCAACGAAAGGACTTGTGAATAGACGGTAAACGTCTAAGTCAGACAACGGGATGAATATCGACGAAAATGTGTAAAGTAAACCTTCGTGATGGACTGTATGATACCGAAAACGAACTGGCTAGTGACATATTATTAGAGATACAGGGAAATGGTCTTAATAGACGATGTATTTGAGAACATAGGAGAGGAAGAAGACAAAGTTAAGACGATCCTGAAGAGGAAAGTCTATGAAAACCCCCAAGGATTTGCAAATAGGTAGAACTTACTAGGCTAGACACACGATGCTCAAGTCAATCAACAGTGAATAGGCAGGTTGATTCGATCGCTTTAGTGCTTGAGTGCTTGAATTCTTGAACGCTTGCGAGCTGTAAAGTACCTAATAAGAAGTGGTTGGATCTAGTCAGACAGGCAAGGAGCGTAGTTGAATTTCAGGAATGAAAAGGGAAAATAGCGGTGCACCTATCGATCAACGGTCAACGGATAAGGAGAGAAGGAGCCTGAATGGATTTGCCCGAAGGTACGCCTTACCTAACGTACCTGCCTAGACCTAAGGAATCTTCAGTGTTCAATGTGCTAGAGCAGAGTACGGCGTATCTAGGGGAGGCATTAGTTACCTAAAATTACCTAAGGCACCTGGTGACAACCTCAGCAAAGAGCGGAAGTCGCTAAGCAAGTGCTGCTCAGAAGGTACCTTGTACCTGTTGTTTGAAATTGGCGTACTAGGAGGTACCTAGGGTAGCATTAGGCATATTCGTACAAGATTTAACAGTTGACCGCCGAAAGCATAACACACGGAGATATCGTACTGCTGCTCCCACTGTATAATAACAAGGTAGAACGCCTTCGTAAAGATTTCCTGTTTGTTTCTTCATTTACATGAGAAGGAGTATCATTGATCGATTTATATCAATTCATCGCAATAACTAGCTAAACGATATTGCTGTTAGGTACCTATCTATGATACACATGAGCATATGAGATATTATGAGGGCCGACCTCCTCTCACCCCGGGTGTTTATACTCAGCTCAATTCCGAAGAGGCACCTTCCAGTATTATTCTTAGATTAAACAGTGCCCTCCCCTTCTCCGAGGATGCGGGCTATCAACACATAGACGAATATGACGCCTCCAAATACTAGCAGCTTGTTCCGTCCGAGCCAACTCGTACCGGCATCCCGCCTCTGTACGACGGCGTCGACGACAGCTTGGGCCTGGCCGCCACTACCGCCAGGGATACCCAACTGCGGTCCGCACGATGCACTACCGTTCCTAGCTCCCGTGGCCGTGTCGATGTTGTTCTCCGTCATCCACCGCCAATTCTCCTTGTCTAGTTCGGGCCACTCCGCTCTGAATTTCGCGCCGCCGTCCCCAGCCTTCACGTTTCCTTTCTGCGCCGGGTTTCTCGCGTGCGAGCCACCTCCCGTCGAGTTCCACCACCTCGACCTAGCCGCGAAGATTCGTCGTTCGTGCGCCGTAGCCGACACCGAACCGGTTGTCATCTCTTCCGACGTCATAAACGACAACAGTCCGATGAGGATCGTCGAGACTTCCCACGCCGGATTGAAGGATCGCGGGTGGAAATCAGAGATGGAGAGGCATAGTCTTGTAGATGGTTGGAAGCGGCCCGAGGGCGTGTGCATTCGAATAGCCGGCGGCGCGAAGGGATAGTTAGGCGGGAAGATTAGGGTGCCCCAATACTGGCCATTATGATAAGGAGTATCCTCGGGACCGGTTATGATATAGTGCCATCTACTTATGTTAGCGATTACTGGTGTAGGGGAAGGAGAGATAGGTATGGTTTAAAAAACGTACTCTAGGATATTAGACTCTGACGGATGGGCACTAATGTACGGAGGAGGGTTCTCTGATATGCTTTTGTATTCACGAGCCAACTACAGCGAAAAGCATATAGGTTAGATGATATCTCATTAGACGATAAACGATAAGGGGAAGATAGTGCGGGTCATACGCGCTTGCTCGCTTGCTTGCTAGCCATGATGAAGTTCGAGTTGTCTCCTGATAAAGGGATCTCCGAGAAAGGAAAGGTGTCACGATAACCAGCCGCAAAGTCGCTTTACAATCGATACCAAAGGATGTATACGGTCAGATTTTGGGTTCTAGGGATGGAAGGCAACGAGGGAATGTGGAGTAGGTAACGGATATGTTTGGTAACAATCTTTATTATTTTTTGATGGGAAAAGAAAAAGAAAAAGAAAAAAGAAGGGGTTACATTTGAAGGGGTAATAAGTAAAGCATGAGGCTGATGATGACAAGAAAGGGACCCTGTTTGAAGGTTTGAAGGGAAATCAAGAGGGTCTAGGCGTTGTGGTACGTACCTGTTGATTTAGGTAATTGGACCGGTTTGCTGATTTGCTGATAAAGAAAGTCTTGAAACAAGTCTTAAAAATGGTTAGCACTTGCGCTTGTTAATTGGGTCATTGCGTCACTAAAGGCACATGGCCGATGGGGTACATGTACCGAAGCCTTAAATGGACATACATAAAGTACCTAGGTCAGGTATTAGGTATTATTATTCAGCCACACTTGAGATAAGGTACCTTAGGTACATAGGTTAGGTACAGATACCTATATGTACTAAACTTTGTGGCACTTCGCAAGGATCCGAATGGAACCTTCAAATGTTTCCGGATCATGCCGAGCTCCAGCTTTGCTACATAGCTTTGCTGCTTCGGTACCGGTCCCATTGCCTATAATTCTCAACCAGAGCTTATTTATTCACAATCGCATGAGGGAAGAAGATACGATATCTACTTAACCTAACTCATATTGTAATAGAAGACAGGCGTGTAGCTACCTAACCTAACCTAACCTAGCATATTCCTTGCTAGCTAACATGGCTCGCAACGGTCCTCCTGGTGATAATGATGTGAGATCTTCATATAAACTCGATTCTCTTTTATTGTGCCTAGTAACGATAGCTGATACGTTCCATGACCTGTAGGTTTTCGAGGGCCTTTTGAAGTCCGAGGCTGCATCCGTAGAACAGAAAGCGGCGGCGGAACGGGCCCAAGCTCACGAGGCGGAATCGGAGCGGAGAGCAATCGAATTGGTACGTTTTGCTATATCCAGTAGATAGGTACCTAGGATATAAGGTAACAACAAAGTTGTGAGGTCCTTGCTAATATTTATTGATTCTAGCTGTTACAAAATCAAACACTTCCCGTCACTTTGTCTTCTATCGAGATCAATGGCGCCAACAATACCCGCGAATCATTCCTCGCCCCCCTCTTCCAACCTCTCCTCGAAGATAGTCGCAATGCCGATTATACCCTCGCCGACATGCTAAATCAAGTGGGCGGAGCAGTTGAAAATTTACAAAAATTCGGTACGGTCTGAAAGTTGATCCCCTTTATTACTATGAACATCGCCGACTTATCGTTACATTCAAAGATATCTTCCAGCCCAACATTATCTTGCACTTGTCTCGACCGCCTCATCTCGACCCATCTTCCTCTCCCACAGACCTCGACGTTTCTCTTCGGGTGCGAGAAAAGTCTCGACTTCTTCTTAAGACCGGTACGGATCTAGGTAACACAGAAGGTTCGGCGTATGGCTCTATGCTATGGAGGAACATATTTGGAGGCGCCGAATCTCTATCGCTAAATGCATCTGCCGGTACAAGGACGCGTTCGGCGTATAGTGCCGAATTTGCTACTCCGATCCGAAGCAATCCCAACTTACGGCTCAGCATCGAAGGCCTCGCGAGCAGTACGCAGAAACCATGGGCGAGTCATGAGGAAGTTGTCAAAGGCGGAGGTATTAAGCTACATTGGCTGAAAGACAATGGCGATCGGCATCAATTCGGTTACTCCGGCGCTTGGAGGCAGTTGACAGGCCTCTTAGCTGAGGCGAGTCCTACCGTTCGAGGCGACGCGGGAGACTCCACCAAGAGCGCCATATCTTACCTATTCCAGAGAGAACGGAGAGATAACCCCATGTTACCACAAAGCGGATACCTCGTTAAGACAAGTACGGAGCTTGCCGGGTGGGCTTCTCTAGGTGGAGATGTTGCTTTCTCCAAGAGTGAATTGGAGGTTGCCGGCGCGATACCCATCCCCATACCCGGAATCCGGAAATCTTCCGGTGTCTCCATCGGCGGTGGTTTCCGAGCGGGTCTGCTTTACCCCCTTCCGTTAACATTCGGTCTGAGCGGTGCTTCGCCTAGTCGAATCAACGATCGATTTACACTTGGAGGTCCGACCGACGTGAGAGGCTTTTCGCTAGGCGGACTCGGTCCCAGAGATGGCAGTGATGCCGTTGGTGGGGATATTTACGCGGCAGGTAGCGTAAATATGCTCATCCCTCTCCCCCGCGTCGGACCCGAGTCCCCGTTCCGGCTTCAGCTCTTTGCCAACGGCGGCAGATTGGTAGCGATGAAGAACAAATCCAAAGGTAGCGACGAATCGACAAGTCAACGCCTCAGTGCCGGTACGGTATTCGATGGCATGGTCTCGGCAACCAAGGACCTCAGCACAGGACTACCGAGCATTGCCGCTGGCGTAGGACTTGTATATGCGCACCCGATCGCGAGGTTTGAACTAAACTTTAGCTTGCCATTGGTATTGAGGCGGGGGGAGGAGAGCCGAAAAGGACTACAGGTCGGTGTTGGAATAAATTTCCTCTGATCTTATTTCGCCAAAAAAGAAAAACGGTGCCAGGAGAGCATTTGATGTAAATATCTACCATTCACCCATCCCGCCCCTTTTGTAAATATCAAAGCCGAATCGCCTCATGTCAAAAATACTAAGAAGTTCCTCCCCGAAGCAAGGTATCTGGATGAAACAATAGAATAGAAATCACTTGATGTTTCAAGCGTTGGCTCGAATATAACAGGTAGCCAGGTAAAGGTTGAGATGTGAAGAGCAACGGCATATGATGGCATCGGAGTTAGCGTTACATTAAAAGCTATCAATTGGTTGCTAGTTATGACATGGTACTATTCAAACCATTTTCCCGACCGTATGATAAAGCAAACCCTTTCGAAAGGTGCCTCTTATCTTCATAAAGCAATAACCACACTCCGAAATGTAGGTCTCATTATTATATCGAATAGGAACTAGTGATCAAGCTATAACCAGAAGTGGAGATGAAGGTATAAGAGGTAGACAGGCTCATAGATAGCGGGGTTATATTGCGTGCTGGTCCTCCGCCTCATATTTTCGTTATATCCAAGTTTCAAAACAATGGCCACACTCACCCCTAAATCCAAAATCGTCATCGTCGGTTCGGGCGTATTTGGAATTTCGACAGCGTTATGGCTAGCGAAATCCGGCTACGAAGACGTAACCGTCCTGGACATGCAGGATACCGCGTCGGCAGCCTATGATCCTCTGTCGGGCATCGACTCTGCGTCGGCCGACCTAAACAAAATCATCCGTTTCAGCTACGGATCCGAGATCGAGTATCAACGTCTAGCAACCGAGGCTGCCGGCTTGTGGGAAGAATGGAATCGCGAGATTGCCGCGACGCCCGCCGACGAGCTTCCCGAGCGGCTGAGAGAAGGCGACAGGAAGCTCTGGTGGAACGCTGGCATGCTACGTATGAGCAGCGAGGACGACTTTGGGGACTTTGAAGTCGCGACGCTTGAGAATATGGAGCGTGAGGGCATTAGGGAATCGCAATTTAAAGCCGACGACGAGGCCGGTAAGTATTAAAGCGTTTGAAATATCCCAGATAAATACTACATACCTACCTACCTAAAGTTACCTATAATTCTAAGCTTTTGCCTCGGTCATAAAGATATCGCTCGCGCAAAGGAGCGGGGTTGGGCGCACAAACTCGATCCCTGCCGGCGACAGGAGAGGTTCGGATCGCACAAGGCCGTCCTCGACTCTACGGCTGGTTTCGTCTACGCTTACAAGAGTTGCGCCTGGGCGCAGCATCTGGCGAAGCGGGCTGGCGTTAAGATGATTCTTGATCCTCTGCGTGGTAAGGTGGTCGATATTGCAACCAAGGATGATCGCCCAGTGGTAGTTACCGCCGACGGCCTCGAGATCGCCGCCGATCTAGTCGTTGTAGCCGGTGAGTTGTCGCCCTGTCCCGCATCACCCGCGAAAAGGCCACTGACCGTGCAGGCGGTGGATGGACTCCGTCTTTGGTTCCAGAGGTCCAGGGCCTCTTGGAGACTACAGCTGGTTCCGTAGCCAATATCCAGATTCCCAAGGACCAGTCTGATCTATGGAGCCGATTCGGTCCGGAAATCCAACCGGTGATAACTTGGGGTTCTCGGCAAGGCAAGGACGTGTACAGTATCCCGAGAGACGAAAATGGGATTTTTAAGATCGGTTGGAGGAGCAGAAAGTCAGATTCGCCATCCCCTTCGATGACTAAAATACAATTGATATTGACACGTTTATTTCACAGATGGACAAACTTCCAAGATGTGGGTGGGCGGCGGATATCAGTTCCGAAAACCGCACACGTAACTGAGGAGAAGGAGACTCGCATCCCGATCGATGCGCTCAACGGTATCAAAGGTTAGGACTCAGCTTCATGTTGATCCGGGATTCCTGTTAACGATTTATACAACAGAATTCATAACGATCAACTTTCCCGAGCTGGTCCCCCTAGGAATATCGTCCACTAGGCTCTGTTGGTATACCGACAGCATCGACAACTCGTTTGTGGTCGATTTAGTGCCTGGACGTCCGGGAGTAGCCGTCTGCTCCGGCGGTAGCGGTCACGGCTTCAAGTTTCTGCCCATCCTCGGACGGGAAGTCGTCAAGATTCTCGAGGGAAAGGGGGGGCAGACGGTGTACGGCCAGATGTGGAAGTGGAGGAATAGTCCCGGGGCTAAGCGGAACGGGCTTGAGGAGGGCGAGCAAGGGCCCAGGGTGCTTTCAAGGCAGAAAATGGCCGAAGAAGGGGATTGGCGGTTTACAGTCTGATAATATCCTAAGTAAATTGCCCGGAATTTGTTTCTATTAACTATGTGCTCTGGAAACCTCTAGAAAGGCTCAACAGCAACAAAAACGTGTTGTTGCCATCGATAACCTGCCACTCAATTTGATAACTTTACAAAGCCAATACCTCGACTCAATATAAAATCAGGAATTAGCAAAAATTCCTATTCCAACACCTTCACTTCACCGGTCTGACCAATGCTTACGCCATAAACCGTGAAGAATTCGACTAGTTTTATATACCTGACCGGTTCGAATATTTAATGTATTATTGGCTCTTGATCCCTGTACCATCTCTATCCGTCACAACCCCATGAGAAGGTCGTTGGCGGTGTTGATTCGTGAAGGGGAACGACCCTAGCATAATGCTTTTGATCTAATTGGCCAGATACGTCTACATTCCAACTAAGCCGGCAATCCGGTAAGCAAGGGAAGAGAATGGGTACTATCAGATCCAACTCCCCGTAGATGTTGATTGCAGGCATGAACTCACTCGCAGACGATGGTCATACAAATGGAGATTTCGTGATCTACTAATCGGTAGCTCGTATCCCAGTCAGGCATTTTATCGTACGGTCCTTGCACGCAATTGGAATGTGCCCTGGCCTCGTTCACAATCTGGACTGATAAGTTGGCGTGCCATCACCATCTTTGGCGGTGTCCATATTTCCATATCTGATGGCGATCGATGCGAGGGGTGGTTAGGGCCGCGACTATTCTTTTCCCACGTGGTGTCCATGTTAAAAATGACCAGCATGCCCAATTTTTCTTTCAGTCATTTAGAGTCCGGTGGTCGTAGTACTCGATCGGCCATCTCACGATGCATCGGGGACATCATTTGGCTTATGCCATGTGGGGGATGGCAGTCCTCTGTATTTCTTTGGCTGCTCTCCGTCTATATACTCGCATTCGAATCGTTAAGTTCGTCGGCGTTGAGGATTACATGTACGCATGTACTAGCGTATGTAAAAAGTCTTGAGTACCTAATTAAACTTGGTTTCTACTTTTGACGTTTGTATATCTGTTAATCTAACTGGATCTGTATCATATAGCTATTCTTCCTTTTATTCACCATCTTCATACAAATCTCGGTCTATCACGGGTTAGGCCAAAGTTACTGGACGTTGAGCGTCGACGATACGTCAAACTCCATCTTTTGGACTTACGTTGCGAATAGCTTTGCTGTATCCGGGAACGCGATGGCCAAGCTATCGATGGGGCTATTTCTACTTCGAGTGGTTCAGTTCCGATGGCAGAAGATCGCGCTTTGGACTGCTGTGGCCATCACCGTTGGCACATCTATTGCTCTCGTGGTTATGTTGTGGAATCAGACAACACCGGTTCAAACAAGTTGGGATCCGTTGAGAACCCCTGGAAAGTGGAATCTTCAGATCCAACCTTTAACCGTCGGACTCGGAGGTATTATTTATTCACTTACCTTAGGTACATGTTTAGTTCTTTCAAGGCTGGAGTGTTAACAATGCTTCTAGTTTGGTCCAGTATCTGCGACTTTTTCTTCGCCATGTTTCCCTGGTTGTTCATCCGGTCTCTTCCAATGTCTCAACGTGAGAAAGTTATATTGGCGGGAAGCATGGGCCTAGGGGTATTGTAAGTTATAGTCTTATATATTTACCTTCGGCTAATCACTACGAACCTTAGTAAACAATAACAATACATATTAGCATAAGCTAACTTCCAGTCTATAGCGCTGGAGCTTGCGGTATTATTAGGACGGTGGTCTTATCCAAGTTGAATGTGTTCAACTTTACATGTAAGTAACACTCATCAGTCACGATATTTTACAAGGGCTCTATCTAACAATCTTTTGGTCTCTAGTAGACTTTGTGCCTTATTTTGCTTGGACCGGTGCGGAAATTGCGGTGGCTATGGTTTGTATAGGTATACCTACCCTACGCCCGCTATATATCAAGACCCTAGGTAGAAATACCACAAATGCGTGCTCAAACCACCACCGGACCAACGACGCGAGCGAGCTACCTCAATATACAACACACAAACGGAACAATCTTAACAAATGCCCACCAGTTCGGGCTCGGGATTCGGGATATTCACAAGCTTCTAACATATCGAGACCGCCGATAGCATACACCAAGGTGCGGAGCGAAAGCGTGGACGATGTAATGTCCGATAGCAGTAAGAAGCAAGCTGGGCTGATATGGGTTGATAACGAAGTTCGAATCCAGGAGGACGTTGTAGAGTGGCCGTTGCAAAATTAACACCATAATAATTATGAAGATATAGTGAAATATATTTACCTTGACAACCAATTAAATTGATAAATATTAATCCAAGGTTATAATAGGGTTTGCATCAACTTTGAAGAATTATGATTGCCTTGCTGTAGTTGTTGAATTAGGTACTTACACCTAAGGTATGTTCTGTAGGTATAAATCATTCTATATTGGTTGTATGGAGATAACGGATCTAATATTAGATAAAAAGTACAAGGTTATCTAAGGTAATAGGTATCTAGGTACCTAACTTGATATATTCACGGGCGGCCATAGCAAAGAGTTTCTTTACATCAGCCACTACCTAAGAGGTACTGTCCGTATCTGTCAGCCTGAACTACCGGGCAGCCGGGGTATGAGCTACGAGTCAATGGGTACATGCATGAGGTGTAAGGTATGAGGTCACCGAAAGTGCTACTCTACCAGGTACGATTATGTAGGAGAGCAACATAAGCGCGGGGCAGGCAGGTACCTACTAACTAGTACCTAGCTAGGCAAGCTCCACAAAGATCTGGATAACGGCCGCCGACAGTTGTCAATCAAGAAGTGTCAACCAATCTCAATTCGGAGTGCAAGTGTAAGTGCGATAAAAAATTCAAAAAAAAATTCTCGGACTTTTCATCCCCGCCAAAAGCTGCTAGAGCTGCCCCCAAACCTCCTCCGTCGTTCATCTCAAGTAACTTACTTTGTGACCTAAAGGTTGGAATTGAACAACGCACGGTCATAGTCAGTTACTTTTTTCTTCTTCTCCGTCTTCTCCTTCTTCTTCTTTTCCATCATCATCACCATCATCACTTGGTCGATCTTGTTTTATTCACTACCGAGAAGACAAGCTAAACTATCACTGCTTTTTTTCTACCCCGGTTCTTTACTAGGTAGATCTTTCGCATCTTCACATCTTCACATCTTCACCTGCACTCTCTTCCCTTCTTATCCCTTCCCCACTATTCAACGAACCCTCTTATTATTTATCTCCCCCTCTCTGTCCCTCTTCCTACTGTGCCAACTCCCTGGATAGTCCCTGGATAACGCCCCAGATCGATTCTGGCATGGTGTAATCAACTCTCATGTCATCTTTGAGCTCCGGCTGCGTCGCAATTTTCCGGGTTTGGTTTCTATGGCCAGGTTCGAGCGCCTAACACCCTGTTCATCCCACCACGTACATCCCGGACGTCCTGCGCTCACCACTTTTCTCTAATCCTTAACGCCTGTTTTTTTTTCTTCTTCTCTGTCTCTTGGGTTTTATTCTCCCGAATCGCCTCCGACCCGTCGATCACAGTCCCGTCATCGACCAAGGTCGGCGAGACCCTAGACTTACCATTTTCCTTTTTCATCATGGCACCTCCCAAGAATCAGGCCAAGCCGGGTAAGGCTGCTCCTGGCCATACGAAGAAACCGACAGCAACTGCTCCGATTCGACCGGTGGTGCTACCTGCTATTCCTCTCCCTATGATTCCTAAGCAATCTAGCAAGTCAAACAAACGTGTTCCGAACGCATCTTCTTCTAACGGCATCCCCGCTTCTTCTCTCGAGGCTGCTCTGGTCGACCATGCCGACCATGCTCCCGTTAATGGAAAAGTTTCTCAGTCGGCCAAGACCTCTGGCGATCAAGTCAACGGCACGAATGTGGAGAAGCCCGAACACGCCACCAACTCGGTCAGCCTAAGCAACGGCTTGCATAACGGCGATACTAAGGGATCTAATGCTGCTCTACCTGTCAACGGCGTAAACGGCGCCAACGGTGTCCACCATGTTGACGATGTCGACGGAATCAGCAATGATTCTAGTTATGCGCCTATCTCGGCGACCTTCGCGCCGGATGCTGAATCTATTGCTGGATCTAGATCCGTCTCGGCGTCCGTCTCCGCTTCGGCGAATGGCAATACCAACAACCAAGGTAACCCACATTTGGACTCAATACCCTCTCCTTCCGACTTCAAACTCTTACAGCTCATAGGCGCCCACGACGCACCTGGACATGTCTCGCAGCCCCAATCTGCAACCTCGCCCACCAACCCGCCCGACCAACAGCTGCCTTTTCATCATCTACCTAAACATCCGTCGACCCACCACCCTCTTCAAAATCAGCTGTCCACCGACCAGCTTCCCGATCCTACAAAGCTCCGCGGACCGCCCCACTTACACCGTTATCAGCACCATCCTCACATGAGCAATGGCGGAGGTGTCATCTTTGGTGGTTTTGCTGGATCTCATAATTCTTCGCCAGGACCTCCGCTCAACGGTTTTATGCCTCCTCCCGGACCTGTCGACGGTGAGAACCACATTCGCCCCCAGCCAAATGGTCGTCACCACCATGCTCCGTCCGGAAGTAACGGCTTTCCCGGCACCATTAATACCCAATTTCGACCGGACATGGTACCCGCATCCGGCATCGACAATTACGGACAGGTACCGGCTCCTATTCCCCATCCCGTGTTTGATCCGTTCTCGCCTACTGTTGGCCGCTTCGGCATCTCAACTCCTCACAGTCTTCACGGCTCTCACGCCTCGGGCGAACCGAATGGTGTCGAAAACGGAGCTGTTCCTCCCTATCATCCTAACGGCATGCCTTTCGGCAGTCATGCTCACCACGAGCCGCCTGTCGGCCACCCGCATCCGGCACCCCACTTCCCGCCCTTCATGCCCCCTGAGGCTTTTGCTCGTCACCTCATCGATGAAGGGTTGAGAGACAGCATCATGTATTTCCAGGATCAATTTGATAGCGGCGAGCTTACCGATTGCGTTTTGGAGCTAGTGTCCGTCAAGGGCCTGCATCACCCTGTCAAGATTACCGGCCATAAGCTCATCTTAGCTCGCAGTCCGGCCCTTAAGCATCACATCATGGCCGCTCGTGCTACGGATTTGGGTTCTCACACCATTACGGTCGAGTCTGACGATCCTTATCTACGCTCCGATGCGTGGTGGAGCGCCGTGCGACGACTGTATCTTTTCCCACTGCTTAACCCTGCTATAATGGGCGATGGCGCGAGCGGCTTGCACTTCGCCGACGGTAACGCCGATCGGTTCGAGTTCTGCTTAGGCTACGCTGCCGCAGGCCATCTCCTGCAGATGCGCGACGTTTTTATTCGCGGCTTGCAGATGACTGCCGATTTTATTACTTGGGATACCGTCGAAGAAGCACTGGGGTTTGTCTTCGAGGGCACCATCCAGAGACACGTCAACTACGACAATGACCAAGACGTTGAGCTTGATTTTGGATACGGCCCAGATGCTAGGTTCCTCTTGCAGGCCACGATCAACTTCCTTGTCAATGCTTTCCCACCCAACTTTGAACTTGACCACTCGGTTGCCGATCCGCCAAAGTTAGCCCGCATCCCGCCGACACCTGCTGGTGCAGCTTCGCATACGGCTGGTATGCCGCCAACCATTGCTAGAGGCACGAATATGCACGGCGCTATGAAGCCTAATCGTCTATCCAGCATTAAGTTTGGTGACTTACCGGCTGCATTGCCCGAGGACGGCGGTCCGCTTTTGCGTAGCCCTTCGAAATGTTCTCCGGTCCTCTCGCGCATCTTACTGAACTTGCCTTTCCAGGAGCTCCGCGTCGTGCTTACCTCGGAAAGTGACGGTGCCTCAGGCTGGAACACTGCTCAAGACCGGTACCACGCTGTTGCTGATGTTGTGGCCGAGAGGGAGGCTAGACGTGTGCGTGCGGTTGAGGCAATCCGTCTGGGACTTGTTCCCAACTACCAGGAGATTCAACAACGACTATCAGCAAAGCGGCGCTACGCTATTGTTGAACCGTGGGATGTGCTGAACTGGCAGGAAGAAGTCGTTCAACCGAGAGGCGCCGAAGTGCCTCAAATCGTACGCAGATGGGTGCCTCAGTTCTCTGACGTCTCGGGGATGGCACAGCAACAGCTACCGCCCCAGCAGTTTAGTGTTCCCGATTCTATGGTTTAGCTGACCGATTGGCACACTATGCGACGGGCTCACGAATGAACGATGGTACGTTTCGGTACGGGATGAGCGAGGCTTTCCTACGTTACATGACAAAAACAAATTAACTCTTTTTTTTTCGGTGCGATCCTTCGTTGGCATTGCGGTTGGTGTTTATTGATGTACGATTTCCGCCTCTTTCTTCATGGACATACTTAGGCCAAGGATAGGCTGGAGCAAGCTTCGTATCGCATCCGCATGCGTACATACAGCAGTTCCAGCCACGTTGGTCCGACGGCATATCAAGGTTACATTAAAAAATTGAGAAAATATAAAAAAAAAGTGGTTTCGTCTCGTCGAGTTGGTCGCGAACAACCTGCGAGAACGGGTAATCAGATGAGAGGAGAGAAAGTTTTTAGACAGTACAGGATTAAGGACGGTAAAGATGGGATCGAGCAGAAAAAAAACGGCATTCTTCACATAATACCCCATTCCCCTTTTGCAGATGGATTTTTTCTCTGCAATGTTTTGGTTGGAGCATAGTATCATAAGCCCCGGAGTTTGGTGGATTGCGGGTGGACCCATAATTTTCTATCCCGACGGATTGCTTTAGTTAGGTTTGATTCATAGACCTTTTTACTTAGGGTACGCGATTACGATGGACGGTATCGAGGTTTGCGGCGCAGTCGAGCGCGGATTAAGGATAGGCTTGGAGGAGGTTAACGTTACGGTATTATACCGTTGCGGGACCTTTTTCCCTTTTCTTGATAAAGAGGTCTTCGGGATAGCCTTAGATGAACCAAAAAGTGTTTTTCTTATTACTCGTGTATATTTTTGTCTTTGATACCAACATTGGCGGCGTTGGTGACTTTTTATCGTCTCAACAATAGCCGAACCTTACTGTTAATAGGAATAATAACGCGTAGTTCTCTAAACACTTTATCCTAATACCGTAGGATGTGTTTTGTATTATACAATACGTTGGGTACCTACTTAAACTACGCGAACTCGTGATATCTTATAAGATGCAATGCTCTTTATCCTTTATCTTTGTACCTAATGTTATCAAATGATTAAATTATCAATTGGTCATCTGTATGTTGATAGTTACCTCATAGTGATATATAACTGATATCAAATTAAGATTAAGAGGTTAGGTTAAGTTTGGTAAGGTACAATACCTATTTCTATGTATTACTTGGTTAGTTGATGGGGTCTAATAGGCAAAGCTGAGGTTTCATTAGGTAGTTGATACCTAGCGCATTTTCTATCGGTCTCTCCATACATATTAGCGTCTCTCCCCCGCGCGAGGGGAACTTCTCAAGATGGGCTCTGGGACCCTAGGCTTTTTTCCACTAGTCTAGGCCATGACGTCGCATTTCGAACGGACGGGGGTTCCTTTCAACCAATGCGAGATCGGAAAAGCCCTCTCCCCCTGTTTAAATCTGCAGGTTCAAGCCCGGGCTTCTCTCGTCCCTTGTAATTTAAGTAGGTACTATGTGAGAGTAGAGGCTCCTAGGTTCAAGCTTTTTTTTTTTTCCTATCCGCGTAGCTTCCATTGCTATGCCGAAACTTGATATCACACTTGGCCGTATCTAGTAACTATAAGCAGCCCGGCAGCCCGGGGCCCACCGCCATGGTGAAAACAAGCCAGACAAAGAGAATAATGTAATACTAATACTAATACGATCAAGCGTAGGGATGCTGATAAGAGGCGAGTAGAGACTTAGAGGAACCCGGAGGACTTGCAGGATTCACGCAGGGGTGGGTATGTATGATGAGACGTAACTGGATTGTTGTTGATCATCTGCTGTGCTGAATCATGTTTCTCTCTTTTCTTTTAACTACCTGACTACTTCCTCGCTTTTCACTTTTTGTACCTTTTTCTTTCTTGTCAACTCGAGTAACATAGCAGTTATACACCGCTCCATACTATTGCTTATGGTACGGGAATAATTCTCGAATAAGTCTAAAGACTTACCTACCTACCTACCTACCTAAAGCTTATAAGACACATCCTAGCGGTTATATTCGGCCATTAGAAGAGGAGAGGAGCAAGGAGAAGAGGCGACGGGCAAGAGAAAGAAGTATCGCAACATCAGTAACGATGGACAGCATCGTTCTTCAAGATGATGCCGCCGCTTTGGCCCAACTAGGGCATAAGCAAGAATTAAAGCGTAACTTCTCTATGATCTCAATGTTAGGACTCGCCTTTGCCATCCTAAACACTTGGACCGCCCTCGCCGCCTCCATCACGCTAGCGTTACCCTCCGGCGGCCCCAGCGCCGTCGTCTGGGGTCTCATCGTCGCCGGCGTGTGCAACTTGTGTCTCGCCGCCTCCCTTGCCGAGTTCCTCTCCGCGTGGCCGACCGCGGGAGGACAGTACCACTGGGCGGCCATTGTGGCGTGGAGGAACTGGAGCCGCGGCATCAGCTACGCGACAGGTTGGATAAACGTCAGCGGCTGGGTTGCGCTAACGGCCACCGGAGGCTTGCTCGGCAGCACGTTTATCATAAATATCATCTCGCTGCTTCACCCCAACTACGAGGCCGAACCGTGGCATCAGTTCCTTATTTATATCGGATTCACGCTGATCTCGCTAGCCATCAACGCCTTCTCGACGCGTCTGCTGCCGCTGTTCACCAAGGCCGCGTTTTTCTGGAGTTTGGCGGGTTTTGTGGTGATTAGTATTACGATATTGGCTTGCTCGTCACCCGAATACCAGAGCGGCGAGTTTGTGTATGGAGAATTCATCAACGAGGTTGGCTGGCCCGATGGTCTGGCTTGGTTACTGGGATTGCTGCAGGGCGCCTTCGCACTCACGGGTTTCGATGCCGTGGCCCATATGATTGAAGAAATCCCACAACCTCACGTGAAAGGCCCGCGTATCATGCTGGCGTGTATTGGCATTGGCAGTATGTATCCAGCTCTTTTTTTTTCAAAATTGGCCCGTTGAAGAAGCCAAATCTCTTTGACTGGGATACTGTGCCTGGAATATAGGTATCTAAAGCCGTTTTAGAAACGACCGCTAATACTTGACGTCCTAGTGATAACCGGTTTCATATTCTTGAGCTGCCTGCTCTTCTGTGTCAACGACATCGACACGGTGATCAACTCCAGGGCGGGGCCGCTTCTCCAGATATTTATAGACTCGACACGCAGCCCAGCAGGCAGCGTGTGTCTGCTCATGTTTCCGCTAGTATGTATGTTGTTCACTAGCACGACGTTGATGACGACAAGCAGTCGTATGTCGTATGCCTTCGCCAGAGATCGCGGACTCCCCTTCAGCAGAATCTTTGCGCAGGTTCATCCGCAGCTGGACGTGCCCCTAAACGCGCTGCTGTGGACTGCTGCTTGGGTGGTTGTGTTTGGGTGTATCTTCCTCGGATCCACTAGCACGTTCAACGCCATCACGTCGGCCTCTGTCGTTGCCCTCGGCATTACGTACGCCATCCCGCCGTGTATCAACGTGCTTCGTGGGCGAAGAATGTTACCGGAAAACCGGGCGTTCAAGCTGCCAGGGGTCCTTGGCTGGATTCTGAACCTGGTGAGTTTCTTACGGCATTTTTTCACGCATACTTACCTACCTTCCCACTACTATTCTTCAAGATTGCAGAAACTAACAAAGGGGTGAAATCAATAGGTTGGCATTGGCTGGACGATCCTAACGACGGTGCTGTTCGTTTTCCCGCCCGAGATCCCCGTTACGAGCGAAAACATGAACTACTGTATTGTCGCATTTGGTGTTATCCTGTTGATATCCGTGGTCACATGGATATTTGATGGGCGCAAGAACTACGCCGGGCCTCACGTCGAAGTGGAAGGATTAGAAGGGAAGGTTGGGGGAGTGGAAGCTGTGCACGAACATCCCGTTGAGGCTGGCGATATGGCCAAGGGTGTATCTAAGTAGATATGAGTCTGGTTGGTGAAATATCTTAGAAAAGAGAAAAGAGGTCAAGAGGCTTTTTGACGGCTTAGATAAAAATGCATAGCAGAGTAGAGCAGAGCATAAGAACATACCAGGGAATAGACGCCATCATCAGATAATGTTGATACTGAAGATCCGCATGAAATTCATTGTCTTGCATTGTCTTGGATCGTCTTCCAAATCCTGGTCGTGTCTTGGATATGCTACCATATTAGGAAATAGCATACCTGCGACTTATTCAAGTATTGGTGTTGGTGTTGGTGTTAGTGTTGGGGTGTCGGTGATGATGATGAAGAATTCGATATTTTAGCCAATAACACGTACCTAACCTATTATTTGAAGCCACTTTCTACTAACAATCCCCTACTAGTGGCATGAATTCCCCGAAACAGCTAGTATTGATTTACCCCACAATAGCCTGAACCGCCAAGATAGCTCACATGCTAGCTGAGCCGAGGTACATTGTATTTTCAGTACTCCAGTCTCCAGGAGGTAGGTACCTAATCTTACAATGTAGTACGTAGTGGGCAACGCCCTGTTACACTGCATGTGTACCTAATAAGAGGTAGTTGACAGTTGGACGATACTAAAATATGTACCTTACCTTTAGGTACCTGACCTGATATTAATCTTAGAGCTTTTCATGCCGAACGCGACATTTCTTTTGCTCTTTTGGTTATCTTTTGCAAATTGCCAACATTATCACAGGACGGCTACCTAAGATATCATCTAATGTTTGTCCACATAGTTAGACTTGTGGCATGTCTCACCACCATCACTATTTCTTCAGCCGGATTTTCATCCACTGATAAATTCTCCTGGACTTGTTCAAAGATTCGACCCGACCAGCAAGACGTTGTATTGCAGCGGTTGAATTGAAATGGTTGAGCGACTCACGAGCTGAGCTGAAGAGAGCTTCCTGCACGTCTTCTGCATATTTTACAAAATAAACACGAGCGAGTGGCCAATCTTTTATCTCCGAGTACCTAAGGTAAATGCCTTGTTAGTCAAGCCTACAAATCGAATTTCGTTGGGCACCAATATCCCGAGAATACCACCAACGAGTAACCTAAGAGTGCCCAGAGGAGTACTCGGAGCAGTCGGAGCATTCAGAGCGCCATGATATCCGAATCCGGTCCTTCGAGGATTTCTACCCTCACCCCTCGAGAGATACCAAATAATGACGGTGCAGACGACGTCTCACGTCCTAGATCGAACTCGAAGCCGAAATCCAGATCAGCAGTCGACCCCGTTCTTCGCAATGCATTACGATATACCATTTCGGCTCGCGAGTACGAGACGCTCCACAGATATGTCCTATCACGATCGCGTCTCCTGAGAAAAAGAGTACCGAGCGTAAACGCCGTCGAGAAATATATGGACGGCGGCGGAAGAGCATCAGTATCTGATCGTAATGGCGGAAGTGGTAAAGGCAAAGAGAAGGTCACAAAGGAAAGCATCGGCGGGGGAGATACGTATAATACACGTACCATCAGGGATGCTTTACGCGTCTTCATCGCAACCTGCTTAGGGATGAGAGCTTACGAAGCAATAGTAGCAAAACTGAAGGCGCAGAAAGAGTAAGCTTCGCAATGATTTCTTGAGACCAAACCAAATTTGGTGATGCTGACATGCCTCGTTCAGGGGTCCTTCGTCAAAGAAACAACCCTTTCATAGGTCCTCAGGTCTACGGCTGTCGCTATCTCTATCCACCATCTTGCTTCTCTATCGCCTCTTATTCCGCTTCTTTAGTCGATTGCGGGCGCACCTACTAGACGCGACAGCAGCGCCGTTCCGCAATCGTAACCCTAAGACCTATCAGACGTTGACTTCGCCATATGCCCCCGCGGTAGGGGCCAGTTTGGCGGGGTTAGCTCTAGGCATATACCCCTCACAGCAGTTACGAGTGACGGTAGCTATCGCGGCCATTTTCCGGGCCCTCGAATTTGGTTGGAATTTGTGCGAGGATCAGGGTATGATATGGGGCTGGAAGACCCGAGCTGGCGGGAAAGGAGTCGTCAAACGGGAGAGGCCATGGTGGTGGGGAAGTTGGATGCTTCAACCTTTTGCTTTCGGGCAGCTTCTTCATGCCGTGGTCTTCGACAGAGAATCTTCTCCGGTCAACCTCGTCAACTTGATCTGGAAGGGCACTACCACCTATATCCACGATGCTCCGGAGAATCTTCCCGCTGGTATCAAGTGGCCAAACGTGTGGGAGATTACTGACAGTCTGGCCCAGATGGCCAAGCTCAATTGGCCGTAAGTCAAGATCATTTTACAATTACCTGCGGTCAGAATAAGCTAACAGTCTGTTTTCTAGGCCATTCGTCTCACCGACCTTATTCCCTGATCAGCCAACTTTGCCCCCATCTCTAGCTGCAGTTGCACCTTTAACCTCACAAGCTCACCCTATCATCACTTCTCTCAGTTGCGCTACCCTGCACCCTTCTGATCCTTCCTGTCTACGAACTTATCTTGCCTTTTGGGTGAACTCGTTCCCGCGTTTGGGACGAGTCTTCCTTCTATTCTATTCCATACTTATGCTGCCACGCTATAAACTTCTCTACAACTCGCCACTGTACCTCATAAACCGCCTGATATCCAAGGTACTCCGCGTTTCGACGTTCGCAACAGGCGCCATCTCAACAGTATGGGCAAGCATCTGCTTCTTCCAGACTTGGTTCCCGCGCACGTTCCTACCAACCCAACGGTTCTTCTTGGGCGGATTCCTAGCAGGCCTTTGGGCTTGGGTTCAACGCAAGGAGGGCCGAAGCATCTTCTTGTACACCGCACGGACGAGCGTCGACTCGCTGTGGAAGGTGGGCGTTAAGCGTCGTTGGTGGCGCGCTATGAAGGGAGGCGACGTATGGGTATTCGTGTTAGCGCTTGCTATCACGGGTGCCGTTTACGAAAGGGATGCGCGGGCCATCCGCGAGAGTCGAGTCCGGAAGGGGCTTAGCTGGGTCCGTGGTACGGAGTTCAGAGATTGGGGACTCGAGGACGAAGACGAGATAGCGGATGATGCTGATAAAGAAGAATGATTCGTAAGCGACGAAGAGAAAGAAGACATATTACAGTTCGCTAGCTAGCGGTGTTAATGGCGCGACGATGAGATGAGGCATGGTTATTCATTTTTACGTTATTTGCCCATCTAGGTACCCTGTTTAAGTTCGATGTAATGCTACTAATTAGTACATAATTACTATCATACCCAAAGAACGATACGAGAAGCACAGTTCCGATTCCTCGCAGAAACGTTATAGGTTTATTCTACATAGCACGATGAGTACAGCGCTGTGCTTTAGCATATACACCCCCAAATACCACAAATACCAATGTACTTTACGGACATCATCATATTCGGGAATACGCTGCCCTAGTCGTGCAGACTTGTTTGCAGCCGAGAATTAATAACACTTAGTTGGCAAACTAACGTTTATAGTCAGAGCTGTGATAAACGTCATAAATACATTATGCATAAGACACAACCATACTTCAACTGTCTATGAACAACGAAGTATTTTATAGTAACTTCGAAAGTATCATTTACTTCATTCGAACAATAATTTTTTCGATACCCAACCTACGGGGGCCCTGCAGACGCGCTGAAGCAGGACCAGAGCAAACCGGACGAGGGGAGAAGGAAGGAGGTGGAGGATATGAGGAATATACCGCTGGATAAGCGTGATGGATAGAGAGGACTAGTTTCAAACTCGAGAGAATGGCTTGGGATACGGTGTATCGAAGTTGGGAATCTTGAGTTAGTTAGTGGCCATAAAGAAATAGGGGTTAAAGCCAAGACTAGGTAACTCCTTTTTATAGTTAAACAACTAAACAAAGTAACTAGTCGTACCAGCTGAAGTCTTATATCAACGTCACGACGCATGAATCTATTTTGATGAGTTGGTACTTGGTAACGAAGTACTATTACTTGCCCCTACGATTTATCGGGCATGACACAGTTCAGACGGTGGAGCATTCACGAGTATGTTACCACGACGTTACCTATGATGTCCAATGTCCCATCGAAAGTCGGCCCGGGCAGCATACAACGTAGTTATAGAGTGGTATCGTCTGCACGCCATGACGACTAGGGCCAGGTTAAGAGCTTTGTGACTGCCTGGACGATCCCCTGCCGAAATGCACTACAGTGAAGCCACTTTCTCGATATCACATCGTCGAAACTCTAGCGTCCCACGAAGATGAACTTGTAATGGGTGTCCCCGGTTGGAAATTCGTCTAGATCTATTTTTAGTAGGTAAGCACCTCACCGCATAATTCTAATCCCAAGTGCATAATGAGTACATGTTACGGGGTAGGAAAGGTCAATATTGATATAGCGACCTGATATAAATCTAAGATCTATCATAAGATGATAAATATCCATATTCAAGGAGTCAAGCTCTCGTTCTTTGATTGGTTGATCTGAGTTATTCACCATAGCCTCAAGATCTCGGTACCCACCTGCAAGATCTAGTTAATAAACCCCTGGCGCCATCGGTGCTACATCACCCAATGAAGTATTAGATGAACCGAGCGGGCTGCTTACCTTACTACTCCACAAGGAGATATCAAGGGGGATATCAAGGGGGGGTAGTCTAACGATTTGGTTCGTTGAGGTTACATCACAGGATAATGTTTTTGTTTCATTGTTTCAATTCACAAAAGGGGGCCGGATGTGGTCACTGATCTACTTAAGACACTCGTTTCCATGCTCGTCGAATCAAGTATGCGAGTGGTTAGGCTACTCGTTCATCGTTTCTCGGCGACAAGCTCAATAGCTAGCTGTTTGGCAGATAATTACCTAAGTTAAAGATGTTGTTTGGGCTTCTTCCTCTTCTCGCTGGGCAAGTCCTGGCCAATCCTTTACATTTACCCATCAGGGCTCGCCAGGCGTCACCTCAGGCCTATGTTTCCTCTTCGGACCTCAAATATAAGTTGAGCCCAGTCGATGCGCCCGTATCTGGTAAGGGTAATCCTGGGGATACGTCAACATGGAACTTGAACATCGACGATACGGAAGCTGGGTATAAGCAAAAGATCAATGGTTTCGGAGGTTCCGTTACGGACGCGACAGTTACAGTCATGGGCGCGCTCTCCGATGATAAGCGTACTCAGCTTCTAAGAGAGTTGGTGACGCCGGACGGTGCCAACTTCGGCTTGCTGCGTCATACTATCGCTGCGTCGGACTTGTCGGGACCGCCCGCATACACATACGATGACAGCAACGGCAATGCGGATCTGGAGCTTGGTAACTTCAACCTCGGAGATAGAGGAACGGCGATGGCGAAATTGTTGAGCGAGATAAAAGGCATTCGTTCCGATGTCACCATCCTTGGAAGCTCATGGAGCGCTCCGGGTTGGATGAAACTCAATAGGGTGAGAAAAGTTCCATAGACCCAGATGGGAAAACAAAATAAGACAATCTTGCTTACCGACTTATGCAGGTTCTCACCGGGAATGCGGACAACAACTGGCTCGACTCGCAATATTATAGTCAATATGCTCAGTACTTTGTGAAATATCTTCAGGCATACGCAGGACTTGGTGCGCATGTTGACGCTATTACCATTCAGAACGAGCCCCTGAACAACCAGGGAGGTGGCCACGTAACAATGTATCAAACAGCCGACGAAGCCGCCAAGGTGACGCATGACTTTGTCGGGCCGGCTCTGCGCGCGGCGGGTTTGAATACGCAAATCTGGGCGTACGATCACAATACGGACACTCCCAGCTACCCGCAGACCGTGATCGACGGAGCCGGCGAGTACGTCCAAGCGACGGCGTGGCACTGCTACGCGGGTGATTTGGACTGGAATGTCCTCAGCGATTTTCACAAGGCAAACCCCGGCAAGTCTCAGTATATGACGGAATGCTGGACCTCGCCGCAGACGTCGTGGTATCAATCGTCCAAGAACACGGTCGGTCCGTTGCAGAACTGGGCTGAAGGGTCGCTGATGTGGACGTTGGGTACGTGGACCGAAGCCGCCGACGGCACTTTCGGGCCGTACATCGAGGGAGGATGCGCGACCTGTCGCGGTTTGTTCGTCGTCGACCAGAGCGCGGGCACGTACGAGTTTACCGTCGACTATTACATGCTAGCGCAATACTCCAAGTTTATCCCCAAGGGCGCGATTATCCTGAGCGGCTCTGGAAGCTATAGTTACGACGGGTACTCGGGCGTGCAGTCGGTGGCATCGAAGAATCCCGATGGTACGCGCACCGTCGTCATCGAGAACACGTTCAATAACGATGTCTATGTTACCTTGGACACGGCGAGCGGCGAGACATGGAGTGGTAATCTCTTAGCGAACAGCGTTACGACTTGGATCTTGCCGTGAGCGATGTATAACGACTTACTTTCTTGTATATATTTTATCAGATTCAATAAATAAAAAAGAAATTGCATACCTACCTTACCCAGATGCCGTTGTCAAAATAAGCTTTGATATATAGCATCGCACAAGAAACCCCGGGAAGTTGATTCACGTAGCAATATCCGAAGGAAGAAATTCCGGTAATTTTGTATACATTAGGTACTCCTACCTATCTCATGTGTACGGCACTTTATTGACCAATCAAGCCATCTGGATTTATCACCAGCCAGGAGGTCGGGGAGATTATTACTACATCGTATTAACCGGACTGGCCGAATACTATTCCCAGGCTCTCATGGCTTTCGTCCTCACTGTAGAATGCAAGGTGCTGTTTCATAATCTCTGAAAATTTACCTAAACTATCGTGCCTGAGTTTACAAAGTTGACAGCTAACTACAACTATATCGAAACTGTCAACAAAAACGACGCCGTAATTGCCAACTAGCAATTACGCCTTATACACTACATGACAGAAACCTAACCCGTCCGAATGCGACCCTCAAGATTCAATCTTGGTGTACCTACGACCTTCCTCAAGTCTAACAGCACCACGCTTGCTGCGGCGGAAGGGAGCAGTGACAGGCCATGTTACCACTTTCAACACCAGTAAAATAAGTCCAATAAGGTACAAGAACAGGCTAAATATACCCAGAAGAGTGATAGGAACCACGGCTAGCAAGAAGTTTCCTACAGGCAAGTGTGTTAGTATAGACTAGCTAGAACACAGATTAAAATATTATAAGGTAGGTAATAGTTAGTCTTACCGAACAGGCCATGGCGGCGCGAGATCGTTTGCCAGAGCTCGCCACCGAGGACTTGGGCAGCACCGTCCCAGGAATACGGCCCCTTGAGTCGGAATTTCGAGTTGAGCTGAGCACCCGCCGCCCAGATAATCGGGATGCGGTACAACAGGTTAAGTTGGTAACGAGATGCGGACCATCCAGCCCGGACAGCGTCCAAGAAGGTTGGGGCGGAACCTATATCAAGGGCTAACTGGTACGCGTAGGTTTCGTGGTCAACGCCGTAATTGATGCGCGAGTTCTGGCCGGATCGGAGACGGAAGTGGTGGTCATCCTCGTCGCGCAGATTGGCCGTTCGCTCGGGTGCCATGAGGTTCAAAAGCCATAGCTGAGCCTGCAGCTCGGCAAGTGGGGGAATAGCACCGTATCCAGGACGTACGAAGCCGATAAATCCGACGGTCGGGTCCGCGCGGCTCCAGATAGACCGGACGTCCGTGCTGCTGGGTACCGGGTAACGGTCTCGGTTCTGGTCTTGGAAGAACGGGAACTCTTGACGGTATCCTGTGGCGAATACTAAAACGTCGGGCTTGGTTGGTCCCAAGTCCTGCATCCGCGAGTATTCGGGCCGTCCGTTGTTGTTGAAGTGGATTGTTCCCGATGCATCGACATGCGTAGGCCACGGCGCCAACTCGATCACGCGGTCTCCTTCGACCTTTTCAACGGGTACTTGGAGGATAGAGCGGCGGATCCGCTCGATAACACCCGGGTTAGTCGGACGGTAGGGAGCGCTGATATAAGGTAGGGCTTTGGGAGCACCCTTGTTAAAGAAGAGCTTAGAGACGTGGTATCGCTCCTTGGAGATGCCTCCAACCCATTGGTCGATACCGGCTACTGTGCCAGAGACGAGCCAGTTAGTCGCCTTAACACCCCAATCGTAGACATTCCAAGTAAAGAGGGTATCTCGGATTAGGGGGTGCAGGTACATCGAGTCGAAGAGAGGTGCTTGCCAGCTAACATCGACAGGGAGTTCTCTGTGATTGGGGCTGGCTTTACGCCCGAAAATAGGGAACCATACGGGGTTGGGAATAATCTTGGGAGCTCCGAGGAAACCATCTCGGTGGGTGAGAACGACGCGCTTCGTCGGCGAAGTCACGGCAAGGTGTGCGATATCAATGCCGGTCTCACCAGAACCGAGGATGACGACGGTCTTATCACGACCGAACTCCTCGCGCTTCTTAAACTCGGACGAATGCTTGACGACCGGGACATTCTCGACGCCAGGAAGGTTGGGGATATTAGGAATCACGTGCAGACCAGTGCAGACGGCGACAGCGTCGCATTCGTATGTAAAAATCTCCGCGTTGACATCATCTGCCTTGCGGTAGTGGATCACGTGGCCACCTCCGGGGCGCCGCTTGACAGCTACGACCTTGGTCGAGAGGTTGATCTCGGGCCAGAGGTTGAAGTAGTCACAGTAATCGTTGAGATATTGTACAAACCTCTCGGCGGAGAGGAAGTCGGGATCATTTTCATGGGCCCTGAAGTCGGAAAAGGAGGTGAGAAACTTGGAAGAGACTAACTCGGCGTCCTCGTACGCACGCTGCGCGAAGGTCCCGCCGACCGCAGACTCGGATTCGAACAGCACGGCCTCAACAGGCTTGCCGGGGAAGAAGTGGTGAGCTGTCTTGAGATACTTGAGCGTCACCAGGCCTGAGGGGCCAGCACCAATAACTGCTACACGCATGATTCTGGTGATAGGAGACGGTATGTTGTTACGTTATATATAATAAATATTTGTCCAGAGACTAACGGGAGTCTAAGGTTGGAGAAACTCAACTCGAAATCCCTCCTTCCGAGCATACTGAGTCCAACTTTATATAACGACTCAACCTACGTTCTAGGAACGCTATGGATATCTAACCTTTAGGTGGCACACTATCTCCAGTATGCTAGAGTTACATCTCCTATTTACACGGGATGCGGAGTACCTAATATTTCACCTTCCTCGTCTTTTCCGAGTCTATCGCGGCAGGGAACTTGATAAAAGATTACCCAATAGGCGAAGCAGATCCCCGACAAGCCCCCCAGACGGTCCCCCAGAGTATACCATGGTTCGTCCTAACCACCAATTCTAGATCCGGCTCTTTTAAGCAGTCATTTTGTTGACGTGCGTTAGCCTTCCGCAAATCCGCAGTTATACCTTGCTTAATCGTTTACCTGGCCAACCAATACGGAGACTGAAAAGACCTAAAAGCCTAATTTATTATGCGTATATGCTGCGCTTCACATGCAAGAGCTGGGCAGATAAGTTTGGTTGGGTTCGGTACAACTATATGAGCTGCCTCTTTGGGTGAGGATTACAAACAGTTTGTAATCCTTCCCAAAACTCATTCTCACCTCAACCTCTCTAAAATCATTGCATCGGCCTCTTGGTAGGCCACTGGTTGTAAACAGGTTGTGTTTATTAATAGTCACCGGGGTCTATCACTCCGTTCCAGATACGTCGACAGCTCGTCAAGTTGAGGGTTGTTTGCAACATTCGACTACCCTTGAACCTACGATATCACCTAAGAAGCGGAGGACCATATAGAGGCATGCATACCAGGTAGGTAAGCTCACCATTTCAGGAAGGGCTCGATGAAAGCGGGGTTTTTCCATTCCTGATCGAACGAGGGGATATGAGATGCCAACACAACGGGGAATCCAAGAGAGAGTACGACGATATTCTTGGGGACATGATCTCTAGGGTACTTAAGATAGGAGGCATGTAGGGACTTTATCACTTTTGGTAAATCCGGTCTCAATATCTCCGCGACTAAATTCTACAAATCTGCATTACCTTTGACCATATCAGATTGTATAATAACTTCTTGAAGCGAAAAGGCCGACAGGAAGGTTGTTCATCTCACGCTGGCAAGTACAGATCAGTGGCAGGAGACTAAATCGGACTCCCATGTCGTAGAAGACCTAGGCTTCCAAATAAGTTGAGTAAGTGCTTACAAACGACAATTACCATACGCACGAGGAATTATAGACTAGGGCTCCGTTATCTATCCAGGGCGGCCGCAGGATCTACTATGTAAGTAAGACTCGACTGCCGCCGTTAACGCGCTACGATACTATCCACCCCAGTTGGCCAGACCTCCTTTCGTAATATCTACCGCCATCTGGTTAAGCATCATGAAATCCACTTTTCCGTCCTCTTTGTTGAAGACCTTCGGAGAAGCGCCAGATGTACCAGCTTTCGAGTATGGACCGCGTGTAGTTAAGCGAAGCGAGGTCCTAGATCTTGTCGCCCGTTATACAGGTGGCCTACGTGCTTTACGAGCTAACCTAGAGCTTGGAGATAGCATCGCGATCTATACCGGAGTTACGCCAGATGGCTTTGCCGTGCAGATCGCAGCGCACGTCTTGGGTCTCCGTGTTGTCAGTCTGAAACCAGGTATATCTACGGCACAGCTATCACGCATTGTTGCCGACACGAAGATCCTGATAGTTGATGAGGTCACCCGTTCGGAGATAGAGTCTTCACTGTCAATAGCACCGGAAGTAGTGGGATTGGGAAATTTACTTGGAGATGCGAGCGATATAACACCTCAGGGACGTCTAGAAGACACTGCTTTGGTTCTTTTCACCAGCGGGACTACAGGTGATCCAAAGGGTGTCGAATTTTCGTACGCGGCGCTGACTGAGATATGGACGTGGCAGCGTTCGGCCTGGGATGCGGATACGGAACTGATGGGCGCGAGGTACGGTCGCTTTCTCCTCTTCGGCACGCTCGGCAGCGTCGTCGTGCTTCAACAACTTGGCCTATGCCTCATCAGCGGCGGTACAGCCGTTATCCCTACCACGCCCTTTCCGCTCCTCAAATTCCCGCACGTCCTATCAGATCTTCGTATTTCCGCCGTGCTCTTCACCGTACCGCGACTACATCGCGTCCTTGACATTCTTAAGACGGACGCGTCACGTTTCGACTTGAGCCATCTCCGCTCCGTCTTCGTTTCCGGTTCGCCGGTACCATCGCGGAAGCTACGAGAGGCGATTGAAGTCCTTGGAGATGTTGTGTTTAACGGCTACGGCACGTCGGAGACGAATTTGCTGTGTTTGCTTTCCGCTGCTGATACTAAAGAACATCCAGACGCCATAAATACCGTTGGACGGCCTTTTGCCGGCGTCCAGATCCAGATACGGAGTGATTCCGGAGATATCCTGCCCCTTAACACGATCGGACACGTGTGGGTAAAAAGCCCCGGTTCGTTCAGCGGCTATACGAACGAAGAATCGGCGTCCGTGCTCGACCCTAACGGTTGGATATGGACGCGAGATCTGGGATCGCTGGATGACCGCGGGTTTCTACACCTAACGGGACGGGCGCGGGACATCGTCATCATTAACGCCAACGTATACTATAACGGCGCGATTGAGAACGCGCTCTCGTCTCACCCGGACGTAGACGCCGCGTACGTCGTGAGTATTCCGGATGATAAGACGGGCGAAGCCGCTGCGGCGTTTATCACAACAACGGCCAAGGAGCGCGGGCCGGATCTTGATGCTCTGAGGGAGTTGGTTAAGGAGAAGGTCAGCCCGGCTGCGGTGCCGTCAGTCATCACGGTAATAGATTCGGTTCCGATAGCACCGAGCGGGAAGCCAGATAAACAAGCATTGATAGGGTTGATATCTAAAGACACTTGAGGCGCTTCTTGGGAAAGCATGATGCTACCTACGTGTAGATTATTACGCCAGTCCTGAAGATGGCTGGAGTCTGTAGACAGTTTGAATCCAAGCAGGGGCTTCTGCTCTCGCCCACCCAAAGTACCAATCTAGTAGGTGCATGGGTATGTAGATTTACGCGTATTTAAGGCGCTCAGTGCGGCTTACTTTCTTGGAGATTGGAATAAGTCGTCAAGTACCTCCTAGGATAAAGTACCATAATAACTACAGCTATTTAGATACATGATACAAAACGAAACATTCAAAGCTCTTTGGTAGGAAGATAGCAATGCTCAGGACCTGCCCAAGACCAAATCCATTGACTACATACTCTGGGTTGAGCTTCATATAACGAATTCAGCGTTGATATTGGTAATTTAGGGAAATATATCACTTATTGTAAGTGGCTGAAATAGCAACTGAACCCACAACCGGTTTGAAAGGGGCTTACATTTGGAGAGTCGTAGAAGCTTAGGGCTTTCGTACTCGTATTCGTTGCTCTTCGCTCTTTTCTCTTCTGGAAATACGAATCGGCGGCCTCACAGGCTCACTTGCATATAGGAGCGAGTACGAAACAGCTACATAAATGTCAAGAGACTTGTAAGTGGTACCACTCATAGGTCAGATAGACTGTAATAGTCATTGTGCTATTAAATACACTTTTGGCTCAGCGGTTTGTATCTGAGAAGATTCTTGCAATGTAGATAATAAGAGGAATGGGCGGAGAGCTATTTGCCTGTGATTTGTATTGCTTAGGCCCAGTCCAAATTAAGCAGTTCGAGTTGTTTCGCTATTTCGCCTTGGTGAAAGCCTGGTCGATCGACAGCCACGACCTTGGTGGACGGACTACAGTTTACTGAGCAATCCGACCAAGCCGTCGTCCTCGCAGCGGTGTAACTCTAGGCGGTGATATTAGCTTCGTTGGAATCTCTTCCTCTGCCACGTATGTGCATCGCACCTAACGGATAGCAGCTTAGTATGTGAGCACTCGAACGCATGAACGAGTAATTTTGACCGTACAAGCGGATTTACACTACAGCTCGGATCCCCTATCTAATCTGCTCGACTGGGACCTAGATAAATAGTATGTTTGTGAAGAACTCTAGTACCTAATAAGACGATTTTGTTTGATTAGTTACTATTCCAGCCCTTTACCCCTATTCTGGTGTTTAACTCCGATACGACAGCATTAGGCTTACCTCTATGGACTTACGCTTAGCTTGGTTAGTGGACATATTATGTATGCAGCGCTATTTGAAAATATTTAGCGATCACTGACGGGGTTATTCTCAGGAAATTCTCCCGAGTGGCTTCAACGTGCCTGTATTTCACTTGGGAGAGCAAAGGTCTAGGTGGTACGCATAAGTGAGAGAAACCGGGGTGATTAGAGGCGGATTCGCCGCTGCAGGAAAGACTCTTGGCCTTGGATAATCTCACATTAAGGGATATATCCGTCGAGCAAAAGTAGTGAGAATGTGTACTGGTTGAATCTTTCGACGCCACTAACAAGAGCTGAGTGACGAACTCTCCACATATGAAAAACCAATTGAATTCACCCTGACTAAGAGTGAGGCAGCCTCTGTCGTATCTTTGTATAGAGCGACACACGAAGTAGTAGAATTTATTGGTGTATTTTTCCCGCACAATTAGGAATCTTAGTATGACCCGATAAGTCTCCGGGTCCGCCGTTACCTCCGTAGGTTCCGAATTGTGATATAAAATATGCCATCTTGTAGGACCATTTGAAGATAGTCTAACATACCGTTTTCTTAGTGGGTATTATCAACGAGCTCATACGTAAGTGCCTATCTCACCGCTTAGCGTTGTGTCTACAGCGTGGTAGAAGAATGCTGGATATCGATCCACACGGTTGGGCGGAACGCATCGTGAAGTTTATGAGAGGTGTTCAGGGAAAGTGGAAATAGATAAGGGGTAATGGTTTGAATGTTTTATACGGAAATCTATGAGAAATTCTGACCGTTGCTAGCAAAGTTCTTATAAGCGAAAATACTCGCCCGATAGTACCTAATGCGTAACAAAACCAGCGAGTGGATGGTAAGGGGACGGACGAGTGACATACATGACGATATGCTTGCTCCCTTAATACTTGGCTCGTCCCGGCATAACGGTCGTAGGGATATGCCCCTTGATCATGGATGTACCTAGCTCCTCTAACCAGGTATCCCTTACGAATACCTAAACCTCGAAAATCATGCCCATGAACACGTGGGGGTTGGCATTACGACTGCTTGAAGCTCGTACAATGCGCAAAAGAAATCCGGAACTCAACTCCGGACATAGGTACCAAACGGCTGTAAATGCTACCCATACCAATTTGTGATAGGACCAAGGCTAGATAGATTTTATGTTAGTATCCGTGATTAGAAGGTTCCAGAATGGATTTCATAATTCTTGTACCTCAAAGACATAAAACAATCGGATCCGTCATTGTCGAGTTTTGACGGATTTGCTGTGCGTCTCGGCACTCTGCCAACACGGCACGTATGGGGGGGCAAATAGAGAAAATCTCACCCTCCATAATCCACCCGCCAATAGCCATCCGCTGTTGCAGCAAGCAAATAAACATAGGTATATAATGTTATCTGATTAGAAAGCAAAGGAATCCGTCGACGCTGTGTAAAGATAGGTAGGTATGCTGGAAATATGCTGGAATTCAACGGGTATGTGATGTGATACCTTGTATCTGATGAAGGATTCCCAACAATACGGATACGCTACAATCCTTGTCTTGTCCGTAGGCGTAATACAGGTACCTAACCTGATATGGTGACCAATATAACTGTATGCCTGTTCATACTATGCCTGGTAGAGAGTACACCGCATACGAAACGTCCATCGCGAGGTATCTAACCCGATTCGCGGACGATACTCACATCAGCTAATTTCTTTTTTTCAAGCGGTAGATCAAGTAGTACATCGTAAAGACTTATAGCACACCGCATATGTATAAGTTTTGGTTGTGAATCTTGCCAAGAGAAAGGCATGCAGCTGTCGAGGTAATCTTGAATTATACCTACCCATTCCTCGGTACTTCACTGATGCGCGTTTCGCAATGATCTGTACGTGACGAAACGACTATGTATAATTGATAATAGTTTCAGAAGGCGACGGAATAAAACCGGGTTACGTTTAAGCACCTATAACGTGAGCATAACAAGTTAGTTTCGGGGTGCGGATACATAAGGACCCCGAAGCGATCCGAAGATCGATCTTAGGTTAGGTATTAGATCTAACGGAGATAAATGAACCGGTACATAAACGGGGGTAAACGGGGGTATATGCGATAAGATGTAATAGATAGAGAGATAGATAGATGGATAAGCTGAATTTAGTTTGGAATAATACCTATTCCACCATCATGATATTTTTATTTTCCATTTTTAGTTTGGAATAATTTTTTATGAATCACATAGTAGGTAAATGAATAAGGTCGAGTAAGATGTTATCATTCCTTAACGTGTTTTTTTTTCTTTTTTTTTTTTTTTTCGAATGGGAGTTCGAGGAACGTCGGTTTTTATGGGTGCGGGCTGTCGGGGAGTTCTAAAACCCCGAGCTATCTAGGTTATCTGTACGGGAAAGGTATTGCGGCTCCTTAATGTTCTCGAATTGTTTTACGGGCCTATCCTTCGGTCGGATTCATAAGCTGAATTCATAAGTCACCGGACTTTTTACCATTTTTGGCGAGTAGGACGAATCGGAGACTTTTTATTGGCTAGAAGTGTTGATTAAAGTTCGTTCATAAAATATGCCTTATTCTCGGCATTCAACTTATTAGTTTGTACCTAATGAATGATATTGTACCTTACACTACCATTCCAGGACTCTCCGAGTTTTAGTTCGGTGTCAAATGTCGAGCGTCGAGCGCGGGGTCACTGACTTCGTCTGATTAGCTTCGAGCCGCGCCACAGTACCGTCGTATTTTATCGGCGCAAAGCCCATTGATAAGATCGAATCGTAAAAGGTTTTTTTTATCTTAGTCTTGGGTACATACTCTGGATCTCTTTTCGAAATCTCATTCGAAAGAGATCTCGAATAAGGGATAACCCACCTTAAATAAAAACGTATAGTTAAAGCGGGCGTAGCTATCCACACTGAATTATATCGGAATGTACAATAATTGTGATGTCTTATATAATATGATCCAGATGTCTGCATCAAATATTTTGTAAATGCCAACGGACAATTTTCCTGCTCGAAGTCAAAGTCCGTAAGCTGTAAGCGCAAAAGGACAATAAAAGAAGTGCAATCCAGGTGCAAAAATATTGAGATACCTACTTCCTATTCTGAATTGAATTCGCTGATCTCTGGTGTCGTCATAATAAACACCTCGCACATGCTCTCTTCAATCGGACAATGGGAAATTTCTAACATTGCTGAGTACAACATATGCATTCGGCCGAGGGTACGTTAGGTATGCGGTGTTGATAATCCCCCGTTGACCGGCACTCTACGGGGTCCGAGATGGAACCCGTCTGGGGACAGCGGGGCGATGGCGGCGGGAACGAAGGGGTACTGTTCACAGTAACCCCCATCACAGGAGCCTGGAAGCGTCTACAGGGCGCGATAAATTTGCACAAATGTTCTTTGTTTATACCATCATGAGTCATTCAAATTACCTATTTAGGTAATGCACTATGTACCTACTATTAGGTACCTCTATACTTATACCTCTATACCTCTATGTAAGCTGTAGGATGTATGCTGTAGCATGTCACGAAAGAAACCGTAGGCTTGGGACAATGGAACCCTGCTTAGGTAGATAGGTACCTAGTTCGCCCCTGGCCCTACCAACTATAGTTAGACTATAGTTGGCTGTTAGCGTAGGTACCTAGCTAGATAGGTAAGGATATGGTATCCTTGTACCTTATGCGATGGAGCCACATGGAAACTTTACCAGGTAGTACCTATTGTCAACTTACTACGTGCGTCGGGTTGTACCTCTGGCCGTATTAGCGAGAACAAGACGGATTGAAGGGAAAAAAAAAAGACCCTGAAAAAAATACGAAAACGAGACGATTAATATTAATACCTTCCCTCCATCCCCGTCTATAGGCTTTTTTCTTACCTCCCTTTGCTTTCCAGCCCAGTGAGTGAGTGTTGGTTATTCTAAGTTGAGGTATCTCACCTTCTTACTCTCCTTATTTCCTTCACGCCACAGCTCCTTTTCCTTTACTGGGAAACTACAACCTCGGGCTTTAATACTTTTATTTTTAATCGGGAAGGGAAAACGCCGTTGGGGTTCGACCTTGCTACTTCTACTTTACAGCAGCTTTACAACTTTTACGACTTTTATAACCTTTATCTCCGTTATAATTAATATCCGAAATAATTATATCCGCACCCACCCGGCATATCCTATCGCGACTCAAATAGGACTCGATTAAATAGGAAGTCAATTGTGAATATAAAAGTTGTCTATCATCAGGAGGACAACTTTGCGATTCTGTTGGTGGAATTCCGCCGTGGTCTAATATATGTCCTTCGTGGGCAACCCCTTTAACAACAACTACGACCGCACGGCTCAAGCGTCAGGGGTACCCGCAATGTCAAGTGATCACCACGGCGAAGTTGAGGAGAGGGGGCCGCCGTCGTCCCCGCCTCGCAACTATATGGAAAAGGAGGGCACAGCTGACTCTAGCATCGCGACTCAGGTTGAAGATGATTCCGAGTTGGAGCGACGGGAGTCTATAGTACATGAGCTTGCTCGCAGATATACCACGCAATCAAACGCAACTGGAGCAGCTGGACACAACCCCTACCTGGATGATTCTAAGGATTCACCTACGAATCCCCACTCCCCTAATTTCAATGCCCGCGCGTGGGCCAAGGCCATCGTTCGGATGGCCGATCACTCGGGTATACAGTTCCGGACATCGGGTATCGCTTTTCAGAACCTCAATGTACACGGTTTCGGAGCCGCGACGGATTACCAGAAAGACGTCGCCAATATCTGGTTAGAAGGTGTCGAACTCGTTCGCAAGGTTCTTGGTGTAGGCCAGACCAAGATCGACATTTTGCGCAACTTCGATGGTGTCGTTCATAAGGGGGAGATGCTTGTAGTACTTGGCCCCCCCGGCTCGGGTTGTTCGACGTTCCTGAAGACGATCGCCGGTGAGACCAACGGTATTTACGTGGGAGAGGGTTCGTACTTCAACTACCAAGGATTGACTGCGGAGGAGATGCATAAGAACCATCGTGGTGAGGCTATCTACACGGCAGAAGTCGACGTTCACTTCCCCATGTTAACTGTCGGTGATACCTTGACGTTCGCGGCTTCGGCTCGTGCTCCGCGTCACTTGCCGGCTGGTGTTGACAAGAACACCTACGTCCAGCATTTGAGGGACGTTACCATGGCCATGTTCGGTATTTCTCATACCGTCAATACTCGCGTTGGTAACGAGTACGTCCGTGGTGTATCCGGAGGTGAGCGTAAGCGTGTCACCATCTCCGAGGCTGCTCTCAGCCGAGCGCCGTTGCAATGCTGGGATAACAGTACTCGAGGTTTGGACAGCGCCAACGCCGTGGAATTTTGCAAGACTCTCCGGACCGAGACCGAACTATTCGGAACTACTGCTTGCGTCTCGATCTACCAGGCTCCCCAGTCGGCTTACGATTACTTCGACAAGGCTCTTGTCCTATACGAGGGTCGACAGATCTTCTTCGGTCGGGCGGACGAGGCTAAGCAGTACTTTGTCAACCTCGGTTTCGAATGTCCTGCTCGCCAGACGACTCCCGACTTCTTGACGTCTATGACTAGTCCCGGCGAGCGTGTCGTGCGACCCGGATTCGAGGGCAGAGTTCCGCGAACGCCGGACGAATTTGCGAAGGCCTGGAAGGAGAGCGCCAACTACGAAGCTTTGCAGGCCGAGATCGAGCAGTATAAGCAAGAACACCCCTTGAACGGTCCTGATGCGGAAGCCTTCCGTGCTTCGAAGAGGGCGCAGCAAGCTGCCGGTCAACGACCCAAGTCTCCTTACACCATGTCATTCTATCAGCAAATCATGCTATGTCTGTGGCGTGGTTGGCAACGTCTCATCGGCGACCCTAGTTTGACTATTGGATCGCTCATCGGCAACTTCGTCATGGCTCTGATCATCGGTAGCGTGTTCTACAATATGCAACCGAATACTTCTAGTTTCTACCAACGTGGTGCGCTCCTATTCTTCGCCTGTCTTATGAACGCCTTCTCTAGTGCTTTAGAAGTAAGATATTCCGATGTTTTTCTTTTTAGGGACTTTTTTGAATGCTAACCTACCGCTAGATTCTCACTCTTTATGCGCAACGTCCCATCGTCGAGAAGCACAGTCGTTATGCTCTATACCGTCCTTCGGCAGAGGCCGTCGCCTCTATGCTTGTCGATATGCCGTACAAGATTGCCAATTCGATCGTCTTCAATCTGGTTTTGTACTTCATCACCAACTTGAGACGTGAACCGGGTGCATTCTTCTTCTACCTGCTGTTCGTGTTCTTTACGGTTATGACAATGAGTATGATCTTCCGTACGATCGGTTCGGCTTCGCGTACTCTGTCGCAAGCCATGGTGCCGGCTGCTCTGTTGATTCTTGATCTCGTCATCTTCACCGGTTTCGTCATCCCTATCGACTATATGCTTGGATGGTGCCGCTGGCTCAATTACCTGGATCCCTTGGCATACGCATTCGAGTCTCTCATCGTAAATGAATTCCATAACCGCGAATTCGAATGCGACCAATATGTGCCGAGCCCCCAAGTCCCAGGCTACGGCGACTTTGACAACGTGAACCGCGCTTGCAGTACCCCTGGTAGTGAAGCCGGAAGAGCAACTGTTAACGGTGACGCGTACATAGGCTCGGCGTTCCGATACAGCAATGCGCATCGCTGGCGTAACTTCGGTATCTTGATCGGTTTCATGCTCTTCTTCTTGGCTACCTACATGATTGCTGCCGAATTCGTATCAGAGAAGAAGTCCAAGGGTGAGGTCCTGGTTTTCCGACGTGGTCACAAGCCCGCCCAATTCAAGGAGAAGAAGCATGACATCGAGGATGGCGAAGGCCCTCGCGTCGGTCCTATTGCGACAAATGCTAGTCGTCCTCACGGCTCTGGCGAGAAGGGAGGTGCCCTGATGGAGCAGTCTAGCGTTTTCCACTGGAAGAACGTATGCTACGATATCAAGATCAAGGGAGAACCTCGACGAATCCTGGATCATGTCGACGGCTGGGTCAAACCTGGTACTCTAACCGCGCTTATGGGTGTCTCAGGTGCGGGAAAAACAACTCTCCTGGACACTCTGGCTGATCGTATTACTATGGGTGTTATAACTGGTGATATGCTGGTTGATGGCCATCCTCGCGATCATTCGTTCCAACGAAAAACGGGTTACGTTCAACAGCAAGATCTCCACTTGTCCACTACTACCGTTCGCGAGGCTCTCAACTTCTCCGCTCTCCTTCGTCAGCCTGCTGACGTCCCGCGCGCCGAGAAGCTCGCGTACGTCGACGAAGTGATCAAGCTTTTGGATATGGAAGAGTACGCGGACGCGGTCGTCGGTGTTCTAGGCGAGGGTCTCAACGTCGAACAGCGCAAACGTCTCACAATCGGTGTCGAACTCGCTGCTAAGCCTCCTCTACTCCTTTTCGTTGACGAACCTACCTCCGGTCTTGACTCCCAAACCTCTTGGGCTATTTTGGATCTTCTTGAGAAGCTCACCAAGAGCGGACAAGCTATTCTCTGCACCATTCATCAGCCTTCGGCCATGTTGTTCCAGCGCTTCGATCGTCTGCTCTTCCTTGCCAAGGGTGGAAAAACTGTTTACTTTGGCGACATCGGAGAGAACTCCAAGACCCTGACGAACTACTTCGAACGTAACGGTGCCCCGGCTTGTCCTGAAGATGCTAACCCTGCAGAGTGGATGCTTGACGCCATTGGTGCGGCCCCCGGCAGTTCGACTGATATTGACTGGTTCCAGACGTGGCGTAACAGCCCCGAATACAAAGAGGTGCAGGCTGAGCTTCAACGACTCGAGGACAACGCGCGACATGAGCCGACCCCTGAGGAAGACCCGCAGTCCTACCGCGAGCACGCCGCTGACTTCGGTACTCAGTTCTGGGAGGTCACGTCCCGCGTGTTCCAGCAATACTGGCGAACTCCGTCTTACATCTACTCCAAGGCATGCCTCTGTATTCTCGTTTCGCTCTTCATCGGCTTCGTCTTCTTCAGAGCACCCAACACGATCCAGGGTCTCCAAAACCAAATGTTCGCTATCTTCCAGATCTTCACCATCTTCGGCCAGCTTGTTCAACAAACGATGCCTCATTTCGTCGTCCAAAGATCTCTTTACGAGGTGCGCGAGCGTCCGTCTAAAGTTTACGGATGGAAGGTCTTCATGCTTTCGCAGATCGTGGTCGAGCTTCCGTGGAATACTCTAATGGCTGTCTTTATGTTCTTCTGCTGGTATTACCCCGTCGGACTTCACCACAATGCTGCAGCTGCCGGTCAGACCACCGAGCGCGGTGCTCTAATGTTCTTACTCCTGTGGGCCTTCCTTCTGTTCACTTCGACATTTACCGACATGATCATCGCTGGTTTCGAGACGGCTGAGGGTGGCAGCAACATTGCCAACTTGATGTTTATGCTCTGCTTGATCTTCTGTGGTGCTTTGGCCAGTCCCGATACCTTCCCTCGCTTTTGGATTTTCATGTACCGTGTCAGTCCGTTTACGTATCTGATATCGGCTATGTTATCGACGGCGGTGGCGAATACCAATGTCAATTGCGCGGAGAACGAATTTGTACACTTCGATCCACCTAGTGGTCAAACCTGTCTTGAATACTTGCAGCCTTACGCCAATGCGACTTTCGGTTATATCCAAGAGGGTACCGAAAATCGCACGTCAGACTGCAGCTACTGCACCGTCTCGAATACCAACGCGTACTTGGCAGGTTCTAAAGTGTACTATGGTAAGTCACCCTTCTCCCTTTATATTTTTATATCTTTGGTGATGAGAATTGAAAGGCTAACATTTAACCCGCAGAGGACCGATGGCGCAACTTTGGTATCCTATGGGCATACATCATATTCAATATCTTCGGCGCTCTGTTCGTATACTGGCTCGCGCGTGTGCCCAAGGCCCAGAAGAACAAGAAAGCTAAGAAGGAGTAAAGTAGAGATGAAGGAAACGTAGGAAATGTGGATGAGTAGATATAGATGTCACGCTATACGGATTTTCTTTTCTAACTAGGTTGAGACTCATGTCTTGGTAGACAGATCTCCTTTTTTTCCTTCTATCACACTTTAAATTTGCATCACACGAGGCGTTATTTTTTAAAGATAGGTCTGATCAAGAGTGGATGTGAGATTCGATTACGACAAGTTTTTCCATATGGCACGGTCAGCATTGCTGTGGGGGGAGGGTTATACATATTAGATAGAGGATAATCGATCAATAGAGGGAGCATCGCGATGCTCATTTTAGATCTGATAATCTTTAGGTTCGCATTCTGTCTCTGTGTATACCATCTGTGTCATAAAAGATGTAAGTCTTATAATAACATGTAGTATTGTGCCATATTATTATCGCAATGCCATCCTTAGGCAGTTTGAGGGATTGATGACAGTAAGGAGGTCGGTAAGAACAGCTTGCCCCTTTTGTCCCTTTACGTCGAAGCGAATGTATCCACTCAGTCTGATATATACGAAATGAACATGACATGGCGCTACGGTTTAAGACAAATTAGTGTGCACTCCACAGTTGGCTACTTTTGCTAATTGCCAGTAGTAGACTAGTAGTACTCTTCTGCTGCTTATCCATGAGTCCACCCGCCAATTTGCGACGAGCAAAGCGAGTCAAAAAGATTCGGACGACGGGAATATTCACGACGCGCCGGATATGTGAGGCAGCGTAGAAATGGGTCAGAATATTGTTTACCTTGTTGTACGAATTTCGTCCAGGAAGTGATGTGACATAACCTTGGTTAGGTTAGGTACCTGTTTACAATAACATCTAAGCCGACGCTGCACTGCAATAGGATATGAATAACAAGATATGAATCATGCCGTTGGAGAGACATCGACTTGTCATTTGATAATAATACCTTGTTATTCATACACACTTAAGCCGTAGCAAATCTAGACTTGTGCTTGTGCTTTGTGCTTTGTGCTGGTGCTCATTAATAGGTTACATACCTCCTGAGGTAGTATCGAACAGCCCCAAAACAAGAAATCGCGTGCGGATAACGTGGTGAACGAGGGATGGATATATTTCTATCTCCGTGGTATCATGATAGCCCAACTACCGGCTACCTACTATATAGTAGAGTATATATATATATATATATATATATATATATATATATATATATGCGCAATGCTGCCCTTTATTTCGCTTGCTACCTTGATCTTTCCTGAACATCCCAATGTCGCTCGCTCCTAAATGACTATTACAAGAAACGACCGTCTTTTTCTTCTTCTTTCTTTTTGGGGGGAATGTTTTAAAATGGAATATAAATTACAACAACGTTTCGCCAGCCCGCTTCGCTTTTTTATAATTGCAATCGGACGGCGGATTCGTCCTTGTCGTATATGTCTTGCATCGTCAGTTGTACGCCGATAACCTTGGCCTCGAAGAATTGGAACAGCTGTAGGAATGCGGTCAGGAACTCGAAGGAACTGTTGCGGTATTGCATTAGCTTGACTGCTCTTGTTGAGAATATGCACACGACCTACGAAAAAAAAATACGAAACGAGAGAGAGAGAAGAGAGAAAAGGAGAGGCGCTAAACTTACACAAGCGAAGCAATCAACCCTATCGTCGGCGGCCATAACCCGACATACCTCGACCCCCACCAGGGGTACATGATATGCGCCGAGTAGATCAGGAAGCCGAGGGTCGGGGCGGCGAGCAGGACATCGACGACGGAGAACTGCAGCCTTTTGGCGCGGCGCCTGCGGACGCCGTCGTCCTCGTCCGGCCCGCCGAAGGACACGATGGTCCGCCCGTTGATGGTGAGGGTAACGGGGGGCAGGCCGGCGGTGCGCCGGGGAGACGGCCAGTACGCGTAGCCCAGGACGCTGCACAGCCCGTGGGCCAGGTTCCAGAACAGGCCCAGCCAGCACAGCGAGAACAGCACCTTGTTCTCCCACGGCCACCACCCGGCGTCGATGGCCGTGTGCACTCGTATCACCGTCACCAGGCCTAGCAGCGCCGTGAACAGTCGCGGTATGGCGATTAGCGGAACGTCGAAGCGTGTCGTGTTGCTCTCGATAGCCTTGTTGTTACTATTTTGGCTACTACTACTACTGCTGCTGCTGCTGTGGTTGTTGTTCTTGTTGTTGTTATTACTACAACTGCTCCCGTTAGAGTTGTTATAGCTGGCGTGGTGAGCTTCGCACTTTTCGCAAGGGCAGCTGTGTATTTGTATCGCGACGTGGTCTGCTGAAGACGAGGAGGAACTGCGCGTGCTGACGGGAGTTAGGGGACTCCGACTTCGAGGTGTTGCTGTCGACATGATTGACGATGAATGGGTGCTTGTCGTTTTACGTCGCAATAAACCTTTTTTTTTTTTCTTCTTCCTCCAATCTATAATTTTTCTCCTTTTCCTTCTCTTTTACCACCTCTTTCTTTCGACCGATGTTTTTTTCCCCTTCCAAAAAAATAGAAAAAAATAATAATAAATTTACCCTACCGCGTCCCAATTAAAAAAATATATTCCACCAAAAAAAACAGTATGGGTGATCCTCGAATTGAACTATTTTATTCGTTATTATTCCCCCCCCAATTCGAGATCCAAATGAAGCTGCGATGTAATAATGCTGAACGAGACACCGCAGCTCGGGGGTTGTGTTATTGTTTGTACGGGTTTCTTGTTACTTCGCGCGCGGAAATTGCGGAGGCGGAATACTGGCAATTGGGCCTGGGGGACGTTAGGTTAGGGACTTTTTCGGGAACGCTTAGGGGACATTGCAGTAGGCAAACCTTTTTCTAGATAAAGGGGGCCAAAGCTGCCAAAGTTCGGTCCATTCTGCTACTAGGCAGCTACCTAGGTCCTAACTGGGTACCTAATTTTAGCGGAAACGATTGTCGCGCTGTTGCTGCGCCCCTTTTTACCTATTAGGTACCTAACCTACCTAAATAGAGTTATCCGTTCTGCCTATCCTCTGTAACGTAGGTACATAAATGCGACGCTAGAGTGAAACTAATACCTTTCCAGCGGAGCGGCAGGGCTGCAGCGTAACGTCAAAAAATAGAAAACTATGACGTTCCCCATCCTTTTTCTCTCTCTCTCTCTCTTTTTTTTTACCTACCTACCTCAAGGTACATTAGGTACTAAGTACTTTTTCCTTCTTTCTCTCCTGCAACTAACAAAGACCATCACATCACGATTTCGCGCTCCTTTGTAGGATTCGAACTTATGCATGTATTTTCGGGGGCCTGTTTCTCTTTTCCGCCCATCTGTCCCATCCTTATGTACTACGTTATGCAATATGCCTCGTGTGCTTTTTTGTTTCGTCAGCCAAGTTACTCCGTCTGCTCCTCGTCCCATTTTCTCTGCTTACAGCCCGATCTTTTGCTTTTACATCTTTAAAAGGGAAGACTTTCCTACCTCAAACATACCTAGGTAGTTGTCGAATCCTCAGCTACGGCGTGGCGGCAACGCTGCGGCACGGATGGACTCTGATCTAGTATAATGAGTCGAAGGCATATATGTTTGCCTACCTGCTAGTTGCCTACCTAGTCACTCAACTTATACTCGTCATCCTTTTTTCATATCATGCTACCGGGAAGTGACCGAGTCTGCCTTGAACTAGGCTGGAGGATTTCAGCCACTATATAAACATAGATCCACTGAGGGTAAGCTGGTAGCGATAGAGCTAGTTGTAACCCCATGCAGCTTTGTCGGCAGGAATGTGTCTCAATACCTATTATTACCTATTGCGGAGATATGAAGAATCCCGTGACCGATCGTAGTTCGATTGATTTGGTGGTTTGATTTACTATATACCTTAGGTACCTACCTGATAGAGGCATGTAGTAATTCCCAAACCGACCATTCTATCACAGAATCTCATGTCTCATGGCACCTAATGAATTGAATAATACGTACAAGGTAGGCACCTATTCCAGGCATTATTAAGCCAGCCAAACTGTGACAAGTCCTACATGACAACTAGGTATGTATGTAAAGCTCGCGTAGGTCAGAAACCAACAGGGTATCTCATCTAGCCCCTGTATCTGTAAGAAAGCCAGTCAGACCAGTTGCATAAATCTCGACTAGCCGATAAAAATATAATAATATCCACTTTAGAAACTACGGGCTACTCAATCGTAGAAATAGCAGGTCAAGTGAGGAAGTAAACATCCAAGACGGTTCGAATAGGGGAAAAACAAAACAAAAACAAGAAGCTATATAAATATTCGAAAGAAAGAAAGAAAGAATAAAAAAAAAACATGCACTCAGCACAAGTTCAGTCCTGGTCAGAAGGACCACGGTATGTTTCGGTCGATGATCTACCCACACCGTCAGAAGGCCAAGTCCAGCTCCGCGTCTTGGCTGCTGGGGCTCACCAGGTAGTCCGTTCTCGCGCGTCAGGAGCCCACTACTCAGCAAGGGAACTGCCTCACACCGTGGGCATCGACTGCGTCGGAAGAGACGACACCACCGGCAAGCTGTACTATGTCTGCACCATGCGGGGAGGCACGTTTGCTGACCGCATCAACGTCGACAAGGCCAACGTCTACCCGCTTCCCGACCACGTCGACCCGGTCTCGTTCGCCGCCAACCTCAACCCTGCTATGAGCAGCTGGATGGCCATTACCCAGCGCACTACTAACCTGCCCAGGGACTTTACCGTCGTTATTGTCGGTGCGACAAGCGCCAGCGGTCGTTTGGCCGTGTACTCGGCGAAAGCGCTGGGCGCCGCCAAAGTCATCGGCATCGCGCGGAACAGCGCAACCTTAGCCGAGGTGGACGGTCTCGACGACTACATCGTGCTGCAAGACCCGGTATCCGAAACCGATTTCTCCAAAGCCCAGGGCGTCCATCTCATCCTAGACTACGTCTACGGGGACGCGGCGGTCCATCTGCTTTCGTCGCTAAGCCGCGCCAGGCAGCCGGTGCAGTACGTCCAGATCGGCAGCCTATCGCAGCACGCCGCCGAGATCCCGTCCCGGCTCCTCCGGTCCTTCGACCTGACCATCCGCGGGGCCGGCGCGGGCTCTTGGAGCGTGCCGGCGCTGATGAAGGAGCTGCACACGCTGGTCCCGGCCGCCGCCGGCTGGACGCTAACGCCGGCTAAGTCTATACAGCTTAAGGACATCGCAGAGACCTGGAACGACGCGTCATTGAAGGCCAACGCCAGGATAGTCTATGTGCCTACCTGAGAGAATATTTCTTAAGGATGAGATTTTTTCAAAATGGCTAAAGCCTCCTTGGCATTCAGCTGTGAGAACCTGTGAGAGCTCTCACAGGGAAATCGATCGTCGTTTTTTTTTTTTTCTCCGACGTCTGCGCCTCACTGGAAAATGCCACCAACGCAAGGAATGAATACCTGAAAAGGAGCATTCACAGATAGATGAAATAATGCAGATCGATAATCTTTTGACGTCAGCAGATTCTCATGATGAAATATGAAGTTGTCAAAATTCCGAGTATTCGATTTTTTTTTTAATCTTCACTTTTCTATCGATGAGTTGAAACAATCGTGTTTCTCATTCGCGTTGGTCTGTGATTATTCACATCTTGACTCAAACCCATACCTAAGGTAACAGGTATATACTGTTCCACTCAGATACAGGCTACTCTGTGGCTCCTACGAATAGATGCCCCCCTTTCCCGTATGCTATACACTTTACAGCTGCGTTGATGGTATTACGTAGAAAGCTCTGCTAGCAAAGACGATGACATTTATTTATAGTCTACTTTATAAGTATACGCGAGAAGATAGATGCCTTATCCAAAATATGTCCTGCACTCTGCTTTAACCCTTGTTCTTATCCTTTCCTTCATGAAGCATCTACGCTCCGGTGAGAACAAAAATCTCTCCAGACTGGTCAGACGTCAGAAACAGGCGACCCTTCTTATCGAACGCGAGGCCCACGGGACGGAAACACGCCCCGGGGCACTTAGTCGTATCTTCATTCTGTAAGACGTACTCCGCAGCCGCAGTATCCGTTACGCTTGCCACAGGTTGCCCGTTGGCGAATGCAATCTTGCCTACCCGATATCCGTCCGGTGGGTTTCGGTTCCTGGAAAGAATAGCTGGTTAGAGAGTGTCGGGACTTCGCGGGCACTTGCACACTTATACATGAGGTAGGAGGCAGATAGATAAATCAGCGTGTTACTAACCAGCTTCCGTGAAATGTAACGTATGCGGCACTGCCGTCTTCCTTGAACTTGATGTCCAGCGGAGCCGTATGGGCCGGGAAGACTAGACGCGGTCCTTGCCGTTCAGTTCGGCAAAATTCATCGACATCTTGCAAGGAGGTGCGCGCCGTCACTTGCTCGACTAATTATAGCAAAGTCAGCCATTAGCCATAAACCCAATGTTAGGTATTTATCTCAAGGGCCGAAAAAGTACTGAAACGACGACTTTTGAATCGGGTTGATGGGATCCTATTCTTCACAAAAGGAAAGCTTTCGGCACCTACAAGGTGTGCCGTCTATGCCACCAAACTGCGAGCCGACGGTAATTCCGGAGTTCGAAGGGATATCCGAAGGTCCCCAAGCAGAGAAGCAAGCTGGGTATCCGTAGTTCAGACCCTTTCGGGGATTTTCGGCGTCCTTGACGATGCCGTGATAGTTCAGTTCTTCCGCCGGGTTGTCGTTGTGAAGGTCAACATCGCTTCGATGGATATCATCTGCCGAGTTCTCGACGGACCACTAATAGTACGCTCTTTAGCCATCCGTACCTCACAATGATCAACTTCCAATGACGGCATAACATACGATACCGCCCGTTGACGGATCCTCGCCAACGCCAACCGAGTTTCTCAAACCCCAGCCCAGAACCTCGCCCCCGGTTGCATAGTCGGTCGTGGTCTCCGACGCAAGCAGTTCGGAGATCTTGAACGCTTTGATCATACTCTTGCCGGATGCGACGTTGGTGGTCGAATTATCGATATTCCCATCCGAGCCGCGCGAAACTAAGAGGATATCTGGAGCGCTGGATGGGATAAAAAGCGTTCTAGTAACATGACCTCCGCTTCTCATGCCCTCTATCACCGTCTTCTTGGCGCCGACTGTTCCGGCTTCTGCGTCGTACGGATATGCGGATACGCTCGCCATGTTCGAGACGAAGATTGTCTTTCCATCTTGACTTATCGCGAGACCGTGGTTTAACTTGATATATTGATATGATGAGTACACACAACCTACACAAACGGCCTGGGACGCTTGCTCTCACCGACGAATCAGGAATTAGCTGGGCGCTTGAAGCCACACAGACGTTTCCGTCGTCGCTCTCGGTCAAGACGACTCTCCTGATGCCTGCTCCTCTTTGTTCCGACACGAGTATATTTCCGGCTGTATCCAAAACGATGTCGCGCGGGCCTTTCAGCCCGTTTAGAACAACCTGAGCGGTATAGCCATCGCTTACCTTGAGCGGTGCGAACGGAGTAAGAGCAGTGCAGTTTTGCGCGTGGGCGCTCGACAGAAACAGCCCCAGAGCTGAGAGTATCGCGAAGGCAGCCATGACTAATGGCCTCTTTACGTTAATAGGAAAAGCCGCGTGCTCATTCGTTAGTTGAAGCGTAGGCTGCTATTTAAAACAAGAACAAGAAGAGCCAAAAAAAAGTTCACAGCCGCTGGACTATCAGACTTTTCGATACCCGACACATCGCCGCAGCATGTCGGTCTTTAGCAGGCCAAGAGCCATGGCATCTAACCCTTAAAGATCCCCCCGGTGGAGACGTAGGCGGCAGAAGCACGTCTCTCATCGACATCTTCATCGAGTTAGGCAACTCTGCGAAAGGCTATGCTTAGAAATCGTAGATAGGGGGGAGGGCGGGGAAAAAAAAAAGCCAACCGGATATTGACGTTTACCCGTTACGAGCAAAGTGGCCAGAGTTGATCAACCACCTGCCGTAGAAGGCGTGTTGACCCTGGCACCAGTCGCTGATCGTTCATTCCAAGATTCTTGAGTCGCAACGGGCCCCATTCGACCTCGTCACCTATGTGGTGCTATTCACGATAGAGTTACCTAGTCGACTTGGCGTATAGGTGGAGGAGCGAGCGGGAGGGTTATAACGACAGGGATGATGCATTGATTGGTCCCACTGATTTCGGCCGTGTAAGCTGTTCCGGTCGCGGTATCACATCTTCCATTTCCGGGGGCTTGGGAGCTGGCGGATTGGTCCGGGAGTCTCCTATTATTGGTTCGTCCGTATTTGCTTCCCCCATCCCGATCCCACGTGTGAAAGCCCCGCAAAATCCCCGCGACGTCTTGGGCGATGTTAACTTGGGAGTTGGCCTGAGCGTTTATGAGCATGTGAAAGGTAAGTGTATATAACCGGTCTTTACCTACCTAGGTACCTCCTAAGAGGTAGGTTCTTTGGCACAAAAATCAAGGTGAGGGAAAACAACCAAGAAGTTATACTTTGGTTATTTCGACGGGTGTACAAAGAGATGATAATAAAAGCTATCCAGACAAATTAAGATGACTCAAGCCCAGGGCTTTATGTAATATACACGATACAATTTTCGACAAACGTGAAACTATAATCAGATCGCTCATAGATATCAAATATATTCGCGACCCTCCCCATCACCTGGTTTGTATAGACTAACTGTTTTACAACATGACTGCTATAATATCTGCTACCCTGCCAATGTGTCTAATCTGACGCCTTGGACTTGCTACCAATATAAATACCTTCCATTGCGATGGTGTCTCAAAGCTACGTTTTATACGCCTCCATTCCTGCTTTTGCTGATTAGATAATTTCTTTCCCCCTTCCCGCTTTAACTCCGAGGCCAGCCCGACAAGCAAGCAATATGTAAACTCATCCACCACGAAGAAAACAGAAATGCGTGACGCCCAGGGCAAACATAAATTTACAAGATATACAACCGCCCGAAAACGTCATGACGAAGGAATAAAAGAATCTGAAAATTGGTATCTCGTTATATTTCGTGAATGCTCAAAGGGTAGCCCCCGTGGATGGCTTGGTATTAAATAAAGTTCTGAAGAAAAAGATTTGGGCGTGTTGTTTTCAGCTAAATCATACCACCCGGCAATCCCATGCCAGGACTTTTGTTACCCTCGGTCGCGCCTCTTCTAGATGCGGCAAGACTACCGTTGATAGGAGGACCGTTCGCGGTCCTTGATTGAGGCCCTGCAGCATCGGATGGCACGGGCCGAAGGCGTTTGCGGTCAAGAACTTCCACCTCTGCGCCATTACCACTACGTCGGCTCAAGTTATCGAAGACGGCTCGAGTGTTCGAAAAATCCTGTCTTCGTCTTGGGTTGATGGGAGGTAAAGGAGGGGCGACCCGGCTGTTGCTGCGAGATATTGCCTGCGGTGCATCCGCCAGGGCTACGGTTGGGACTTGTGAAGTTGACATGACGAATGTAGGGTCCGAGATGTCTTTTGTTTTGATCTTGCGCCTTGTGCTGTCGCTGGTAATAGGACTGGCATTATCGAAGCCGCGATTCGGAGAAGCTTCCGAGCGGGGAGAAGGTAGCACGGCAGAATTCGGCGCGTTGCGGCTAAACGGCGAAGGCATAGGAGAGATAGGCGAGGCTTGACTTGACTCGAAACCACGAGACGTCTGTACGCGGAGATTGCCGGTCGCTGCAACGTTAGAGTGCTTAGATCCTGGATATGGTTGCGGTGGCATAATTTGTGACCCTTTAATATTTGTACCGGGAAGGCCCGGTGAGCGTATTGGAGGATGCGGTGCGCTTCCATTCGGGCCGACGTGAAGATTCCGCATGGGCCGTGTATTTGATCGTCCGTCATTGCTGGAGTCAGAGCCACTCCGATCACGGTCGGTCTTGAACTGTCCTTTGGATCCAAGAGTTGGAGCTTCTCTTCGATCTTCGCTAAATTTCCGCTGCTGGTAAAATACCGGCGGTGGCTTTCGTTCTCGCTCAGGAGATCGTGGACCAGGAGTATGCTGTCTTGATGGTGTAGACCGTTGGGAGTCCGTGTTTAGGGCCAGATCCGGAGTTTGTGTTTGATGTCTACCCTCCAAGTCCGCTTCCTTCAGCTTTTGTAATTCACGCTTCGCTTGCATAAATGCTCGAAGTCCAGCGTGGGTATCATTGTCTGCAGGTTGCTGCTCTGAATCACTAGGCTCTCGCCCTGGGCTATTTGAAGCTCCAAGACCAAGCATCTTCATAGCCTTAGGTGAGTCCCGACCGCGGTCGGCTAACGACCCCCGGCTACTCTTTAGCCGCAGAGAACCTAGACTATCCTTCCCATCTGCCGGCTCTTCCGACCGACGAGGCGAGGTAGAACGGCTGTCAGCTTCGACAAAGCTAGTCAGCCGTTCACGTACGCGGCGTGCCCTATCTGCCAACTGACTGGCAAATTCGTCCCCATCGTCGCGGGCAACGGTGCTGGTGTTTTCAACCGCAAATTCTGCGATGGTAGATACCTTGGATGATCGGGATTGTACATCCATCATTGGCTCATTGACATCCAAATCTAATGTCCAATCTCGGCCCGACTCAGGTAAACCCCACGAGTTCACGTTCGCTCTCGATTCTTGCCCGTTCTCTGGGACGTTGGGAAAACGTGATTCTAGACCCGACGTGCCAGGAGCCATGCCGTAAATTGACGAAGCATTGCTGTCACCTCGTAAATGTTGTCTCACCATGCCGCTTAGGCCAGCACCTGGAGCAGGGCCAAGAGTAGGTGAGTCCGCAGGCGAAACGCTTTTCGAATTGGGCGACGCCGATAAGTTCTCTTCGAAAGCAAATTGAGAATCGGATTCTGCCAACTTGGCGGAATCACGAAGAGCTGGGTGTTCGCGATCCGATGGCCGTCTCAACAAGCCGTTTGGAGATGTGACTGGCTTAGGTGATGCAACGGGAGAGCAATCCGAGTCGTTAGGATCGGATAAAAATGACGTTGGGGCCTCAACTGAAGTAGATTCAGTTTCCGCCGAAGGTGCGTAGACCTTAGGTTCCAGTTCCTTTCTTGTTCCGGATGATGACGAGCTGGATCTATTAGTTATCGAAGACGGGCCTTGCGTAGGTGTTTCCCGTCCTTGTTGTCGCTGCAATTGCCGCTGGGCGTATCTAGACTCGTCATACGGTTGTAGGGGCTTCTGGAACACTCCAAGTGCGGTGGCTTTTCCTCGATCGTTGGGATGAATTTGAAGCATCGAATTGTCTCCCGTCTCGCTAATCGGGGGACTTAGCGGAGGTGCTCCCCCAAAGTTCGACCGTAGTTCAGTCGCGCTGGGCACGCGGGCACCTAAGTCCGGGGTTCCGGTAGGGGAAGAAGTTGCCGAGGGGCTTAATGATCGTAGGTTTGGCGCACTGGATTTTGCCAAAATCTTTCTATCGCTGCTTAACCTATCCGCAAACCCAAGAGTTGTCGGTGATGGAGAATTATGAGCAAAATCTGGCGTGTGCGCACCAAAAGTACGCTGCCGCGCGAGGGTGTCAATGCGGGAAAGCGCTGAAGACTGCTGCTCGTGGAGATCGTTATGAAGTCCAGACTCGTAAAGCCTTCTTGTGCGTGTCACACTCCTGTCTATCGTAGAGGTGGAATTAGTTGATGGCTGCCAATCCTTTAACGAAGGAGCCTGCTGGGAAGATGCTATTGATGTTGCGGCGGTCGAGTTCCTAGCTAAAGATGGAACGGATGATGTCGTCGAAGACGTTTCTCTTTTTTGGTCATAATTACTGAATACTGGCGAGTCCACACGAACAGGATCTGCATCTACGTAGCCGGAATTCATTTCTTCGTTGTCTTCCCTCCCTTCTTCAGAGGATCTTCGTTCCTTTTCTGCTGCTCTCCACCTCTGGAAAGCGGACAAGGCTACGTCGTCGTCATACAACGCCCGGCCGCTCATGCCATCGAGATTTTTCGATGAGTTGGTACCAACCGGGATCTTATAAATCTTCTGGCGCCCGCCAAAAAGGTTGTTACCCTCGGTCGGTTTGGAACGTCCCATGACACTGCTAGCCTTCAACGAGTCTGCATCGTCCGAATTGTAGGAGGCTTTCCTGGCGAAAGGAGCTGCGGCTCTGATCGATTCAACTTCGGCGATATTCCCCAAACCGCGGAAACCCCCAAAATCCAACTTGGATTGTCGCTTAGGGAAGAGAACGCTGTCATCACTGGCCTTGCCGATCTTGGTGTTCGGGTCATCCTGTTCCCGTAACATGGAGAACCGGGCCGAGAGACCGGTCATCAATAAGCTCGTGCGAAAGTCATCGTTGGATGGTAGGGCCGACGAGATATCGATCTCGAACTTCTCCGGTTCTTGAGTCTTCTTCCCTTTCCTAAACGGCCGGAACGGCATAGACGACTCGGAATCCTGCGAAGGCCTAGGCGTCGAAGTGTCATCCTTGGTCTTCTTCTTGGTCCTGAAGCGGTTCATTTTGAATTATACTAGTGCTCGGCCAGTACGATAGAGCGAAAGAAAAGTTAAGTGATAGGATAGCAAGATACCATTACACTCCTTATCCCACTGAGAGAAATTGCTTAGTGAAAGTCGACGCTGGAAACACCAAGTAACTTCTATCTGTAATCGAAGAAAATATAATTAGTTAGATGTATTGGGTCTGCAATACCGCGTGGGGGGGAAGGGGACAAAGTTAAGGGGTTGGCGCTATCAGCAAGCATATAGGCGTGCTCGAGTTCGGATAGAAAACAGTGCCAGGGGAATTGTAGATTGATTAAACAGACGATCCACTAGATCTACTATCTGGAGTAATGGAAACAATTCCGTGGGGAAACTCTGTATAATTCAGATGTATTATAGGGACCTACCTAAAGATGGGATGGCTCGTGTCGGGAGCGTTTCACAGATTTGATGAGGGAACCTGGATAATAACCCGGATAGTCGAAAGCAAATCAAGCATGAATATGCACATGGACCGGCGGATGATCATACAACCGATTTGAGATGATCCCGTCCCTCTTTCTCGGAAATGGCCAATCCTGCTACCTGGTCCGAGGGGACAAGAGAAACGAAATTGGGTTCGGAAGAAAAGTTATGGAATTGGAGTATTGCAACTTGCAGCATACGATGCTTCAGGAGTTGAATACTCAAGGAGTGACACGGGCCACAACAGACCAATGGTTCCTGCGTGATAGGCTGATGACAGATAAATGCTGGAACCCGATGTTGTGACTGTTTTAATCTGCGAGATCCGAACTCTGGGTCGGTCTTGGAATGAGAGAGAGATGATTGTCAAGGTCTTGTGCGACAACTGCCTTGCTTGCCTTGTTCCGTTGAATGCCAGAGGATTACGACAAGTCTATTGTCTCTTTCCCTTTTGCCTCTGGGCCGCCCCTTTTGCTTCGTATCCCCCCACGAGCAGGAAAGCTCTGATAACCGGGACTTGGATCCGAATGGAATTAATTCTAAGCCAACCGATCGTTCGCGTATCGGGTCGAGTATCGCCTCGTTGCTTAGGGGATGAAAGGAATGACTACGGTTAGAATTGTCGGGGCAGAGTAAACGAACAATCGACAAAGAGAGCGAGGGCCGAAGGAAGCAAAAACAAAAAAAAAGCGATTGACTGGCTGCTGATAATAGTAAACAAGTAAATGAGGGTCACCCACGGACCACAGACCACGGATCACGGACCGGAAACCAAATCAGAACACAAGACAAGACAAGACAAGACAAAAACAAAGTGACTGACAAGTCAGTGAGTTAGTTTAGTTCAAGACGAAAGTGGGAAAACCGAGTGAGTGGAAAAAATGAGGGTAACGGAATAAGGATTGGTGAATGCCAAGAGCGTTGAAAATGGAGCTTATCCTGGAAGAGAAGCCCCTCCTCCCCTGCATAACGGTGCAGGGTCCTGCATAGGGTGCGAGTGCCAGGCGGCAGGGGGGACTCAGGTACCTACTTATGTTAGGTACAATGCCTTAGGTACCTGGCATCTACCCAAGTACCTAGGTACCTAACCTAACCTAACCTCATAGGTAATCTAAAGTAAGCAACAGCAGATGTATTAGTACAACGCCGTGTAAGCTATCCCATTTACACTATCAACTAAACCACATGGGATTCGAACAAATCTCGGTCCCCATCTTTCGCCCAATAGTCGGTGCTGTTTTCCTGGGAGATTGCGCTGTTTCTCCTACCTAATGTTACTTCGATGTTCCGTGTCTCTAGAATAACCCAAAGCAAGTTAAGCCTATCCGATAGTTTATTGGACGATTATATCCTTACTTACCACATGTCTTACCAGATGTAGCTTAATTGCTTAGCGCTTTAGCACGAAGCTAGCCTCGGGTTACGTACCTGAATAAGCATGTACCTATACCTTTTAATGTATCAATTATACGCACTGGGCTGGTCGCTAATACCTACATTAGGTACCTGTAACTGGCAAAGAAAAGAATTGGATTCTTTTTTTTTTTCTTCAAACAAGCGCATCGGCTCGCCCATCTCCACATAGAAAGAAACTCGATGTTTGTCAATTGCAAAAACTACCTAACCTACTATGTATAGTTATAGACCTTATTACTTAGGATAGACAATAGTAGGATTAGGTACCTAGGTTTGGTAGGAAGAAAGATACATTAGGGTCGCAAAGTCACACATGCGGACAGAAAAGACGAAGCTATTGATTAGGAAACCGTCTTGGCAAGCCTATTCGATTGTATTGTATTCGATGGCGTGAGTAAAAGAAAAAGGAGAGGGCGTATTCGAACTAAAAACGTCAACAATAGTCTATGTGCCCCCAGCATTTGAAGGATTACATATATATGATATGATTGTGTTGTTGGTCTTATGATCTCAATTTCATGATGCTATTACATGACAAGAATCCGCGCTTATTTCATTGTGGTTATTCTCTAGGTTAACCAGCAATTTTTCTTCAGATACTACAAAGAGATTTTCAAATTGCCAATATCCAGAGAGGTTTATGTACCTACATAGTAGTTACAATCCCATGTCTGGAGGATGTAAATCCATCAAGGCACCGCATAGTAAACCCTGTCCAACAAGAGAAAATCATTATGGGACCAGAATAATTAATGACAACCTAACGAAATATTGGCTTTTTCTAGAACATGTCGATCATAATGCTTTTCTTTTATCCTTGCTAATAATAGTGGATATCACGTACAAGGTGGAGGGAAAAGAACTTGCAAAAACATATCCTAGGGTTTTATACACCGGTCACGTTAGGTTAGGTAGGTACCTATTCAAGTTAAATTGGAAGATGACACAGATACTACTTTACGAACATATGTACGTAGATGTAGATGCCTATTAAGATCCGGAGGCGCTTTGAGGCGGTTGCACAGCAGCTAAGATGACGAGTAACGCTCAGCTGCCATGCAACGGTCTTATGTTAGACAACAGCGATCTCCCCCATCTTCCCATCGTCCCGTTCCCTACTTTGTTATATGTACCTACCTAGGTACCTATGTTCTACCCGCGGTTCGGATCTCATCTCCCTACTAGGAAAGATCTCAAGGAAGCGTTTGTCTAAATCTCAAACGACTACAGACTTGTGGCGTCCGTCTAACTATGTATCTGTCTACCTGTAACTAGGATAGCCCTTATTAAATTTGAGATATCCTGGCGTACTTGTCTAAACCAAATTGAGACAGAAGATTCATCAAGCGAGAAAAAAAAAGAAAGAAGAAAAAAAGCAATCAGGATAATCCGCCGGAAGCCCTAGGCCAATGCAGCCGCGGCACATCACCCGTCTATCCTCCCCGCCGGGACGGCTTGTCGTCCACACACATGGGACCAGACAGCCAGATCAGATCAGATGATTTAAGTAGGTAGTCTTGCAATTTTTTATGACAACGCCACTACTTAGCTAGTATCATGTTTTGACGAAAGACACACCTCTTTGCTTTGCTTTGCCTTGCTTTTCAGAATTCGTCTTTTTTGGAGGCTTTTTCAGCTGTACATTTCCCTCCTACTATTCGGCTATTGCCAGCTAAAATGAACGATATTCTCTCAGCTGAGGCCTTCTAACTACCTGTTATCGTGTTATATTCAAATCAATAGTTTCCTTGCCACACATGACTGCCTAGAAAAGCCAACGCCGCGGTAAGGCTTGAATACTCGAAACTGATTGACGACAAACACGAGGAGGAAGAGACGATCCGAAATTCAGGGGCTGAGAGGAATTTTCGTCTCAGCCTCTCGCTCAGACCAGACCGTGGCCTATGAGCTTTACCAACAACGTGGAAAGACACAGTAGATATTCGTCATAACTCGCACTATCGAAGCTAACCGCAACCCTCACGTCCCCATAAGTAGTGACTAGTATGTATAGATGTATAGTGACATCAAATTGTGAACAAGTGATTGATGCCCTGGGTGCGCGCTAAGTCCTATCAACGCAAGCTGACCAAAGCTTCCGCGGTCCAATTATATTACTGTTCCTGGCGCTTGGCCGCGCTCGGTTCCAGTGTCTTTCCCCTGAATTGGTGGGTAGCATCCGCATTTTCCATTTCCGTTTTCAACCTAAGCTTCTGATTTTCCATATTTTCTTGGGGGATTTTTTTTTTTCGTCGAAAGAAAATGGTGAATGTTCAAGTGCAAAGAAATCACCTTGCATCAATTATAACTCAACTGAAACACGGATTCAACATGTATAACCGATGCTACCTATGATATCCTATTTGATACGGAATATGATGCTCATCGAACGCTTGGGGCACGGTTCTATCACATCACGCTCGCCAGATTTCGAGGGTGTCAGATAGAAATATAATAGAGCTAAAACGAGGTGTTCAATCTCATGTGGCTATATCAGAAAGTATTTTCATAGAATGTCGAGGATTATCCTAAGCTCATATTTCGAATGGCATGGCTTCTCTGAACCAGGCATGTGCTCACTTCTCAGGCAAATAACCTATCAGTCTATCCGATATCTGACTTTTTAAAGACAATAAGGTCCAACATTGTATCCGTGGTACTTCGAGTTCCGGCAACTTGGATAAAGTTTATGACTCGCTGCGGCATCTTCCATCGTCCATTCTGATCCACTTTGTCTAGGGCTGGCTCTGTGGAATATCCATCACAACGCAAAGATCTAACTTGAATAGTAACCGGGAGCTTCTTTTTTTTTTTTTTTTTTTTTTTTTTTTTTTTTTTTTTTTGTGGGGGGGGGGGGGGGGGGGGGGGGGGGGGGGGGGGGGTGGATTGGAGGTGATTGGATGGATAGATGGGCTTTAAAGGTGTAACGTTAGTAAGG